GAAAAGTTCATCTCGGAAGACTACCGCAAGGCCGTCGGGTACGTGCTCTCGAAAGCACTCAACGGCGTCGAGACGGCCAACTTTGAGTTTCCGCTCATCACCAAGACGGACCGGCGCGTCGAGATCTTGCTCAATGCGACGCCGCGCTACAATGAGCTCGGCAAGGTCATGGGCATGGTCGGGATCGGCCAAGACATTACCGAGCGCATCGCGCAGGAGCAGGAGCACTCGCGCCTCATCGACAAGGCGAACGCACCGATCTTTGGCGTCAACACGCAAGGCTCGGTCAACATTTGGAACAAAAAGGCCGCTGAAATCACCCAGTACTCGCAGGACGAAGTCATGGGCGAGAACCTCGTGGCGACCTTTGTGAGCGAAGAGTTCCGCGAGGCGGTGAGCGAGGTCTTTGCCAAGGCGCTGACGGGCGTCGAGACGGCCAACTTTGAGTTTCCCCTTGTGACCAAGACGGACCGGCGCGTGCAAATTTTGCTCAACGCGACGCCGCGCTACAACGAGCTCGGTGACGTCATTGGTGTCGTCGGCATTGGCCAAGACATTACCGACCGCATTGCGCAAGAGCAAGAGTATGCGCGGCTCATTGACACGGCAAACGCGCCGATCTTTGGCGTCGACTCGGAGATGCGCGTCAACATTTGGAACAAAAAGGCGGCGCAGATCACACACTACTCGATCGCCGAGGTAGCTGTCGCAGTCCATCGCGTGCAAGATATACCAACGTGGTGGCGTAGGTCATGGGCGAGAACCTCGTCGAGACGTTCATCTCACCCGAGGTGCGGCCCAAGGTCGCCGAGGTGCTCCAGAAGGCGCTCAACGGCATCCAAACCGCCAACTTTGAGTTTCCGCTCATTACGCGGCCGGGCAGCAAGATTGAGATTCTCCTCAACGCGACGCCGCGCAACGACCTCCACGGTACATCGATTGCATCGAGTGCATGGCGTGGATCAGCATCTACTAGGCAACATTGTCGGTGTCGTCGGCATTGGCCAAGACATTACCGAGCGCATTGCGCAAGAGCAAGAGTACTCGCGGCTCATCGACACGGCGAACGCACCGATCTTTGGTGTCGACACGCGCGGGCGCATCGTCGAGTGGAACCAAAAGATCGAGAAGCTCACGGGGTACCAGAAGGAGTCGATCTTGGGCATGTCGCTCGTCGATATGTTTATCATTGACGAGTCGCGCGAGGCTGTGCGCAAACTGCTCAACCAAGCACTGCTCGGCGTCGACGTGGGCGAGATGGAGCTTCCGATTTTGAACAAGCAAGGTATCTTCTTGCTGCTGCTCGTGAACGCGTCGTCCAAGAAGGACCCGCACGGCAACATCCAAGGCGTGATTGGCGTCGGCCAAGACTACACGGCGCGCAAGCAGATGGAAGCAGCCAAGGTCAACTTCTTAGCGTCCTTCTCGCACGAACTGCGCACGCCGCTCAACGGTATCCTCGGCATGATGGAGCTGCTGAAGGAGATGGAGCTCGGCGCCACGCCCAAGCGCTATGTGCACATTGCGTACGTCTCTGGGTCGCTCTTGCTCAACTTGATCAACGATATTTTGGACCTTTCCAAGATCGAGGCCGGGCACTTGGAGATTCAGTCGGCGCCATTTTACATGGGCGACCTCCTCGACTACACGATCGACATCTTCAAGCTCAAGGCCAAGGAGCGGGGCCTTCGCCTGGGTATCGTGCGTGGCAAGGACGTCCCGGACATTGTCATTGGCGATGTGATTCGGTTGCGTCAGATTCTGCTCAACTTGCTCTCGAATGCCATCAAGTTTACCAACAAGGGCTCGATCACGGTCAAGTGTTCGGTCGTGACGCAGGCGCAGGCCGAGGTGCCACCTGGTCACATCAAGATGCTCTTCCAGGTCATCGACACGGGCGTCGGCATGAACCCAGAGGAAAAGTCGATCTTGTTTTCGCTCTTCACCAAGCTCGAGCGGACGCGCAAGAACAACCCGACGGGGTCCGGCCTCGGCCTCGCGATCTGCAAGCAGCTCGTCGAGCTCATGGACGGGCACATTGACGTCGATAGCGAGCGCGATGTCGGGAGCACCTTCTTCTTCTCGGTCGTCGTGCGTCTTGCGCCGCCCGAGTACATTGCCAAGTTGGAAGCGCTCCGTGCCGTGTCCAAGTCGACGCTTGATGACGACGACGAGCTGCCAGAGCGATCCCGCGGCCGAAAAGACCGTGCGACGACCGTCGACTCGATCTTGATCCCGACGCCGCCGTCCGTGCCCAAGCACGCGCGGATCCTTGTGGTCGAAGACAACGACTTCAACTGGGAGGTCGTCAAGTGCTTTCTCCAAGAGGACGACCACTATTTGCAGTGGGAGCCCAACGGCGAGCTCGCGGTCGAAGCGTACAAGCAGCACCACGACACGTTCGACTTGATTTTCATGGACTGCGAGATGCCTGTCATGGACGGGTACACGGCGACGCGCTGCATTCGCGAGTTTGAGCAAGAGCGCGGCCTCGATCGCATCCCGATCCTCGGGTTGACGGCATACGCGATGAACGACGACCGCGAAAAGTGTCTCAGCGCCGGCATGGACGAGTTCATTGTCAAGCCGATTGCCAAGGATGGCTTGCTCAAGATGATCACGTACTGGATGCGCCGGCGGTACATGCCCGAGCTGCGCGTCTCGGAGCCTGCGTATTTGCTCCACGAAGCGTCGTACTCGGACGTGGGCCCGTCACCGGTCGGGTCGATCGACAATGACATTCTCGCGCCATTGGCCGTGCACCGCGTCCAGCTGCCGCCGCCGACAAACGCCGGCCTCTTGCATGCGTCGACCCACACGCAAGAACTCGACTTGGCGCGCGCGATTTCCGACTTGGAGCTCGAAGATCCGTCCAAGATGGGCCAATATCGGCTCCAGGGCGCGGCCTCGCACCACCACCATTCGGACCCCATGTCCATGACAATGGACGGTACGACGTCGTTGGCGTCGATCACGTCCAACTCGGGCGGCAGCGTCAAGCCTGCGAGCTCGAGTATGTTTGCGCTCGGCAACCGCGCGTCGCTGACGCGGTCGTCGCCGCTGCAAATGCTCTTGGACGCGCAGGCGACGCACGTCACGTCGCGCACGGTGGGCCCCGACTTGCAGCTCGACGCCACGGACGCGACGCCCCCGCACAAGCGCAACACGTCCAACAGCCTTCCGGACGTGACCAAGCTCGAATTGCGGACCGACGTGGCGCAGGACTGGAAAGACTGGCGCGAACAGTCGTCGTCGATGAGCCGGCCGCTGCCTGATGACGACGACGAGCCCAAGCCGCCGGCCACAAACGTGACGTCGTCGGCGGTCCTCGAGATTGCGATTCCGGAGGGCGACCCGGTCGACTACTCGCTCGGAGTCTCGCAGTGCGGTGGCAACGAAGAGCTTTTTATCAACCTCCTCGGCAAGTACGCCATGGGGCTCGACATTGCGCTCCACCGCCTTGACGAAGCGTACAGCAGCCAAGACTTGTACGGACTTCGGCGCGAAGCGCACTCGCTCAAGGGTTCGTCGGCGTACGTGGCCGCGATGCGCGTCTCCAAGGCGGCGTACCGCGTCCAAGTGTGCGCCGAGCAAATGCTCTCGGACCAGCCCGACATCAACCTCTTTGTCTCGTCGTACACGCTGCTGCAGGACGAGCTCAACGCGCTCAAGGGGTACCTCCGTCGCAACTTTTCGTTCCACCACGCCGCGACGTCGGCGTCTACCAAGATGGACGCAAAGGGCACGACGCCGTGCTGCATCATGTAACGACAACGACTAAGTACACATATCCATGACGTTATTGACACCACACAACATGTACCCCATCGCAGCCGGCGATGGAGAGATCACAGCATGAGGCGGCGACGCGTACCGTAGAGGAGCCCCATGCACAGCAGCAAGAAGCACGCAAGACGCCGGCGCGCAGCGCGGCCCGCCTTGAGCCAAACAAGCGCCAGCGCGGTCGCAAAGAGCGGCGCAAGGTACCAGAGCGTCCACTGGCGCTTCGTGTGCTGCTTCTGACGCCTAATCGCGACATGTCGTGTTGCATATCAACGACTTGAGAAGGGTACTGGAATCGCTGCTTCATCTTGGCCGCGCACTCGAGCAGATCCGAGAGGTCGACGTGACCGTCCTTGTTGCAGTCGAGGGCCTTGGTGTACAGAATGGCTTTTTCGTCCGAGATCGGCTCGACTAGATGGAAAAGAAGGTTGCTGCGACTGTAGATCCCACGACAAATGGAAATGCGTACGCAAGATGCGTTCGATGAAGCGCGCAATCTCGTCGGGCTGCAGCACCATGTCGCCATCCACGTCCATGAGCGTGAACATCAGCTTTAGCATCTCAAGCTCCTTGGTTGAAAAGAGCTACGTGAATCACATCGTTGCCCACCATATCCAAGACACGCCGAATCGACAGACAGACCTTGGACTGGTCTGGCGAGACAAGATTGTCGACGGTGCTCGACATATTGTCCGTGGGGCTCTTGCCTTGCTTCCACTCGAGGGTGATGGCGTCCCATTCCGGGTTGAGTGCGTGTGGATGGCGCTCGCTCGACCGTCGGCGCTTGAGCTTGGCCGCACCTGACACAACAAGATCGTCGAGTTCTGTTGCACAATCTTCGACGATGACGTACTTGCGGGTGTGTCGATGGCCACAGGCTCGTCGAGGATGAGCCCGACAGCGGACGCGCCAAGACTGTAGCGCCGAAGTGGTGTTCGCGACGTATCGCCCGTCGTCTCGTCCATATCGACGGGGACAGCTCCAACGTCATTGAGCTCGGCCATTTCTTCGAAAAACTGTGTGCTTGGGGGAATGTACGGCAGCGTCGCCTCGAAGAGAGACCACATGCCTTCCGACTGTGCATACCGCCGTGGAAACGGGTGTCGCGTCGCTTGGAGCTGTTCGACATCAAAGCCGTTGGGTGCGTCTGAAATGTACATCATGGCGCCCTACACCTCCGTCATGAGCAAGCGTTCGAATAGAAATTGTGGATGCCGTACGAGGTTGTTGTACTCGTCGCAGTAATTCGGCGCCGAGAAGAGCGTAATGACAGGCGGGAAGCTCGTGTCGGGCCGTGTGTCGAGCGGCAAGTACGCTTGGGACGAAAAATGAAACAGAAAACCTTCGTCCTGGAGCTCGTGCGCGCGCAGAATGCACAGTAGATTGTTGCGGTTCAAGAACGAGTAGACGGCCAAGCAGCCATAGTAATACGAGCACCCCCGGACCTAGTACATAGATCTCATTTTGCAGACTTGTCTGGACGAGCGGCATACCTCGTTGGGCGACCAGCGCGCCGTCTCGGGGACGATGGATGGTCGCTTTTTTAGTCTTGTCTTGGTTTGATAGGACGTTGACGTTTCTTCAGGCGGTGTACGGTTGTCATCTATGGATGTACACATGAGATCGAGTCGATAAACGTACTGGAGAACCTTCGTCGGGGGGCGGCAGCTCAACTTCGTACTCGGGCACCGGGTCCGACCACAAAAGGTCGCAGAGCGGACCGCTCGTCGCTGGTTCTTGTCGCCGGTTCAAGGCCTGGATGTCGGCGATCGTATCGAGGTCGGGCGAAAGGCCTGCGTGGACGCAAAAGATGCGTCCATCCGGTGCGTCGAGGATGGCGGCCAGCGGCAGCGATCGAAAGCACTCGATAAAGTGAAAGTAGACCGAGAGACCGTACTTGGCCTTGCACTCGAGGCGAAAGCCGTAGAAGGACGAGATGGCTTCGCACTCGTGGTTGCCGCGTAAGAGAAAGACGCGGTTTGGCGCCTACGTAGCATCTTGTGCTTGCATCGTAGGAGAGGGTAGCGTACGTGTATCTTCATGCAGAGGAGGAAGAGCATGACTTCGCACGAAAAGACGCCCCGATCCACATAGTCGCCGAGGAAGAGCAGCTTGCGATCTACCTCGATCGTCGTCGCATGCTAGCGCAGAGAGACGCTTGCTTGATGCTACCTGCATGTTCGGGCTTGTTGGAAAAGAACTCGATCTGGTCGAGCATCTTGAGCAGGTCGAAGAACTGTCCATGCAGATCGCCGACGACTACACATGGGGCGTCGTCCTGCACCTCGTTCGATGCGCAATTCTCCATGTACCGACGACGGGGGCTTGGATCTCGAGCACGTTGGGCTCCATGTCCATGAGGTCGAGCGCATCATGGATGATCCCGAGCGCGGTCTCGGTCGGGATGCGTTCCTGGGCCTCGAAGAGCCGCCGAAGGTCGGGAAGCGCCGGCGCCATGCTCTTGAAACTCAATTTTCGGAAATGATGGAGCCATTGCACGCAGTTTAAACCCACCCCATTTAAAACGCATACAATTGTCCCTATAGAACGTGGGCACTCGCATTATATTTTGCTTGGCCAACGAGCGCGTCGTTGATTGGCTAAAAAGCGATCCTAGATCTCCCAGTCGACGCGACGGCCGATCGTGTGCCGCAACTCGCCATGACGCTACTGTTTTAGTCAACAGCGTCTAGTCAACAGACTAGTAGACAACAAATGTAGTATATATTGTGGCGGACTAGAGCCGTAGCTTGCTACGCGCACGTGGCCTGAATGTCGCGCGGCAGACCCATCGTCCGCAGCGTCGACGGGTTCACGATCAGCGTCATGCCCATGCCGGTGGCCATGTCCCACTCAATGTGGCAGTGGAAGAGCCAGACGCCAGGGTTGTCGAGCACAACCCGCAAGATCGTCCAGCCGGGCTGGACGCACTCGCCGCGGAACGAATCGCAAGCGGCGACGGCGACCGTGTCCCGCTTCAAGGGCGCGGCCAGTGCATTGAGCGATTCCAAGCTAGGAATACGCGCCAAGTTGGTGCCTTGCGCCATGACCCAGAACGCATGGCCGTGCATGTGGAATGGGTGCTCGCCCTGGTTGTAGTTGATGACCAGAATCTGGACACTGGTGCGAGCCTTATGCAGCACGAGCGGGTGGATCTCGGCGGGCAGCGGGTCGTCGTCGATCACTGCAAAGAGCGTCGGCTTGGTCGTTGTGTACCGGTACGGAAACGCCGGTCCATCGTCGATCGCGACGTGGGGGCCCGAGACGTTGGTCACGTCGTTCTTCTGGATGCGAATGGTAAAGTTAAAAGCGAGTTCCGGCACGGGCGGCACCTCCTTTAGCAGCGGCACCAAGTGCAATTCGTCCAAGTCGATGCGATCTGTCATCGTGACATCGTCCTGCGGCGCGTCATCGGTCGCGTTGGTGTAGGACCAAACCGCCTTGCCGTAAATGTCTTGGCCGGTTGGCGGCACGAGGAAGAAGAGCGGCGCCACATTGTTCATCGTGGCGCGGAGCCAAAAGCTGGTTTCGGTCGACGCGTTCGTGTGCACGATGACGTCGTAGCGCTGGGCGACGTTGATGCGCAGGTGCGTCACCAAAGTCGGCTCCACGTCGATGCCGTCGACGCTTACCACCGTCATCACGTGGCCGTCCAAGCTCACGTTGAAGCCCGCGAACGCAGCCGTGTTGATGAGGCGAAGACGGTACGACGCATTGCGACGCACGTGAAACGTGGTGTACGCTGCATGTGGCGTGCACGCTCCGGCGGCAAACGAGCAGTTGAAGCGCCCTCGGCCGTTCACGAGCGCAGCGTCGGGGATGATGTCCACGGGGCGGTTAATATCGAGGCTAGGCGACTAGAGCTGTCGTATGAGAACCCAATTGGAGAGTGATTCGTAGTATTGCGTACGTTGATGGCAGCAACAACGTCGGCACCTTGGCGGTGATACCAGTCGCTGAGCTGCACGATGAGCTCTTCGTCGGTGCGTACCGCAGGTGGAGCAATCGGGTCGATGATCATGGGCCCGCGGAGACCGTCAATGTACTGGGGTCCGTGGTGCGAGTGCCACCAGTACGTGCCCGATTGCTACATCATTGTATGGTGAGAAAGGCCACGGACGCCTGCAGTTCATACCTCGAGCTTGACCGCGTACGTGAGGCGGCCGCCGGCCGGGATCGGACACTGCGTGACGTGCGAGGCCCCGTCGTACGCGTTGCTATGGTTCTGGAAGATGCCGTGCCAGTGGATCGTCGTCGGCTCGTCCAGATCGTTGAGCACATGCACCACGAGGCGCTGGCCCTCAACTGCGCGGATGACAAAGTCCCAGCCAAAGCCGCCGTTGACACCAATCATGCTGCGGTTGACGCCGTCGGGTGCGCCGAAAAGTTGGTGAAGGCGCATCGTGTACGTCACGGTATTGTTGTTGCTCTCGTCATGCACCGGCGAGCTGCTCGACGAGGTGAGTGCGTTCATCGACGCGACAAACGCAGCGATGAAGAGGGCGAGCACCACAAGCAGTCCGAGCTGGTTCGAGGTCGCCATGCGCATGAAAGGGCAAATGAAAAAGTGAGTTTTGAAAGAAACGATCTGCCGTGCGGATGGCGCCAACAAATGCTTCGATGATGATGCCCGTGGATCGCGATGGGCGTCATATACGACCTACATTCTCGGTCGACAAAAGTTTCACAGCGGCGAGCATGCTTCCTGTCCATGCTCGTTGGACACGGCGGGACTAGTCGAGATTCTATAACAATATAACAGTCTTCTCCGCCCACATGCCTGTGTCCAAGCCCGTGGCGCTCACAGCCCTCGTTGTCTTCGTCGTCTTGGCCATGCTGCTGACGTTCGCCGTGGTTGCGTGGCAGTTCCAAGCGCAGGAAGCCAACGACCGTCGTGCGAACGCTCGCTTCAACACCACATCAAAATCGCCCCGAGCCTCGCTTCGTTAGTAGTATACCGGTCCATAAATTCGAGCGCAGGCCACGTACGTAGTCAGTACTCGTAAGCATCTCGTACCGATAGCTATTAGTGTACACGGAAATAAGGGTCTTGCGTACCTTGGGTTTTATAGCCTTCGGATAGCTTTGAAGGAACTGCCGGGGCGCTTGGCGACCCCATCCCGACGGGTCGACAACAGCGTCGACAACATGTTGAAGTTGGCGGCCACTGCATAATAAAATTATATTCTAAATAAATTTATCAACGTCAGCCACGAAATGGCATATTATTTCCGAGAAAGATCGCAACCCGTTCAGTCAGCAGCAGCATGGGGTTCCGCGCGCATCTCGTTCTCGTCATGCTCGTCGTCGCCAACGCAGTGGCCAAAGACGCAAGCGGGTTTGGTCTCGCTCAGCACGTTGTCCTCTTTGGGTATGCACTGCGCTAGGCGCCAGCATGCAGCTGACATTTCGATAGGCTCGACGGGCTCGACGTGCGCTGCCTGCACCAAGCACTCGACAATGGCCTCGCGCCGCACATGCACTACCTGCGCTCGCACGGCGTGTACACAGACAGCGCGCGCAACAATCGACCGGCGGTGAGCTTGCCCAACTGGGCGACGATCTTCTACGGTGCGAGTGTCATGTTCCACGGCGTCACGAGCAATGCGTGGACCTACTGCGCGCCTAGTAATCACTCACTGGGCATGTCGTCCATCTTGCCGCCGTGCGTCGTGTACCCCGACCTCTTCTCCGTCACCAAGCAGCAGCTTCCCGACGCGAGTACCGCCATGCTGTACACGTGGCCGAGCCTGGACGCGATCTTGCCGCCAAAGGTCGTCAACATCGATACGCACGCGTACTTTGCCTCGGATGCGACCTGCAACATGACGCTGGACGCATCACGTAACGCGACCGACGCTGCGATCGCGATTCTCTCGAACGCGTCGACGATACCCGAAGTGCTCTTTCTCTACTTGGACGAGGTCGACAACTGCGCGCACGAAGCGAGCTGCTTCTCCGACATTGGCCAAGCCGCGATTGCTTCGATGGATGCCAACATTGGCGCCGTCCTCAAGGCCGTCAAGAGCGCAGGCGCATGGAACTCGACTGTCTTCTTCCTGGTCTCCGACCACGGCCGCAACGAAGATGGCGTCGACCACGGAGACGTCTCGCCGACCAACGAGCAGGTGCAATGGGCGGTATTTGGTCATGGCCTGAGCAGCGGCAGCCGCGAGCTCAAGTCGGCCATCTCGATCGAAGACACGGCGCCGACGATCGCGCATGTCCTCGGGTTTGCATCGCCCCTCGAGTGGCACGGCCGCGTCGTAGACGAAGTTTTTCTCGAAGCCAACGAATCGCTCTACACGGCGGCCAAAAGCGCGTGGAACCTCTGCCTCATGCAGTCGTGCGCGCCGCTCGACGACGAGGGCACGTCCGGCGCTCCGAGCTCGTCTGAGGACATCAACTGGGTGCTCGGGCTCACGTCGACGGCGGTCCTAGTTTTGGCGCTGGGCCTTGCGCTGTGCATTCGCTTCTATAGCCCTCGAAGCGGCTACGACGCCATTTGAAGCCGTCGCTTTTTGTAACCTGAACCCTTTGTACATGTATATATATATATGTGGGTGATGGGCACGACGCAAGACGACGATGGAAGCTCCATACTGGGACGTCGTCTGCAGGTCGATGTAGACATACGCAAACGCTCGTGACTCTATTCACGGGCGGCAATTACATCATCATCTCTCTACTTGGCGAACGGCTTGAGCAAGTCTTCCAACTCGCCCGACTTGTGCATATCCGAGATGATGTCGCAGCCGCCGACAAACTCGCCGTTGACAAAGAGCTGCGGGATCGTGGGCCATTGTCTAGACGAAACGAGAATTAGCGATCGGACGCAAATCCAAAGTGGGCGTACGAGAACTCCTTGACGCCTTCGCGGATCTCGGGGTGGTCCAAGACGTTGACGCTGTCAAAGCTAATGCCCTGCGCGTGCAAGATCTGGACGACCTGGCGCGAGAAGCCGCACTGCGGCGACGTCGGCGTGCCCTTCATGTAGAGCATGATCGGGTACGTCTCGACGTGGCTCTGGATGAGCTTGAGCACATCATCGGGCTCGGCCGACGCCGCCGCATGGTACTTGGGCTTGAAGTCGTCGTGCGTGTCCGAGAAGAGGCGGGCAGGCGCGGCCATGCGCAGGGCACGGGCCGTCGGCAGCGAACGCGAAGCAAGGCGGGCGAGCATTATAAAGTGAAGTTGTGGTCAAGCGCCACAACGCGATTCGCCCAATGGCATCGCACCAGGTATTCCAGGCAGCCAATCAACACGCGAGGCAAGCTGCACTTTTGACGAATCACATGTGGAAAGAGCGCTTGCGAAGGCCACGCTGTTAGTTTCGGCATATGCCACTTGAAAGATAACGTCGCCACGACAGCCGCGTCGATCCACGTGATGACAACGCATGCCAATGTACCCTTTCTGAATGGTATGTTCGCACATGGGACGACGCGTGTCGTTGGAAATGACACGTCGTGACGCCTGCCACTGCGTCCAAGGACAGAGTTCGGTTGTGCTGCCTGAACTCTTGTACGCGGCATGTGCCGCATTCAAGACAGCCAATCGCCACTCCTCCAAGCGATGCAGCACAAGCGTGCCCGAAAGCCCAAGCCGGCCGTGGTGCCACCGCGCCTGCAGCAGCCGACGACTGGCAGCGCGCCGCTAGCGTCTGACTACGAGGCCATTGCGCCCTATTTGAACCAAGGCACCTGCCGCTATTTTGTCCTCAAGACATTCAGCGAAGCCGACGTGCACAAGAGGTACCGCCTCAGAGTCGCTGGATCGGTCGTCACAGCATGGCACGCATGGCATAGCATCAAGTATGGCATCTGGACGAGCACGTACATTAGCAACCACTTCCTCGACGCGGCCTTTGGCCGGGATCTCTCGTGCATGCGCCCGATCCTCTTCTTCTTCAGGTACAGTCCTCGATCCTCGCATCGCTCCAAGCCTCATCGTTGTATGGTTGCAGTGTCTGTGGCAGCAAGCACTTTTGCGGCATTGCGCGCATGACGTCGGGCCTCAACAGCGACCGCAATTTCTTGCTCTGGGAAAAAACCAAGTACGAAGGCTACTTCAACATCGAGTGGCTCGTCGTCAAGGACGTGCCCAACCACGCGCTCAAGACGATCGTGCTCCCGACCGACGGCAAAAACATCACGTCGGTGCGCGACTGCGACGAAATCCCGTTCAACGAGGTACACCATTACGAACCACCGTGGTATTATCATTCGAGTACAGGCGTCCGAGTTTCTGCAGCGCTTTGTCGCCCACGACGGGGCCACGAGTCTCTTGGAAGACATGGAGCACTACGACACGCTCCAGCGCGCCCTGGAAATCAAGCGTGGCTTGAGCAACGTCCCGCCGACAGCCGACGTCGACGACTTCTTGACGCCCGCGATTGCGACCGAGGTGCGAAGGCGCCGCACTTCATCGTGTTAACTGCAACGTACCTACATTGGCACGGACTGCCGTCTTTATCTCGTTGCAAGCATATCTCTAATTCGAGCTACACCCGCCACGGATCACTAGCCTTTGCAGAGCGCATCCTGGCGAGCTCGTGGCTATTGTAGTGCGTTGTCACCAGGCGACCGACCTGAGCGGACCAAGGGTAAGTATTATAGTCTAGCTGGCTAGTCTTTGTTACTGCAAGGAAGAAAAAATTGCTTCCTCCATGCATCCCATGCATCCTTCTCGCGCTTCTCGCGCCTCGTCACAGCTGGACGTCGTCCATCTTCGAGGCGCGTTCTCGGCTCGGAGCTCCATGCACCAAGGTACGACGTCGACAAGATGGTAAAGCTACTGGTCGAGTTGGTAGTACCTGACTCGTGGCGCTGTTGGTGGAGCTGCTGATGGCGCTGCTGGTGGCGCTGCTAGTGGCGCTGCTGGTGGCAGCTCCACATCTCGAGTGATGTGGCCGTGCCGACCACCGTTACAGCCTCGGGTTCCAGAGCTCGTGGGTATACAAAGGTCAAGTTGCGTGCCACTTGGTGGCGGCAGCACAGGGTGCTAATTTTAATAAATTGGCGGCAGGCGATACAAACGCAAGTATAGTTGTATTCAAGGTCAAAAATAGAAATTTAATTCGTCCGAAATCCAGAGCCGTTGCAGTTTTCATTTTCATTTGGCCGAGAAGTATGGACAAGGGCGCGAAGCGGACCGTCGGCAAGTACATCAACAGCAACTACGGCTGGGCCTTCAACCTCATCGCGAGCAACATCCTCTTCTGGCTCGCGGGCTTCCCGACCGTCCAAAAGTACGGCTACTCGAGCGACAACTATGACATTTACGGCGGGATTCCGTCCGGCGGCGAAGGCTCGGGCGTCTTCATCGTGACGCTCGTCCTCATGTGCATTTGCTACATTGTGTACTTTGGCCGCATGGCGGCGTACCTCCTTAGCGACGAGCCCCACAAGGACGATTAAGCGGCGACGCTAGAACCCTTGAACAAGATCCTTTGCGTGTTTTCGACGTATGTACTATGGCCTTTTGTCGATGCGTTGAGCGCTACTACAGATGCGTTGAGTGGCGTGCCAGCTCTACGGAGCTCCGATAGCCACATCATGGAAGCGATCTTACGTCGCAACCCAGTTGTTGAGGCGACATGGAGCGAGCGGGTGGGCGGGAACTGGAAGCGTGCCGAGATCGCAGCATGCTTGAGGCTTTTCCCGAACCACTCGAGCAATGCATTGAGGTTGACGCTCGGTCCTGCTGCATGGTGCTGTGTCTGCTCAAGACATCTCGTATGCCATGGACGGAAGCACAGGCATGCCTGAGCTGCATGACTGCCATGCGCCTTGCAGTAGAACAGACTAATGAGGGATACAGGCGCAGCGCAAGCAAAGGCTTGTTACTGGAATTAATGCAATGCGTGCCACGTAGCGGAGCAAGCTTTAGTCCCGCTCGCTGATAGCCGTCAAGTAGCCGTCAATCTCGTTTTCGGTCAACTTCCGGAAGCTACGTTGTGGATGAGACTCGAGCAAGTGAGGGAGTAGGATGGCGACGTACCGTTCGCCTTCGACAATGATACCAACTTCGATCTCGCTCGGCTTGAAGTCGGCCGACAAGACCGACTGCAAGCACGTGATTGCGGTGTGCACCGTCGTCTCGTGGTCCATCGCCGCATTGGCCTTGATCTTCTTCTCGAGGTAGTTGGTCGCTTCTTGGTCCTTGACACCAGCCGCCGTGGCCTTGTAGCCCCAGAAGTGGCCAGCCGGGTCGATCTTGTACAGCTGCGGGCCCTTCTCCTCGTCGACGCTACACAAATCATGACGCATCTGCAGACGACATGGTTGTGATGTACCTGATGAGCATGGTCACGACACCCAAGGCGCGCATTGAGGCATGCTGCGTGTAGACCTGCGAAATGTCGGCGAGGCGCTTCGCGAGCACGTGGCAGGGCACGGGGTAGCCATACTTGTGCTCAAAGTCGTGCGCTTCGTACCGCAAGCGCTGGACTTGGGCCTTGGCATCAGCTAGCGTCCACAGTCATTAGATTGCATACTAAGTGCTCTGCATACCGTAGAGACCCGTCATCAAGCACCCGATCAACGGCGTGATCTTGAAGATGTTGGTGACCGAGTCCGGGTCGATCAATTTGTCCTGCGCATCATCTCGATGAGGCCATGCCCACGCGACGATGGCCAACGTACCGGAACCTTCTTCTGTGTCACGACCACGCAGCTCTTGGCACCGCGCACGGCCACGGACGTGAGGCTGCTTTCCTTCACGGCCTTGAACGCGTACTCTACGCACGCCGCCATGAGCATGCGCTGCCACGTGCCATGGCCATGGCCATCAGCGGGTCCTACCGATCTGGTACAGGCGCCCATCCGGCGAGAAGATGGTAATGTGGCGATCGTAGCCGTCTCCAGACATTGCTGCTTCCTGCCGCTTGGTCGAAAGGGGAAAATCGGGATTGCCATCGCGGCCTCACATTGTCGCCCAGCACACACATACTCAAACCAAGAGAAGACCAAGCGCATACAAATTCGCAGTGTCTTTCGTAGTTCGAAGTCCTCGAAAGCGTAGTTCGAAGGCCAAAGCATATCTTTCGAACGATCCGCGCTGCCGCCGCCCGCTCGGAGCACGTCCACTCGAGGAGGATGACATACGAGTTCTTATGGATGGGCCATACAGGCCATCGCCGGTGGCAGCGACAGGTCGTTGGCATGCTGCCCGACGGAGGCCATGCGACGCAACGCATAACGGCGCGAAACGTCAACGCAGTCGGGACCACTCCATGGGCCAGTACCTGGCAGCGCGCCGCGCGCCGCCGCCGTGCGATCTCTCGCCCGAGCAGATTGAGGAGATCCGCATGCTGACGCTGCGTACGTCATGTACTGCGTGAACAACGACGGCCATCCTCGGCCTTTTTGCTGTAGTCCCTGTCGAGGCCATTCTGCACTTTCGGACGCGGTTTCTTGTGTACAGCACCGACGATGCTATGAGCAAGGACGCCTTCTTGTCGATTCCAGGTACGAGTACTGCGACTACTAGTAGAAACAGCCAAGGGGCGAGGCTAAGGCTGCACGCGCGTAGTCGTCGCGATCAATCCGCTGCGTGAACGCCTCTGGAGCCTCTTTGAGCTCACCCCGGAAGGCGACGTGGCGTTTCCCGTACGTCTTCCAGCGTCTTGCGCAAACTTCTGAACCGCATTAGGCTTTTGTGGCCGTCATGGCTGTCTTTACGTACCACAGCTCCAAGGATGCCAAGCTACGAGGTAGGCGTTCTGCAGCCTAGCGACGCCACTACAAAAGCACATACTAGCCTCGTTCAAGCTCCATGATTTCGATGGCGACGGACGCATCTCCAAAGCCGACTTGCTCGCGTACTTGTGTCTTGTCGCAGACTACGGCGACCCGACCGACGAGACGGAGAAGGTTGGCATTGGCTGCACTGTCTCGCCCTTGTGATGCGGTGAAGGACCTCGACATGGTGGTCACGCGCACGATGGAAGAGGTGTCGAGTGACGGGACGGCCGAGTTTCTGAGCTTTGACGACTTTGCAAGAGTACGTTGGAGGCTGATGGCTGAGGTGCATGGCGTTGCGCTACTAGGTGGTGCTCGCGACAGAGTTTGAGACCAAGTTATTGCTACCTCTGTAGTACTCATTCGACCTCAGATGCTACACGGATGAGAGCTCAAGGATCTTATGGCAAAGGTAGACAAGTGAAAATGTGATGCCATGGCGAAGAACCATGTTGTGTTTTAAAGACTCCAATCTGAAAGTTTCCCTTAAGTAAAGACAATTTACTTCTTCGACTTCTTGGTGGCGAGCTTGCGCGAGTAGAACTCGAGCTCCTTGCCCTCCAAGATGTAGCCGTCGCAGCGGCCCGACTGGCCGGGGCGCGACGAGATGCAAGCAAGGAGACGGCCCGAGTTGAACTGCTCCTCAATCTTGGGGTCGAGGACCTGGACGCGGGCGCGGGCGGCCTGCTTGCGCTCGACGTGGTTCGACTTCTTGGCAGCCTCCTCATCGTCGGCCTTGACCTTGCCGAGCTTGACGCCGTAGTGGGCTTCGTACCACTGGCGGAACGGCGTGGCATCGATCTGGATGATGGCGTTCTTGACGAGCGTCTTGGTGCGGACCAACTCGTTGTTCGACGCGTTGTAAAGCACGTCCAAGACACGCGTCTTGCGGGCCGTCACTTCCGTGCCCCACGAGAAGTTGCCGGTTTCGAGGCGAAGGGCGCGGAACTTGAGGTTACCGCCACGGACGCGGACCGTCGAGACACGCTTGGCGCCCATCTTGGTGTTGGCCGGCTGGCGGCCGAGCTCGAACTTTCGCTTCTTGCGGAAGAACTTGCGCTTGCCACCGGTTTCACGGCGCTTGTGCTTCGAGTCACGGGAGATACCTACAGAGCATCATGCATCAGCACCATGCACATAGATCATCGTTCGAATGCTGCACGACGGGGATACAGCAGTGAAGATGCTTCGCGCCCCGCAGCTGCGATGCAGCCGCGGGGTGCCAGGGCCCATGGAGGCGGGCGCGCCTGGCGGGGCGGATCCCTCGACGTCGTACAGGCAATCGTAAGAGCAGGTCGGCGTACCCATCTTAGATGCTGTTCAGACGGAGCTAATACAGGAGTGATTTCAGCAAGGTTTTTGGCCCGTCGCCATTGGTGCCAAGCTGTGTTGGCCATTGGCTTGACGCGTGCGCGTGATTGGGCGGATATTAGCCAATCCAAGCGACGTACAGTTTTGCACCAGTGAACGCGCAGTGCCGGATAAGGTGGCATAATCCGGATAAACGCAATTGCTTCGATGATTGATGACGCCTGGTGCTTGGGAGAGGCGCGAGATCGTGTCGACGAGACAAGGATGTACGCAGCAAGCTCGTAGCTGCTACTAGTAGCGAGGAAGACTATCTCGTGCATAGATTGTATGGTATAATTGTGCGTCGCAGGACGGGGCATCTCGATGCGAACGGGTGCGGACATTAGGCAGCATCGCCTGAAGACCTGCAGACCAGCATGGTCCACCGTCGACCGCTAACATAACCAGTAGATCATGGGCGCAGCATGATAGCACCGTGATTGAGAGCATCGAATGCCAACAATGTGATGCAATGACTATCATGCATGGGACCACGGGCGAAACCAAGATGGGCTGCTACCTCTATGTATCGTTCCTCTGGGGCGACGTTCGATCAATTTGACGCCGCGCCTCACCAGCATGGGCGGTACCAGCACGGTGGTTCGAGCACAAACTAGATCCGGAGCTGCTTGACGTCGCTGCTACCATGCCGATGGCGCGCAATCTAGATATCCCCGTAGCCAAGACGCCTGTGCGGCCTCTAGCTACCAACGTGGCCCAGAGTGCTTGGATCTCGCTATACAGCCCTCCGTTCCGCCCGAGTGACATCGCAAGAAGTGACTTGTGCGCCAGCGTTATGGTTGTGATTCGTCAGCATGACATTATCTAGTACCGAGACATGCAACATGCACATATAATGTAGTAATGCTCTAGACCATGCCGATCGTCTTGCACCGCGACCTCCAGTCGCTGCCGCCGCCTCAGTCGCTAACGTCTCTTTAGGATCTTGACAATCTGCGGAGCTTTGACGCCGACCATGACGCCTGGAAAGATTCGACCGACCGTGTCGTCACGGGCCTCACCCGCGGCCACACGCGTCGTAGGGCGACGACCGAAGAGCCAGACGAGCCCCCGTGCCGCCGCCTGCGCAGCCACGGCCCGGCGAGCGAAGGAAGAAGAAGGAGATTGCTAGACTCTACGTATGCGAAGTCTTTATAACAGCGAAGATAACGCGAAATACGCTCATAAGGTAAGACCATCCCTACACATCGTGACGCATCATCGTGATGCATCAGCTCCCACACCTCGATGCATCCGACTGCGGTCGTTCAAGAAGACTACATCGAAGAACCAAGAGGCACATCGCTGACTACCTCGAGCTAGTGGAGTAGAGACGAAGCTCATATCGCAAGTTAGTACGGTCCCTGTCAAGGTGTGTACAATCTTTGTCATTTTGCGTTGGACGCGGTTTGGTACGCCAATATATATTGGACGGGCCTCACGCATCAATATATTGGCCCAATAATATTCCAGTGACCGGCAAATTTCTCATTTCGCTCCCGATGGCCAAGCTCAAGCGGAAGCGCGAGGATGCGACCCCCGAGACGAGCGACCCGTATGGGATCCATCTGCCCATCTGCCCCAAGGAAGTCCACCGCAACATGCAGACGACGACAACGGCAGGGAAGAAGCGCGGGCCTCGTCCGGCCACCAACTGCAGCGAGAACCCCAACTGCATCTTCGGCCTCGGCGAGTACATGGAGGTCTGTCCCGCGCGATGCAAGCGCTACAGAAGCTCATGCAGAGCGTAGGGGATCTGGAAGACGCACCCAGCTGTGCTGGATGCGCTCGGCGACAACCCCTCCCTCGCGGTCCGGACGCGGGTGACAGAGGACGGACCAAGCACCCCGTGCGGCTTGCGCAACCTCGGCGCCACGTGCTACGTCAACAGCATGGTCCAAGTTCTCTTCATGGATCTCGCCTTCCGCCGGGCCGTGCACGAGTGGAAGCCCAACGACCGGAGCCATGTTGATGTTGGTCGCCTCGGGCAGATGCAAGCCCTCCAGCGCCTCTTTGCGAGCATGCAGTTGAGCACCAAGTCTTTTGCCGACCCGCAAGCCTTCTCGGGTACATTGAGCCTCGACGAAGACATTCAGCAGGACGCCCATGTACATCTGCATATGCGTATTGCTTGTCGTGCTCAGACATGTGTAGGAATTTACAAAGCTGCTCTTGACCCACCTCGAGTCCATCTTTGCTTTCTCGTCGGACGAGCGCCAGCGTAGCTTTATCAACCAGCACTTTCGCGGGCGCATGCAGAACGTCACGACGTGCTTGCACTGCAACATGGCGTCCACGCGGACCGAGCCCTTCAGCGACTTGGTGCGAGGCCCTCATACAATGTCTCTCATGGATCCTAGAGTCTTGGCATCCGGGGCCACGCGACGGTGCGCGACTCGTTGGAGGTATGATACCCTTCTTCCATGGATCACGGAGCGGGATGGGTGCTAGGCGTTCTTGGCGCCCGAGCTGCTGGAAGGCGACAACATGTACTTTTGCGGCCACTGCCAAAGCAAGCAAATCGCGACGCGCCAGATCCAGCTAGATTACAGTGCGTTGCCACCGACGCTGTCGCTGCACTTTATGCGCTTCGTGTACGACGTCCGATTGCAAGCGAAGAAGAAGGTCCAGGACGCGATTGCGATGAGCGAAACCTTGGTGCTTGGGCCACACCACTACAAGCTCACGGCCGTGCTCAACCACAAGGGAACGACGGCGCATGCCGGCCACTACACGGCGACGGTCTTTAGCCCCGACGTGGGCGACTGGTTTTGCTTCAACGATGTCGACGTGTCGCTTGTCGATGCGAGCGCCGTCGTCGGTCCGTCAAAGGAAGCGTACATGCTCATCTACTCGCGCGTCGCAACGCCGGTTGCGCCAGTCGACGCGATTCCATTTGCGAGTGACGTTGAGACGAGCAATGCGCAGTTTGTGCTGGAGCAAGACGCGTGGACAACCGAGGTTTGCTGCTTGTGCGTGTACCAGGATCTCACTTATATGGTCGCAGGCCAACGCGATCCAAAGCAAGATCGAAGAGCGCAAGAAGACGTACCGAAGGACGTTTGAGGCATTTGCACCCGTACCCGATGCGGACACTGAGACATATGCGTGGGTCGCGACTGCGTACATCCAGCACTGGGTCCGAGGTGCCGACATTGGGTCCAGCGGTGTCGGGTTTGCTTTCGACACATCTGCCTATTTGTGCGAGCACGGACGGTTGCAGCCAACGCTCGCGCGTCTGCACTACAAGCGGGTATCCCCTCGGGTTGTGACTGCGCTGGCGCCTCCGCCAGAGGTAGTCGTGTCGAGTGCTACGTTTGGGTATGTCTCCTACTGTTCCAAGAACACAGTTCTTATAGCTATGTGGGTGTAGCTGCGACGACTGCATGGAGGCGTGGAAAGCGACGACGTTGCAGCTGCACAACGATACGCAAGGAGTTTTGAGCCAACTGTCACACCTCCAGGCAAACGACCAGGACGGCGTTGCGTACGTCATCAGTCGCAAGTGGGTCAACGCGTGGAAGGTGTGCGTGCAACACGGTGTGAAGAAGGTCAAAACCAAGCCCGAGAAGCTCGACGAGGCAGAGACGATCCTCAAGAACCCGATCAACGCGGACATTGTGTGCCCGCACGGCGCGCTGCGGCCCAACACGCGCAAGCAATGGCGCACGATCTCGCCTGTCTCGTGGGCATACTTTTCGCGCGAAAACGCGGTCGCGCTGGAGCTCAAGGCGACAGGCAGCGCCCGCGAGTGCGACGAGTGCGCGGCCGTCGCGTTCAACTTGGAGGAGTACCATGCGCAAGCGCAAACAGCGCGCGACGACGTGCTGCGCGCGAACCCGATGCTCAAGAAGCTTTACAAGCGTCGGTTTGTGCATCCGTTTGACGATGCGACTGAGATGGCGTGCGACGTCCCGTATGTGGTGCTGCCGCGGCCGTGGCTCCAGCAGTGGCGCAAGTACTTTGACGACATGAGCGTCGACGAGCCGCCACCACTAGACCTTGCAGCGTTTCAGTGTGCGCACGCCAAGTACGTGGTGCCGCACAACATCAAGCACACGTTGCTCCCGTCGTCCGTGCCGGAGAAGCGCCATGCCGACGAGGGCGAGCTCGTGACGGTCGACGAGTGGATGCGACTGTATGCGATCTACGGCGGCGTCGACACGCCCTTTGTGGTGTTGAAGCAAAACATAAGCCACGTGGTCTATGGCACGCTGGAAAGCACGGCGGATGTCGCCGAGATCGATCTTGTGCACAGTGTCCAGCTCTGCAAAGTGTGCGAAGCGGCGCGCGACGAAGAGTTTCGCAACTTTCACATGGGTGTCGTGCACGTCGAGGTGCTTGGCCCGGACGACGTACGTACCATTGTTTGTACGTTTGCATGTCTCATACTATCGTTGTGGTCTAGGCTGTCCCGTCCAACGCGACTAATGTAAGCGCCACCGCGCTCTCCAAGCGACGTCGATCGAACCGAAAAAGTCGCAAGCAGCGCGAAACGCTACACGTCGAGTGCAACGCTGACGACACTGTCCTCCTCTTCAAGCACAAGGTATCTACCGAATGTGGTATGCTCGCGTCCGTAGACTGCGGTTAGATTCTCGAGCACTGCGACATTGACCCGAACCACCAAGTGCTCTACTTCAAAGGCGTCCTCTTGGAGAACAACACGAGCCTCAAGGCGGCGGGGTACGGACACAAAACATAGCAATCATCGCACGTCGGATTCAACGTGTTTCCAGGGTCGAAGTCCACGACACGGTCTTTATGCAGGCGCTCGATAGCGAGCTCGGCGACTCGGACGCGATTCTTGTCACGGGTCCAACCACGGAGCGAGAGCAAGGCTTTCGCTCGACAGCGTTCCATGCTGGACCATCCTCGACTGCATCTGCTGTCGAACTCGTGTGGGTGTGCGCGCAGTGCACGTTTGTCAACGACGCCGACCTTATTGCCTGCGAAGTGTGTGACGCGCCCCACTAGTTGACAGACGACGACGACGACGCAGATCTTATCCTTATCGTACAACAATGCAGTCTTAGAGCGCGATGCCGTTCTCGGCGCACCACTTCTTCATGATGCGCACAATGTACTCGACCTGCGGGTTGTTGTTGGTCTTGAGCATGCCAAAGATCTCTTCCAGCTCGACGTGCGACGCTTTGCCCGCGACGACCTTTTGGAACACGCCGACGCACGCGCCGCGCTTGCCTTCCCAGTACTCGGGGTCCGGGTCGAGGCGCTCGAGGACGTCAAAGGCCTTGGCGGCGTAGAAGAACTCGCCCATCTACGACGCGTCTCGCGTCTCTGCACCCCATGACGCGCGTACCTTGTAGCAGTCGTGCGCAATGAGCTGGAGCAAGTTGAACGACTCGTCCGAGTTGTCGAGCTTGAGGTAGAGGTCCCAGGCGCTGGACGGATTCGCGTTGAAGATGTAGCAGCGGCAGAGCCACGAGATGTAGCAATAGTCGTGCTTGTACTCGTCCTTGGTCACCTACCATCAAGGCCCATGGCACGCCGCCCGTGGGAAGCAAGGGACAAATACGCGAAGGAGCGCCTCGAGGGCCTCGGCGTGGCTGCCCGTGTTGCAGAGCGCGATGCCAAAGTTCCAGTTGAAGTCGTCTTCGTTGTACATGTACTGCTTGATCGAGTTGAGGTAGATGTTGACGTCCTCAAACTGCTTGAGAAGGTAGAAACACGACGCCATGCACTGCCGGCCCGGGATCGTGTCGCACTCGGTCGGCGAGCTCCCGACCAGCTGAAAGTACTGCTGCGCCGTCTTGATGTGCTGGCGCGAGTTGGTTTGCTGCCCGAGCGTCGCGTGCACGACTCCTACGACACCCGATTCCTCGCCTCGCCTTGTCGAAGAAGTTGAGAATGTACCCTTGAGAATGTACTCTTGGGGCGTCGATGGCTCAATGTCCTTGATGAGTTCGAACGCGTCTTGGACCTTGGCGTGCTTGAGGTAGTAGATCACCTAACATCAGCATGCGTCGTTAGTCATCGGCAGGACGATACGACGTCGGACGAGATTGAGGCGGGCCTCGGTGAACGACTCGACGAGCGGCGGCAGCACGCGCAGTGCGTTCTGCCCGTCGTCAAACACCACGGTGTTGTGGCTCACGAGGTCGTTGAGCTCCATGTTGTAGCCCTTCTCGGTGAGCACCTTGAGCTCGTCTTTGGCCGCGTTGCCATTGTAGAGCTTGAACTGGTTGCACGCCTTGACGTTGATGGCGACGACGCTGTCGGGGAACGCTTGCAGATACGCTTGCATGATCTCGAGCGAGACGTCGTAGTAGTCGAGCTTGTAGTAGCACATGGCCACATAGACGTTGAGGGCGATGTCATCTCGGTTCTCGAGCAGAAGGCGCTTGTAAATGTCGGTCGCCTAAAAGACGTCATTGCCCGTTCGATGCGATAGCAGCATGCTTCTTGAAAGTGGTTGCGAAGGTAGTGGATCGCGGCGAGCGAGAGCTGGTCCTCCTTGCTCTGCGAGAGCTGCTGGTGGTACACGAGGAGCTTGTCTTCGTCGCCCAACTTGTGTGCGCAGTGAAACAAAATCCGGTTCTGGAGTGGGTTGCTCGACGGGCCCTTGGTCGCCTCCTTCATGGCCTCCTTGTACATTTGGAGGTAGTACATGCAGCACGCGCGGTAGAGCGGGACTTCATCCGGCGGGTCGCGGACCTCGTCGTACGTGTCGAGCGACCGTTGGTACTGCCCGAGGTGGAAGTAGCAGTACGCGAGCCAGAGCAAGTGCATGCGCTTGTCCTCGGCCTTTGTGTCGTCGCTCTTGACATTGAACTCGAGGATCGTCGCGCCGCCCGTAAAGTCGCGCTTCCCGACGCACTCCTCGACCGACGGGCCCTTCTTGGCCTTGACCTTGGCCGTCTCCTGCGCCGCCTAACCACGTGGTTAGCGCCATCTCGCCTCGTCGTCGCTGCTACCTTGGCGCGGGTCGTGCTCTTGGGCTTGGCCGTGTACATGTCCGTTATGATCGCGACGCTTCAACGTACTCATCCGGATACGCCTCCGCGGCCAATCCCGAGCCGCGTGGTCCTGGCGCTGCCACGTCACGCTTCTATCAATGTATCGGTTCCGCGCGTCTTTGCACCAACTGCTGTGAAAACAATGAAAAAGAAATAAGAAATAAGACAATATTGTCTCAATCGTATATATATATATATATACATTGTAGTTGCAGCGCCTAGCCGTCCACCTTGGGGTCGTAGGTGACTTGGGCGAGGTCGAGCACTTGCTTGGCGGCGACCATCATATCCTACGCGTTCACTCAGTATTGCGTTGCGCATGGTTCGTCGCACCGCTTGGTTGATGTCGGCCGCCTCAATGTAGCCATGCCAGAGTCCGCCGAGCTAGATGCAACGTCAGGAGGCGCCGTCCTCGCAGTGTATACCTTCTTGGCCACTTGGTACTGCGCGCAGGAGAAGGGCCCGAACGTCTCGTGCAAAATCGTCGCCTTGATCTCGCTACAAGTCGCATCATGCAGCAAGCATCGTGACGAGGATGCGTACTGCAAGCGCTGTATCTCGGAGAAGAAGAGCGCGCGGTTCATGCAGAAGATAATGTGGTCGTATCGGTACGCCGACGCTTCGGCCTCGGGGCCCGTCGGCTCGGCGCGCACAAAGTAGCTCTGCTTGGGCGGTGTCGTCACCGACCGGTTGCGGTTGCTCTTGTCAAATTGCACCTACAACCCCGAATCTCGACTTGCACATATGCACAAATCTACGATACGAGGGCGAGATCGCGCACGCGAAGGAGCTCCTTGAAGTCCTTGACTTGATGCGCAATGTACTTGATGCCTTCGTGCAAGAGCAGCTCGTGGATCACGGGCTGGTGCTGCGCGAGCTCGCTCCACGCCCCGATCGCCGTCGCTACAGATAGAGAGGTCTTAGGACAGTGTAATGCACAAGAAGTGCGCAAACTCGTATGGCCCAGAATCGACTGCACCTCCGGCGCCTTGTCCGAGACCGTCACGTACTCGGTCGCCTTCCACTGTTGAAAGTGCGTCGCGAGCTCCGTGAGCTCCTTGGCGTACGCAGCCGACTTGTCAGCAAGCCGCTTCGAGCACAGAAGGAGGTCGTTGCACGCCTTGTCGACAAACTCGGCGTCGCGCTTGAGGTTGAGGAGCAGCCTACGACGCGGAATCAGTTCTGAGATTGGACGATGCAGCTGGTGCCGACTGGTCGGCGTCGTCTGGCAGCGTCGTATGCAGGAGACACTTCATCCACTGCATGTGGCCTTCGCCTGCATGCTCCATGACGACCGAGCTCTGCACCACAACCGTCAGCTACCGCGCATGAAGACGTTGATACTAGTACCTTCTTGACATGGTCCCACTCGCCATCGTCGACGACGTTGAGAAAGCCAACGACCGACGCGTCATGGCGCAGAAACGGCGATGCGACCACGTGGTTGAGGAAGAGCGCGAGGCCGCGCATGCGTCCGCGGATGAACGCCTCCGTCTTGTACACGGTCTTCTCGGGCAGCGACGGGATGAGCATGCCAATGTACCGAGCACACAGCGTCGTGTGGAGCCACTCGAAGTCGCTATCCATGCGTCACGACCAGGCGAAAAGGTCGGTACGTGCACCTAAAGCGGCGGCGCACGCGCGTGTTCTGCGGCTCCTGTTGCACCACGTACGTCGTGTGCTTCTTGAGGTAGCTGCCGCGCGACTCGGGCTCCGAGACCTGCGCATTTCGAGCGTAGCCTTATTAGCCATGCGTAGCGCCCATGTACCGTGATCAAGATCGGGTTGCGTGCGGCTTGGCCGCGCCATTGCTACATGCCGTTGCATGGGCCACATCGTTAGCATGGCACGTACCTCGTGCGCGTCGAGCGAGAAGCTCGAGCCTTGGCAGAGCTTCATGGTGCAGATGGACGCGACGACTGCGTCGGCTACGCGGGGCGACGACGACGCGGTGAACATGGCAGCGCGAGTTGGTGTCTAGTTGGCTTCCGTCTCGACGGCTGCGATCTTCGATATCGAACATCGCGAGGACGTGTCATGCGTTTTATTTGGTTCAACCTAAAACGCATCGGTTTTACCCCGCTCGACAAAAACCGCCGGGCGTATTTCGCGTTAAATAGAAAAACGTACGTTTATCGCTACCATCTGGTTCGTTTTTCTGATATAACGCGTTTGGAACAGCTGCTGCCTTCGCCTTCAACGCGTGATCAACACCCATCATGCGGCGACCCGATGACTGCGCTTGTGATCCTAGCTAATCGAGGCTGCTATTATGGTGGCTTATACACGCTTCCTGCTTCTACTGGGCGACGACGACTACTTCGTCGCATCTCACTTCTTATCTGTAATTGGCGGCCGGCGGGTACTCGTCGTGGCGGGGCGGCTGGTACGCCTTCTTCTTCTCGCCCATGCCGCCAAAGCGGCGGCTGAACGGCCCGTCGAGGTCGTCGCTGTGGTCTTGAAACTCGGCGCTGTGCAGGCCCACGTCCATGCCAAAGGCGGTCGCTGGGCGAAAGCTGTTGCTAAAGCCAAAGCTGCTGCTGCTTCCGCTCTCGTTGTAGGGCGCCGGCGGGTCCCACGAGGCGTGCGTCGCCGAGTCGGCCGACGCAAACATGCCAAAGAGGTTGGACGGCGGCACTTGGTCGGCGTGGGGCCCGACCTGGTCGGGCGTCGGCGGCGCGTCCTGCCAGTGGCGCCACTGCGGCTGCCAGTGGGGCGGCTGGTTGGGCGGGTAGCCGCGGGGCATGTGCGACGGGTGGTGATGAGGTTGCTGGTGGTGGTGCGGATGGTGCGGGTGGCCGTGGTACTCGTACTGCGGCGGCGGCATACTGCTGTACTTTTGACTCGTCCAGCCGTGCAGCATCGAGCCGTTGGGCACATTCTCGTCGTCGTCGAGCGTCGGGTCCTTGCCGTCGAGGGACATGCTGTCGAGACGGTCCACGAGGCTGTGGTCCAACATACTACTTTGGTTGGGGGTCGACCGGCCGCCGCCATATCGCACGGCCGCGGCGTACCCGCTCATGCCGGGGTCGAGGGGACTAAAACTAGAGCTAACGAGGTGGTGGTGGCTACTGGACGACTTGGTCATCGGGGACGTCGGCGTCGAGCGCGGACTGAGGAGTTCGTGGTCGCTCGACTGGCCGCTAAACGAGCCACCGCGGTTCGAGATGGACCGGACGCTGCTTGTCGTCGTGGGCGGGGCGTCGGTGCGTGGCACGGCGCGCTTGACTTCGACCTACACCATTGCATGAGCACGATGTGCATGACACGAGCGGACGTACCGACTTGCCGTCAATGACGTGTGTCTTGTCTTGCAGCACGAGTTCGACGCTGGCTTCCGTCTCGAAAATGACAAAGCCAAAGCCACGCGACTTGTTGGTCTCGCGGTTGAACATGACTTCGGCCGAGACGACCTTGCCAAACTGCTGAAAGTACGTCTTGAACTCGGCTAGACAGGCCAGGATGAGCGACGACCGTCATGCGTTCGCGTTGGCGACGTACCGTCCTTGGTCTCGTAGTGGAGGCCACCGACAAAGATCTTTTTTGTGGCGCCGACCGCACTCGCGGAGCTGACGCTGGATCCTGCACTAACATTCCCCCTAGTGGAGATACTACTTGTGTCGCGGCTGCTCTCGGCGCGTGGCACGGCCCGCTTCGCCTCGACCTGCAACCATGCACGCATGAGCGGTCGCTAGATAAACCTTCGTCACGTACCCGGCGGTTGTCGAGCACGTGGTTGGGCTGGGCTAATGCGCGATCCACGCAGGCGGGGTCGGCGTACGTGATAAAGCCAAAGCCGCGCGAGCGCCGCGAGATCGGGTCCTTCATCACGACCGCGTCCGTGACGGCGCCGTATGCACCAAAGTATGCCCGCAGCTTATCTAGACGCGCGCTCCATGAGGCCATGGTCATCGCCGGCGGCCACGTACCGTCGGTCGTCTCGTACGACAAGCCGCCGATGAATATTTTCCTACAGCGTCGCCATGAGGCCGCGCGGCGAGGCGCTGCCACGTACCCAATCTTCGGGGAGCTCTCTGTCATGACTATTCCTATCGCTATCTTGGGCGGCTGGGGGAAGCGCGCGGCCGGGGTCCGTCGGGGGTGCTTCCTGCTGACGTGACTGGAGCTAGACTGCCCCTACATTCTCCGAGAGGTTGGCGAAAAACCTCTCTCTTTTTATTCGATTCTTCCATACATTTCTAGAGCGTGCCACATTTGCGGCCGGGAGCCGCCACATACAAAGCCCAAGTCGATCGGCGGGCGATAACCTCTGAGAATGCATACCTATACAGTGTATGCGGCCCAGTGTCCCGACACCCCGTATACGTTCTGCCAGTGTGTGGCTTTTCAATTTTATATGATGCTTTTACACTAGAGATATGTATGCCAATTAAATGTAATAATTAAAAGACGTGGCCCACAGTATTTAAATACAATGGCCGGTGAGTGTTTGTCGTTGGGCGAATCTTGGCCGACGGAATCTTGAGCGACGACGCCGGCGCCAGCGAGACACGGCGCCAAGGAGACGCGCCGGCCGACTTGGGGCCGGCGCATGGAGCTTGACGCATGGGCTGCGCAGGGCGGTGGGCCCATGAAGGTGCCTACGCCGACGAAGGCCATGCTGCGATGGATGGCGACCACGTGGCGTCACGCCGCCTGGCGCCCTGTGGTGAGTAGCGCAACTGAATACTGTTGCATCCTCATACATTACGACGCAACGACTACACTATGCGTCAAAGCTCTCGCCGAGCACGCGGAGGCTTTCGTGTGGCAATATGGTGCTCCCGAGATCGGCGCAGTAGGCCGCGTACTGCTGCAGCTTGGCCTTCGTGTCGGTCGGGCACGACTTGAGTGCGAGGAGGACCTTGGGGTGCACGAGCACTGTTGTCCACTCGGTCACAAAGCGCTCCGAGAAGGGCGGCGCAATGCGACTGAGCACGAGCTGCACAAAGTTGCGCAAGAGGGCTTGGTCGAGCGCGTCCGTGTTCTGCACGATAAAGTGCAAAACGGGCAGCACGTACCCGCACGTCATGAGGTGCACCATGCAGCGCAAGGTCTCGCGCTTGAGCTCGAGGACCTTGACCGGGTTGGACTCGGGCTGGCACATGAGCGCCTTCACGAGCACGTTGAAGACGGTCGGCCACTGCGCCATGTGCAATGCAATGTCGTGCCGAAGGAGCTTGAGAAAGACCGGGAAGCAGGCGTGTAAAAATGGGCCGTTCAAGAAGCTCTTGGACTCGAGGAGCCGGCTAAGCCAGTGGAGGACGCCCATCGCCACGACCGGCGTCTCCATCGTCCGCAGCACCTTCTCAATCGCCTCACTCTCGTGCATGTTGTAGCTCAGCGTTGTCTCGCTTTTGCACACGACGGACGTTTCTTCGAGCGCCTTGGCTACCGCCTCGAACGGCGGGCACGCGTGCGCCGACATTGCATGCGTGTCGAGGAGCGACCGGTCGTCGACGACACTGGCAGCATACGCCAGTACGTACGCCGAGGCCGACCGATGACTCTCGGTGATCGACTCGTACGGGTGGAAGAGTGCGTCCGTGAGGTACTCGAGCACCTACATATCCAGTGGATACATCTCTCTCTCTATCCAGCAGCCCAGCGACGTACGAGGTGTTCACGGACGTGGGCGACCGGCGGCGGCGACGGCCGCGCGTACACTTGCTTGAGGAGCTCGGCGCACGCGGCCGAGCACTTCCGTTCGCGGTACAGCATGTCTGTACGGTGCAGTTGATACATTGATACAAACGTACAAGGCGGTACCGATGGCTTGGGCGAGGTCCGGAAACGTTTGCGTGAGCTGCGCGCGCTTGAGGACATGGAACGCCTGGACTTTTCGGCCGCCGTGCTTCTCCAGCACATGCGCATGGAGTTCTTGCCGCAAGCGGTCGAGTTTGGTGCGGAGCGCCATGGCCGCGCCGTCCTGCGCGCGCAGATGCGTATCGAGCTGCAAGAGGACCTCTTGCGTGTACACGTGCGAGTACGCGGCGTGTGCACACATTTTCTGGAGCGCGTACAGGTCGTCGCGGACCTCGTCGACCGACGCCGACGGCATCTAATGCCATTCAAGGGTTAAGGAACTCTGAGATGCGGATCACCAGCCGCATCGTGCTGCGTACCCGCTGCAGCATGTCGGTCACGATGGCGTTGAACACGGAGAAGAAGACGTTGGCGTTCGTGATGGATGCAATCTCCTTGTGGTGCCCGGCCTCCGAGATGCGGCGGATCGCATACTGGAGGAGCCCACACGTCTAATATCAATGGCATCGGTCAGCGACGGACAGAATATGTATATGGCCGTGTACCGAGTGCTTCTCGGCGAGCTCGATGAGCATGAGACGCCACTGCTGGTCGTGGAGCATGGCCTTTAGCCACACCGGCTCGACGATCGAGTCGCTGAGCACGTTCGAGAGCTACCCACGCGTTAGCAACGTTATGGAGAGATACAACGACAGACCAGTTTGGGGTCGTAGCGGTCCATGATGGATTCCTTGAGGTACGCAAACGTGAGCGCGTCGGGTGCGTCCCAGACCGCGGCTTCCTTGGCCGTCATGACCGATGCCATCGTCGCGGGGCCGTTGGCCGCGAGCAGCGCCGGGTCGGGCGCATCGAGAACGTCGAGCCAGCTGCTGACCAAGCGCGTCATCTCGGGGTGACCACGGTACGACGACGAGAGCTGCTTGACGAGGAGCTCTGCGCATATCTATGGCATGAGAGACGCATTCGAGGGGTCGAGCCAACCTGGGCCGTTGGCGTCCGTGTGCGCGCGCAAAAAGCCGTTGATCGCGCTGAGGATATCGAGCTCCATGATGGCGTCGGTCTTGCCCAGGATCTATACGAGAAGCATGAGTACGTCCTGTCCGTCGCCTGCTCATGCACACCTGGAAGGCCGGTGCGGCTTCGTCCTGGATCGCGTCTGCGAGGGCTCCTGCGTCGTCGTCGTCGCGCAAGATGAGCGTGGACGTCGCTCGTCCCGTGCGCTTGGGCTTGTTCTTGGCCTTGAGCTTGGACGACGCATGCTTCTCGCGCTTCTTGCGCTTCTTGGCCTTCTCATCGTCCTTGGCGCTCACATCGTCCGCAGCCGCCGGCGCCTCGCCGCTTGTTGCGAGGGTTTCGTCGTCTTCTGTCGCTTTGCGCTTGGCGCGCTTCCGGCTCGGGCTCTCGGCGTCCTCGGCTGTGAGTTTGGACGACGACTTCTTCTTCTCGAGCTTCTTCGTCGTCGACTCGTCGCCGGCGTCGTCGGCCTTGGCCGCGATCTTCTCGAGGTCGTCCTTGGTCACGTAGCTCGTGATCTCGACGTTCTCGGGCTTGATCCACTGCGACGTCTTGGAGACGCGGTCGTAGTAGTAGAGGCGCAGGGTCGTCTTGTCCATGCGCTCTTCCCACGCCTGCTTGGAGGCCGACGGGAGCTCGGCCGGGACGAAGTCGTCGGGCTTCTCCCACACGCTGGCCTTCGTCCCCTTGTTGTAGTAGTACGACCGCCCGTCCTTGGTCTTGTGCTCGGTCCAGACAGCCATTCTTGCGCCAACGGTTCAAAGCGCTACTGAGCACATCCGGATACGAGCGTCCGGATAACGCGACGCTGAAGTCATTCCAGTATCAACCTCACGCTCCTGCTGGCACGGACACAGGACACGAGGCCCATGTGTCTACTTCGCTCCTCCGCTACGATGGTATGATAGCTGGCATCGCGGAAGCGTCGTCACCGCAGCAACAAGGCCGGCTGGCGCCGCCTTGATGCATAGGCTGCTCGGTCATACACCAAGGTTTGGATTCGTGCTAGGATGGTGCAGAGAATGGTCGGGTTGGAGTAGACGGCCTACCACTGCAAGCACGACACCTGACTAGCATGCTGCCTGGCCTGCGCCTGGAGGTGCTGCTGCGAGCGAAAGTGTCGTCGTCTGAGCTTGGTTAAAAGGGTCCGTGTTGCCCGAGCATGACATGCCCAACACCTCAAGGCGAAAGTGCGCCGAGCCTTTTGGCGGCTACTACAATGCAGCTGCATGCGCTGAACGAGAAGGCAAGGTGTGGATCATGGGCCGTGGTCGTGCTAGGATGTATCGTGTTCCTATCCGGTTGTTACTATGGCGCTAGTTGCCGCTGGTTTCGTTTTGCATCGCTTCGACCTTGCGCAGCCCGTTGAGGCCGGCGACGCGGTAGGCTTCGGCAAGCGTCGGGTAGTTGAAGACGGCGTTGCGGAAGTACTCGAGCGTGCCGCCGGTCGACATGACGACCTGGCCAATGTGAATGATCTCGGTCGCGCCTTCCCCGATCGCGTGGACGCCGAGGAGCTTGAGCGTACTGGGGCAGAAGATGATCTTGAGAAAGCCGGGCGTGCCGCCGAGCATTTGGCCTTTGGCCAGCTCCTCGTAGCGCGCGACGCCGACCTCGTACGGCACGTTCTCCTTTGTGAGCTGCTGCTCCGACTTGCCGACCATCGAGATCTCGGGCACGGTGTAGATGCCAAAGGGAAACACCTCACCCGACCGCATCCGCGTTCGAAAATGCGACGTCTCGTACGGGTCGAGGTCGGTCCGGTTCTTGTTCGTCGGCTCCGACGTGCGCATGTGCACGGACGCCAGCCGCCCTTGCTCCATCGAGACCGAAGCGAGGGCCGGGTACCCAATGCAGTCGCCGGCTGCGTAGCTACCGTTTTGCACTGAGCACTCTGGCTGTAAATAAGAAATCTAAGATAACGCGTACATGTGCGGGACGCTCGTTTGAAAGTTGTTGTTGACTTCAAGGTACCCACGGTTGTTGGCTTCGAGACCAACCGCTTCCAGGTCGAGACCCGTGACATTGCCCTAACGGTCGTACATAGCGTCAGTCATCAGCATTGCGAGAGCGAGGTACCTGGCGACCTTGGGTGTACAGCAAGGCGTCCCCGACAATGATCTTGCCGCTCTTGAGATGCACGACGACCTCCTTCTCGTCGAGGCGCTTCTCGACAAAGTCGATCGTCTCCTCAGTCAAGAAGCGCGTGCCCCGCTGCCGCATCGAGTAGCAAAGCGCGTCCGAGACTTCCTTGTCGGCCATTTCAAGAATCTAACAACACGCGACTCACACATAGGACGCGCGAGCGAGACGCTACCTCCTTGCGGCCGTCAATGACCGTGACCTGCGTGCCAGGGATGATGCTGATCATCGCCGCGTACTCCATGCCAATGACGCCGGCGCCAACGACAATGAGGCGCTTCGGGACGTTGGTGAGGGCGCCCCAGAGCAGCTGGTCGCTGTCAAAGATGAGCTCGCCGTCAAAGTCCATGTTGGGGTGGCGGGCGGGCCGCGTTCCGACCGAGATCAGAAACTTGTCGGCCGTGAGCACGCGCTTGCAAATGTTGGCGTCCGAGTGGCGCTGGCCGTCCGTGGCCTCCGTGTACGAGTCGTTCGAAAGCACCTACGTCATGGGCATGCTACATGAAAGGTGTGCACAGAGAAGGGCGGGCGTACCGCGACCGTCTTCTTGTCTGCATCCGGAAGGAACCGCGCGGTACCGTTGATGAGGTAGATGCCGTTGCGGAGGAGCTGGTTGCGCGTGAGGTCCATCTCTGCGCTCTCGACCTTCTGGACGCGATCGAGAATGTCCTGGATGCTCATGCGCTTGCCGCTCGTCGCCGAGTACGCGTTGCCGTAGAAGCCCTTGTGGCGATGCGCCGTCAAGTGCAAGACGGCCTCGCGGAACGTCTTGGACGGAATCGTGCCCGTGTGCACGCACACGCCGCCGTGCATGTCCTTCTTGTCGATGATCGCGACCTTCTTGCCGTGCTTGGCGCTGTCGATCGCACACTTTTGGCCCGACGGACCACTGCCAATGACGACTAAATCAAAATGCTCGCTTGCGCGGAGGTTGCGCAGGATGTTGGTGAACGAGCAGGCGTCATCGGCCTTGGCCTTGGCCTCAGTCTCGGTCGAGAGAAAGCGGAGGCTAGGGACGGCGGCGCGCCGCGAGCGACGGCCGAGCGCATGCAGCATCATCCTCCGTGGCCGAAATTGACGTTTGGTTGACAAAGGGCTTGAAAAATCCAGCCAGCCTCAACCATTTTATCCGGATTCATCGACCGGATACGGAGGCGGGACAAACCTTGATTTGTCCCAAATCGATGGCATTTTGTCCAAGGACGCCGACAACAAAAAGCTGCTGTGCCACGTCTCGTACGAGCAAAATACAGTGCGATCGAGCAAGCGACCTACACGTACGTGCACGCGTCGTAGTCCCAGCGCGGGTGTCCAGGCGCTGGCACACACAAACTCTGCAGCGATTCCCGCAGCTCTCGGGCATTTACCCAGATCCGACAAGGTGTCGGATTTGCGTGCATTTGCTCTCTACAGGCAGCTGTGCTCTGTATAGGTAGAGGACACTGCGACTGCTGCATCTTGCACTGACGCACCGGATGTAACTCAAGGGTTGCGAGCTTTGTGGTGGCTATGATAGGCGGCGACAAGTCGTCGTTGTCGGTCTAGTTGTGTCGCACTGTAGCTAGGTAAACTGGCTCGGTCGTACGCTGCAGACTGTCTGCCTCCTCAAATGTCTGCGTGTTCGCGCTTGCTCGACAATTCTTGTCCTGGCGCCACGATTCCTCGGCCAAGGTTTGTCCCAATGTCCCCGACGCGACCGGATATACGGCATCCGGATCGGCCCGACGTTTTTCGCTGGGCGCCGTCACGGCTGTGATTGGCTAATAGCAAACCTGTTACATTGCATCTTGCTCGGTTAAAATATCCATTGTGACAGGTAGCTGTCCTTGAACATACCCAAGTCATTTGTTGAGGCTGCTGTGGTCGTGCTTCAGCTTGCTCTTTTTGCGCCAGCGTCTCGGGTACCCGAGCATGTTTCGGCGTCTCTCCGCCCCTTCTCTCTTCGTCACCGCCATCTCACGACGGTCTCTGGATCGAAATCCAACTACGAACTAAGATTGGCCGAGGTTGAAGAGGCGTGCAGTGGCACAGGAGTCGTACTGGGTGCGGCCCTTGCCGTGCAGCTACTCGCAGTGCAGTGCCGAGAAACGCAATCGTCTACAGCAGCTTCTACAGCTCATCCTGGCAGCTGCGGCCACCTTCAACTCATTTTTACAGGCTGCGAGTGGTGGCAGACGCCACGATTTCTCGGCTTGGCGTCCTTGGAATATCATCCTCACGCTGAACGGCGCGTGATAGTTCATGCGCCGGCTGGCGCTGTAACATACACATCGTTGACATGGATGCGGGATCTTGCGCACAGCGAATCACCACCGCGTGGTGTCCGGCCCGCAACGCTTTTTAAAAAGCGCTAGTTAAGTATGGAAATAAAGAGGCTCGATTGGCTTGGCCTCCGACACTCCAAAGCTGGCACGGCCATCTCGCTGGTATCCCAGTATCCCATCGTACCCACACTCTCGCTACCCTCCTCGCTTTGGAAGGAAGCGACTGCGAGCGACCATAGGTTGTCCGCGTCTGCGTTGGCGCCATCGTAGCAGAGCATCGCCGATCGATTTCTGTGACTCACGCCGGCGCACTGGCACCGCCGACTCGCTTGCGCGCTCGTAATGGCGCGGTCACTGAGGCGTAATGGGCGAGCTTCAGCGTACATCGACCAAGTCTAATAGGGCCAGCACGGGCTTGGAGGGACCACGCACCATTAGGTACCCGCCGGTTTTGTGCAGGTACAAGTGTACCTTGTCGGCGTCCGTGCCAGCTCTGTCAATGACAGTGACCGTCCGTCACGTCCAGTCGTGGACGTCATTGCCATGAACCTCTCTCTGCGCGTCGCGCCAGCAGCGAGATGCACGAAGCCAACGTCGCTCATAAACATAATAAATAGAAAGCGAGCGCTCGCCAGAAAGCCATGGCAGCAGATGTAATCCGCGAGTAACTACTGTACGCCAGCAGGTCTCGCCATCCATTCCCCAATTCGACGCCCATCGTCGCATTATCAGCTTCTCCGGTCATCATGAGCACCTTGCCCGCGACGACCGAGCACAAGGAAGGCTTCTTCCACTGGAAGTGGGGCAAGAACAAGCAGAAGAAGTCCACGTCCACCAAGAGCCTCCCGCCCATGTCGGCGCCGGCCGTGATTTCGCTGCCGGTGACGCCGACTGCGACGCCGACCGAGTCGACGACCAACCGCGCGACCAGCACAGGCCCGCGGTCCGCGCCCGTCCATGGTGGTGACGTGCGCAAGTCCATGGTCGAGACCACGTGGCGGCCGCGCGCTGTCTTGCGCGACTCGGTCCTCGCCCGCGAGCCAGACGTCGCGATCGAGAAGGCCGTGAAGGGCAAGCTTCTCCTCATGCACCCGTCGACGTCCCTCGACTGGTACAAGAACCGCATTCGCGAGCTCGAAGCCGACATTCGTACCAACACATGCCGAGCGTGCATTGAAAAGACCGAGGAGGCCGCGCGCCTCCAAGAACAGGTAACGATCGAGAAGGGTCGACTGCAAGCCGACATTGAGCGGCTCCGGAAGCGCCTCGGCGAACTCCTCGACGAGAAGAAGCTCTCGGAAACCCAACGCTCGAACCAAATGTCCGAGCTCCAGCAGACGATCGCTGGCCTCGAGGCGCAGGTTACGTCCGTCTCGGCCGCAGAGGCTGCCGCGGCGGCGGCGACGACGACCGCGTTGGCGCAGCTCGCCGCCGAACAGGCCGCGGTCGCGGAAAAGACTGCGGCCATCGATGCGCTCTCGTTGCAACTTGCGGACTTGCAACGCGAGTCTGCTGCGACGGCCGTGGCGACGTCGGCCGAGTCGGCCGCTTCGGCTGCCGCCATGGCGTCACTTGACGCCCAGCGCACCGAGTTGGTGGCGTCGCTTGCAGCCCTCGAAACCAGCCACGCGTCGGAGAAGGTTGCTTTGGATGCGTCGGTCGCCGACCTCTCGGCCCAATTGGCGGCGGTCGAGGCCAACCTGGCGTCGTCGTCGGCCGCCCACGCCGCCGTTGCCGCCGAGCTAGCGACTGCCACGGCCACCGTAACGGCCAAGGACGCCGAAGTGAATGCGCTCAATGCGAAAGCGGACGCCCTTCAAGTGGAACTGGCGGCCGCCACGGCGGCGGTCGCCACCGCGTCCGAGGCGCATGCAAGCGCGACGGACGCCCATACGCACGCAGCGACTGCGCTTGAAGCCGAGCGCGATGCGTTGCGCGCCCAGGTCGAGACGCTCGAGACGGCGTCGGCCAACGACAAGGCGTCCCACGTGAGTGCGCTGACCGCGCTCGAAGCGAGCCTGGCGACGGCGGCCTTGCTGCAGGCCACGACCGAGGGCCAGCGTGCGGCAGCGGAAGCCAAGGAAGCGTCGACGGCAGCCGAGCTCCAGGCCACGACGGCCAAGCTGGCGACCGTGGAAGGCGAGGCACTGGCGGCGGCCGCGGCCGCCGCGCTTCTTCTCTCGACGACGCGCTCGTCGCACGCCGAGGCCATCGCCGCGATGGAAGATGAGCGGGACGGGCTCGCCGCCCAGCTCACCGCCCTCGAAGCCAGCCGCGCGTCGGACGCCGCTACGTTTGCGACCACGTCGGCGTCCTTGGAGGCGCGCATTGCGCAGCTCGAGACGGACGCCGAAGCTGCGGCCGCCCTTCAAGCCACCACGGAAGCGCAACTGAGCGCCGCGATGACGCAGGCCGATGTCGATGCGGCCGAGCTTGCCGTGCTACGTGCCAAGGTGACAGTCCTCGAAGCCGAAGCCGCAGCGACGACCCTCGCTCTCGCGACCGTGTCGACCGAGCACTCGGACACGACGGCGGCGATTCTGGCCGAACGCGACGCGTTCCAAGCGCAACTCGCGGCTGTTGAAGCCGCCAACGCCGCCACGACCGCCGCGCTTGAGGTTGAAGTTGCCGCTTTGAAGGACCAAGTCTCGGCCCTCGATGCCGCTGTGGCTGCGGCGGCGGCGGCCCAAGCAACGTCCGACGCCGACTTGGCAGCGGCCAGTAACGACGCGGCGGCCAAGCAAGCCGAGGTCGAGGCTCTCTCAGCGCAGCTTGACGCGGCGGCTCAGGCGCAAGTCGAGGCGGCCGAGGCCACCGCGGCGCTGACGACCGAGCGTGACGCCCTTCTGGCGACGGTTGCGTCGTTGGAAGATTCGTCGAATGCGTCGGCGACCGAGCTCGCGGCTCGCATTGCGGCGCTTGAAGCCGAGGCCACGGTGGTCCTCGCTGCGCGTGACGACGCAACGAGCCGCGTCGCTGAGCTTGAAGCAGAGCTCGTGACGTCGCAGGCGAGCGCGGAGGAGGCGTCGGCCGCGGTCGCTGCCCGCGAGTCCTCCAACAGCGAGTTGGCCGCGCAGGTCGCGGCGCTCACGCTCGACCGGGACACGCGTGCGGCGCACGTGACGGCGCTGGAAGCGGCACATGCCACGGATGCCACGGCGCACGCGGCGGCGATTGCCGAATACAAGGCCCAGCTTGTGGCATTCGAGGCGCAAGTGGCCGCGGCGGCGGTGGCGTATGCCGCGCTGGAAGCGGCATCGAGTAACACGGACGCGTCGGTGACCGCGCTCACAAGCTCGATTGCGCAGCTGGAAGCCGACGCCGCGCTGCAGGCGGCGCATATCGTGACGCTCACATCGGCCCGCGACGACCTCCACGCGCAGATGTCGGCCCTCGAGGTATCGCACGCCGCCGAGATCGAAGCGCTCGAGGCGCAGCTGGCGGCCGCGGAAGCCAAGGCGCTTGATGGCGACGCCTCGGCTGACCAGGTGGTGGTCCTGCAGGCGACATTGGAATCGACGACTGCCGAGCACGCGGCGGCCCTCGCCGCGGTGACCGAGCAGGTTGTCGCCAAGAACGCCGAGCTTGCGGCGTTGGCCGCGGAGAAGGACGCGCTGTCGACTGCCAACGCGGAGCTCTCGGCGACGATTGCGCAGCTGCAGACCGAGGCAATGACGTTGACGGCGGCCAATACGACGCTCGAGACCTCGTACGCTGCTCAAATCGACGAGCTCAAGGATACGATCGCCTCGCTGGAGGCGACGTCGGCGACTGCGTTGGCAACGGCGGTCGCCGAGCACGCTATCGCGCTCGCTGCTGCGCAAACCCACGTGACGACGATCGAAGCCGCCAAGGACGAGCAGCTCGCCGAGCTCACAGCACACAACGAAGCGCTGACGCTGGCGACGGACGAGCAGCAGACAGTGATCCAGCGGCTCGAAGCCGACATTGCGGTCGAGAAGGAGCAAATGGCGACGCTGTCGAGCGACCACGCGGCGAAGGAGGCCCTCCTGCTGGCCAAGATCGCCGAGCTCGAGGCGCGCCTCGCAGCCTTTGACGGCATCGAAGCCGAGCTGGAAGCCAAGCGGTTGGCCGAAGTCGCACGGTTGGCCAAAGAGTACGTCGTCGGACATGGGTTGGATAGCGCGCTCATACTTGTTTAGGGCAAACGACGCTGAAGCGGCGGCCGCCGACGCCGCGCGGCTGCGGGCACTCGCCGAGCAGGAAGAGCGTCTGCGGCTCAAGCCCACGAGCACGGTCTCGCGCCTCCTCCGCGTGCAGGTCGAGCGCTGCGAGGACCTTGTCGCGGCCGACACGGTCTTCATGGGCGGCAAGAGTGATCCGTATGTGGTCATGAAGGTCGGCGACAAGAAGTTCAAGACGACGACGGTCACGTCCGAGCTCAACCCGGTCTGGACGCACGAGATCCACGAGTTTACACTTACCGAGGGCCTCATGTACACGAAATCGCTCGAGCTCTTCGTGATGGACCACGACAAGATTGGTGACGACGAGATCATTGGGTCGCTCACGCTGCCGCTCCTGCAGTTTGAGCAGTCGCCGCCGACGGGCAAGGAGGCCATCTTCGACCTCGATGTGCCCGTGACGTTCATGAGCCAAAACAAGGCGAGCAAGATCGTCGTCAAGTTCGAGTTGCTCACAGAAGAGATCGAAAAGTCGTCCAAGGAGCAGCTCATGTGGGAGAACGAGCGGTACGCCAACCGGGCGTGGGCCAAGGAGAATTTGCTGCCAAAAGAGCGCAAGGCGTGGAGCGTCGGCGCCCGGTCCGGCGACTCGCGCGAGCAAATGCAGCCCAAGATCCCGAAAGGCATGGAGACGAAGCTCGGGTGGAGCCTCGACCTCGACCACGGTGATGACAACGGGTGGTTTTACGCCAAGTCGTTTGACGGACCGTGGCTCAACCAGTCGAATTCGTCAGTCGAAGTGCGCCGCCGCATGTGGACCCAGCGCTGCACGACGATCGTCGTCGTGGACGACAACCAAGTCGACGACGCGGCGACGACGGCGGCGTAAACTGTTGATACTGCAAGTGTAGTCGTACCAAGATATATAAGACCAACATTGTATTTTTCTGTACAAATGGTCTACTCTAAGCTGCAGACGTAGTGTGTTGCATGACAGTCGTAGACTGGTGTCGCTCTGCTGATGAAACACTCGAGCAAGTGTCTGAGATTGATATATTGATATATTGATATATTGATAGATTGATACATAGGAGGTTTCCTAGAGCGTTCGCGAGACGATCATTTTTGGTTCGGACTGGCAGAGATCAAGGGCACTGTCTGATTCTGGTGCAGTTGTCCCATGACACTCCTTGCGTCTGCGAGCACCAGACTCGACAAGAAAAATGAATTATTATTTGGTAGACAACTAGAAACTTATTGCAAACTCAAGAATCGTCGCTAGCGTCGAGAAGCATCGCGTGCCCTCGGTCGTCATGCTCCCACATGCACAGCTCGGTGTAGCACGAGAGCCAGTCAATGTAGTGGCACTCGTCGTACAGCCCGTCCTCGGCTTCTCTTCGTGCGTCGTTCTCAGCCATGTTGTTTGCATCTGCCTTCTCGCCCATGCACGCGTCGGCACCTTGGACGTCGGGGATCGCGGCGACGTCTGCCCCGGCGCAGCCGGCGTCCCGCAGACGCTGCAGCACCGCAGCATCTCGGTTCGCGACTGCACACGCGACAGCGCTTCGTGCGCGCTCGTGGTCCGCGTCGACTAGCAGCAAGAACTGCAGTGTTTGGTCTTGGCTTTCTTGGGCGGCCCAAAAGATGCCCCAGTGGGTAAATCCTTCCGTGCGGTGCTCGTACAGGTACATGAGGACATCGAGGTGACCTCGCTTGGCGGCGACGTCCATGGCCAACGTCGTACAGCCTTCGTCTCGGTGCATGCAGAGAAAGCGGACCATGTTCAAATGGCCAAAGCCGGCGGCGCGGTCCAAAGCGCGGTGGGTGCCACCTTCATGTCGATGGTCGCTCAAGTAACGCACCATCTCCATGTAGTTGTTGCGCGCAGCAACGTCAAATGCGATCGGACTGTAGCCTTCGGTCCGGTGCGTATGGAGGAAGCGCACGATGTGGAGGTTGTTGGCCATGATGGCAGCATCCATTGCGTCGACGGTGCAGCCGGCTGTAAAGTGGGCCTGAAGGTACGCGAGCGTGGCCAAGTGCCCGCCCGCGGCCGCACTGTTCATCGCTTGGCGCGTGCACCCCGCGTTAAACCGTTCGTGCAGCAGCTGCACCGTGTGGAGGTCGCCGTTGGCCGCCGCCGCGTCGACCGTGCGGATTGAAAACGACACGTTGTACGCGGCCATGAGAAACTCGACCATGTCGACACGGCCCGTGCGCGCGATCAGATCGAGCGCTGCGGAGGTGCAGCCTTCGGAGCGGTGCTTGTGGAGCCAGTCGACGACGTCAAAGTGCCCGCCGCACGCCGCGCTGTCCATGGCGGTCGTCGAACACGTGCCGCCCGCCGCGTGGAGCACTTGGAGCACCTCCAGGTGACCCGCACCGGCGGCAAGATCCATCGCGTGGCCTCGTAGCGGCCGGTCCATGAAGAACACCTCGGACATGCGCTCTGGTTCCAGGACGTTCTCGAGCAGGTGCCGCAGCAGCGACGCGTGGCCGCCGCACACCGCCGCATGCGCCAGTGCCACCGGACAGCGCAGCATCGGTGCAAGCACGTCGAGCCACACGTGCGTCATGGGCGCCACGAGAATCTCGGGCACAATGAGACCTTCGGTGACGATGCGGCCCTCGCTGTCGACGGCGGGTCTGGAGGCGTCGTAGAACGTCACATAGTAGAACGACCTGTCGTGCGTCGTGCCGGTCGGGAAGGCGGCGTCACCGAGAAAGCGACAGAGGCGGTCGTACGTGGCGCGCGATTGGACGCAACGAAAGCTGCTTTTGTCGAGCTGCACGCGCGGCAGCTGCGCCCAGTCGCCGGGCCACTCGCTCCGCAAGGCGTCTTCCCAGATGCCACGCTTCGTCGCGGGCTCCAAGGTCGCGTCGCCCAAGCGGCCAGCGAGGTACTGCGTGAGCAGACCGGCGTATCCCATGATGGTGTCGTGGAGCGGCTCGATCGTCGCCCACATCCGAGTCGACGCGCTGTGTCCTCGGCGAAATGGCTAATGCTTGGCCTGCGTCCCGCCGAAAACCTATTTTTATTCGCTAAAAATAAGAATCAAATAAGAATCACGGCGAATTAGAGCCGGTCGGTGGAAAGTGAGGAGTGGCTCGGCTGTTTTTGCAAACGCGAATTTTCACATTTTGCTCTTGGGCGATAGAAGGCTGACCGCTTGCGCTTCTGTTGTCGCAAGCCTCGTTGAGCAACTCTTCGAGAGCCCTTAGGCCCCGATCCAAGCAAGAGCCCGCCGCATAATTGAAGCCCCCTTGGCAGCGGGCGAGCGTGATGAGATCGCCGTGACTAGCATGTACACTAGCGACCTTCTACCAGCCTAGGCGTACTACAGCGTATCGTGTGGGCACACAGCAGTCACATCTGCGAGTGATCGGCGTTCAGGAACAGAGCAAAAATCGCTTCAGTCGTCGCGAGAGGGTCTTGGCGCATACATTTTTCCAGTCATATTTTAATTAAGGAGTGTGAAATCAATTTCGGGATAGAGCCTTTGGACCCTGATTTTCTTATCCGGATTTCATGATCCGGCATCCTCGGACATGTCACATAGACATCTGAACCAAGAAATCTTGGTGCCAAAAGCAGTGCAGTTGGACCAATCCGGACGAGAATGATGGTTCATAAAGTTGCACTGAGTGATGGTTGCCCACGCAGCTCAGGAATCGTGCTGTGAAAAAGTCAACGCGGTGGAGACCAGTACGAGACGACAGAAGACTGCACGCTCCAGTACACACTCTGTATGGAAGCTATTTGAGATTGCCGACGATATTTCTTGCGCTGGTATACACTGGAATGCGGCAGCTTGGAGTTGCATTTCAACAGTGTTTTGTGTTATACAAGGCTCTGCGTGTGGACTTGCACGCTCACGAGGGCTTCGTCGACGAGCGCAAAGTACGATTTGACGAGCGCATGGCCCGTGACTTGAAGCACTCGATGCAAGTGCGTCTCGACGGGGACGCGAGGCGGCACGGCCCTCAACGCTTCGGTGTACAGATTCGGGTACTCGGTGCGAAGGAGGGCGGCCACCGACGGGTACGGCTCGTTGGGCTCGAGCACCGAGACCGTTCGAATCACGCACTGGGTCTTTGAGATCGGCCGCACTTCGTTCCTGTCGCATTCTTGAGTTTTTGAAAAAGAGTGACGTTGTCATACCATTCTTGAAATGTGTCAATGGTGCTGGAGACCGCAAAGACGTCGTCGTGACGAATCGACCGGTAGGCGACGAGCACGCGCTCGTTGTTGATCGTGACGCGCCGATGAAAGACATTGACGCTGCGCCCGTCACAGAGCTCGCGCACATAACTCATCTCGCTGTTCACACCCAATGCGTGGTGCAACGACTACGCATCATACTCGCGTTTGACTATTGCACCGAGACCAACCACCGAACAAAATGCACGCACCTCGACGTCACTCGAAACAAGCGAGCTCGGGTGCAGGTGGCATTCGGGTGACGCGCGGTTGACGAGCCACAGCGCTTTGGCGGCCTCGTGCATCGACGCCGTCACGATCTTTTGCATGACGAGCTTCCGGCCGAGCGGCGACCACTCGACGCGAATCGAGTCTTCCAGCGTGTGCGGGAAGAGGGCCGGGTGCAAGCGATCGTCGACAGCACGGTCGAGCTGCTGCGCTATCCAATGATACCCGACGTGCCGAATGTGTGGGTCCATAGGGAGGTACGCGTCGCGCCATGACGCTTCGGCGAGTCGTGGCGGTACCGTCTAGTCAACAAACTACCAATCAATATTCTCCATAGTCTCCGTGTCTTGATGGATACATACAGGAATCGATGACATGGTGTGGACCCACGCCTGCAGCTGGCGCAAAAGCAACGACGTCGTTGCGAGCTCGGCTCGAAGCGCCTTGTTCTCGAGCACACTTGCCTGTGTGCTGGTGCGCAACGCGAGCGCGACGTCCTGCCACGACAGCTGCGTGCTCTGGAGGGCGCTGGCCGTCTCTCGGAGCTCGGCGATCGATGCGATCAGGGCCGTGATATCGCGCTTGTGCTGCTCGCGGGCCTTGCGCTTTGCCTCGCGGTCCCGAACTCGGCGTCGTTCGTAGACCGCAGCGTTTTTGCGCATTGTCGTACTGTGTGATGGGAGCTCGAAATTAGAGTGCGCCGACGTGAAACACAAAGGTCTCCGGCGTAAGGACGGCAATCACGGTGGTATTTAGGCGGTAATGGCCTCAAGAAACCCCGCCTTTCACGAGCACAAGGAAGGCGCGTCACCTGTCGACGACGACCGCTTCCGCCAATCGCATGCGTTGGTTTGCGGTGCGTACGCTTCGTGGAGGGTGTGATTGGGACGTCCATGCGCGACCACCGTGGATGGACCACCCACGATACGTCGACAACGACGCAAACACTGACGGTCGTGACGTAAACGTCAAGAAGGAACCCAGAACGACGTCCTGTCGTCGTCCCGGCTCCATCACGGGCGACGTCCCACATCACATATGTTGAGCACGGTTCTATAGTATCGGATTTGGTCTGGTGATTGCTCTAGGGTTGGGACTGACACGCCTCGGTGGCCTGTCTCGTTCAGGTTCAAAGCTTCAGAACAACACTACGCCAGCACACGCGTATCGCAGCGCGATTGTTGAGCCGTGAACGTCACATCTTGGCTCGAAGTCCGCACGACGATCTTGTCGTTAGGCATTCGCTCCCGTCGCAGAGGCAAGTCGGTGACGAGATAGGCTTGTGGTAGCTCCAACTTGGAAATGCGTCAAATCTGGAGCTTCCAGAGTTGGTCACCAGCGGTGCTCGTCCTTATTACGAGCAGCACTGAGGTTTTCCTAGTACCACTGCACCGATTATTACGCTATCGCTCTACGAACCGCGTTGCGGGATGTTTGTTGTGCACTAGCCGGAACTTGGAGTTAAATCGTTCAGGTAGGTCCTATGCTCCTTGCGAGAGACCGACCACGATATCAACCACGAAACACACAAGGACTAGGGCACCGATTCCTGGTGACCATAAAATGCACTGCTTGTACATTGTTCCCTTGACAAAATGCATTCAACCTTCGCGACATGTACACTGTATTTGATTAAGCTAGAAGTGACCGACACGATCATTGCCATCTCTAACGCAGCCGACGTCGAGGTACATCACGCTATCTTTGGCGGTGCAGTGGCCTCTACAACACTGTGCTACGCTGGCCCCGGCCGCGGCGCTTTGACCCCCGTGATTGGTCGACAACGACAACAATGCGACCGCGTCGCGGCTGCTGCTTGGTCGTTGACGTCGCCTTGGCCGCGGCTTTGACTGGGGTCTTGGCGGACTTGGTCGTTGGGCGCCGCTTGCGTACTATCGTAGCCGCCGACTTCTTCTTCTTCTTTGACTTGGCTTTTGGCAGCGTGGTCTCGGGCGCCGTTGCGTGGACCTGGTTCAATTCGCGAGCCAACGATACCGTTCGCATCATCAGCACATGGGAGATGAATCGTCCGAGCCCGGGCGAGTCGACACCGAAGTCCTTGTGCACATCCGCGTGCGTGGTCGTCATGGGTGTCGCCACCACGTCGGCAAGAACGGCCACCCGGAACGCGCGCAATTTGGCATCCAAAAAGCGCACCAGCGCCGGTAGGTCACTGGCTACGTCTGGACACTCGCGTGCTAGGTACATGACTGCACGGTCGGCCGAGTCCACGAGCGTCTGCAACGCCTTGGAGCCAAATCGACGCACGACCATCGAGAGACCAACAAGTGCCTGTTGTATGTCGTTCATGGTCGAGGGTGTCGGCGGCACAGGTAGCCCTTCTGGAGATGGCGCAGATCGGAGCGTGTTGTGCCAAGCATCAATCTCGAGCTGCTCATAAAGTTTGAAGTGCATGACGGACAGGCGGCGAGGGCCAAAGTCAAAGTGAAAGAATGCAGCGAGAAGCGGCGGTGAGATCTTGAGGCGCTCGAGGTACAGCGCGTCAGCGTGCAGCCACCAGCCAAGCGGCGACAAGTGCGCGAGCGACTCGCTCACGATGAGGCTGTGGATTGCACACTCGAGGGTTGTCGGGTCAAACTCGCCATGCGTCGCCTCGCGCATGGTCTCGGGCTGGCTCTTGGCGATGGCCAAGAGGTCTTGGCCGCGGGGCGTGGCAGATGCTACGATAGCGCTGGCTATGCTCGGCGAAGGACGTCCCGTGCTCGCTCGGGACGTTGCCATACTGTGGGCTGGGTTTCACTGGCCGCCTTTTCGAAATATAAAGTTTCCGAAACCGAAAAGCTAGAATATCGATTGTCAGAGGTTTTAGCCGTTGCAAGTGTGTTTGCATCGTTCGTCCAACGAGTACCATAAGCGCTCGAGCTCGTCCCTCGACTAAGCTCTAGTAGTCCCTCGACTAAGCTCTTAGTGGTCCCTCGACTAAGCTCTTAGTTGTCGGCCCCGAGCCCTCGCAAGTCACAAGGAATGATAGCCTCACTGCGTCGAAGGATAGAAGACAACCTCTGGCAGTCCAAAGCCACTGTCTTCGATCAATGATTTGTCAGATGTTGGCCAATGGCTGCATCGGTTTGACCAACCAATCGTTGGGCTCGAATTCAAATACGCCACAGGCATTGGCCAGTGGTCTCACTCTAGAAAATGATATTGTTCATAGATCGCACACTCGACTATCGAACAAACCATGATAGCGCAAAAGGCCACACGAAGCAGATCTCAAGGCGACGCAGCATGACTACCTGCGGCGCGGACACGTCCAGAGGAAGCCGCTTACCGTTGTTGCGGGCGGACGACGCCTCCTCGGTCGTAGCCCGTGTCCGACGCATCCAAAGCGCCTTCAAGAACCACCCCGAGACCTTGTGCGAGGCGACACGCGGTGAGTTCAACCCCACAACGCTCGAATGCGCCATCCACAAGCTTGTGGTGAACGAGTCGTTAGTGCACTTGCACCCACTCCACTGGTGGCTGCACGCCGATGCGCTGTACCTCTATCCCTACAAGATCTCGCCGGCGCTTCTCGCTGCATTTTTTCACTTTGACTTTGGCCCGCACCGCCTGTCCATCATGCACTTCAAGCCGCACGAGCAGCCCGAGCTGGATGCTTGGCACAACACGCTCCGAGCTGCGCCATCTTCAGAAGGGCTGCCCGTGCCGCCGACACCCTCTTCTCTCGACGACATTGAAGAAGCACTCGCTGGTCTCTCGCACATTGTGGGTACATATGGCTCCCAGGCGCTGCAGACGCTCGTGTACACGGCCCAGTTTGCTGTCTTGAGCCTCGTACGTGAGTTTCGCGACGTCAAATCTTGGGACCTGCCGGCGTTCATTCGCTTTTTGGATGAAAAGATGCACGCGTTTCGGGCGGCAGTCGTCGCCGACGTGCTTGCGACACCCGCCACGGCCAAGCACACAATCGTTCATGAGCAGTTGAAGCGCAGGTCGGCCGCGATGGGGCTCTTCGTCTCGGAACTGCTGCTCGGGCGTCCGATGCCAGTTGCAAACGCGACCTCGACCGAGCTGCCGACGATGCCGGCCGGCACCAAGCGCAAGCCGACCAGCCGCAAATCGAACAAGAAGACGAAGAACAAGACGGCCAATATGGTACCCAAGCGACGACGTCGCTCGGTCAAACCGAATGCGTCAACGGCTCACCAAGGACGTATTGTCGTCGCCTCCGGCAACCGCGGGGGGCGACAGCGACGCGGTCGGTGCAGCACTGTGTCGTCTTCGTAGTTCACGACCTATGCCAAGTGCATGTACGAGGATGTCATGGGACGGTGATAAGGTATATGCAACTCAAGTCGTCGGCTAACGCTTGCGTGCTTGCGGCCACAGCTTGTACTGTCGTCAAGGGCAAAGCCGAGACGAGAGCGAGAGATGCCCAATACATAATATATATATGCATTACCCGACACCACTTCAGCAACACGCTTGACTCTAGTACCTGTATCACAGTGTACTATGGCATGCATGATGCGCGCATGGTGGCAGCACGGCTGCTCGCAACGTCGTCGCACTACTGGCCATCGACGATGACCTTGGCACTGTCCCGTCTTCGCGGACGTGCACAATGACCACGCCCTTTGACGCAGAGCGAGTAGTCGTGGACCGACTGAGGCGACGATGTCATCATCGAACGATCCGCCTATTTCAAACCCTTGCAGGCTATTCGAGCCTGAGTTCTGGCAAGGGATATAATAACTATTCTGGTGATTCTGGTGATCTGGTGACAAAAATCTCTTCAGTTAGTACGAGCTCAACGAAAAGTGGGTAGACATAGACGCGAATATATAAGGTTATTAACATGTACAAAAGGACGTTATAGCCGCGTTTGGTACTGCATTGCGAGCGGGTCCACGAGGCTCTCGAGGACGGCGGTGATGTTGGCAAAGTAGTCGTCTGTCCGCCGTAGCGTGAGCGCGTGGAGTTCTCGCTCGACGCAGGCTTCGAGGATCTCGGGCGAGGCCGACGCCACTGCTCTGTACACGTCCGGAAAGAGCGACCGGGCGTACGCGACCATCGAGTCGTAGGCGGCCACGGGTTGGAGCACGCACACGCTCCGGAGCAAGCACGCTTCAGGCGAGAGTTGCCGGATTTCGTTCCTACCATGCTTTTCAGTAAAATTACTTTAATTCGCACAATTTGGGACGACCATTCTTGAAATGTCTCGTCGGGCGTGGGCGTGGGCCGTAGCGCGTCACAGGTAATTGTCCGGAACATGCTCAGGGTGCGGTCGCCTTCGTCGACCGACTTGTGGAGAACATGAATGAGCTTGCCGCGGTACCGCTCCTGGACGTAGTGCAGGCGGTCCGAGTCGGGTCCATCCCGGTGCAAAATCTACCCAAAATCGATTGGATATTGGATATTTGGATAGCGACAGGGTTAAGACCTCGACGTCCATGGGCGTGCCACGCAGTCCGCTGGCGGTCGCACCATTGACGATCCAAAGCGCTTTGGCCACGTCCTGGCGCCGGCCACGAATGACCTTTTGCTTGATCAAGCGGCGGCCGGCCATGTCCCACTCGATGCGCACGTCGTCGTCGGTCGGTCGCGACGGGAAGAGGCTCGGCGGCAGCTGCGCGTCGGCGGCGTGGCGCAGCTGCTTGCCGATCCACGCAAAGCCGACGCGGCGAACGTAGGCGTCGCTCGAGAGCGTCACAGCGTGCCACGGCGACGCGTTGCCAAGGCCCTACATGTGCTCTATGAGACCACGCTCATTTCCGACGAGAAGCGACCTTGTCCGGGTGCATGGCTGCGATCCAGGCATGCAGCTGCTGGGCGACGGTCCCGTATTCGGTGACCTGGCGGCGGAGGTCCTCGTTGATCGTGCACGTCGTCTCGCGCGTGCTGCCGAGCGCTGCCGCGACCTCCTTCCACGGTAGCAGCGTGCCCCGCAGCGCGTAGAGCTGGTGCGTGAGGCGCTGGATCGTGGCCGCGAGGTGGTCGCGCTCGCAGAGGTACGTTTGGCGCGCGACGCGCTTGGCCTCGCGGTCGTACGCGAGGCGCCGGCGCCGGACCTCGGGCGACATGGACTTGCGCTTGGTCGTCGTCGTCGTCGTCTCGCCCCGCATGACGCTGCAGATAGGAACTGGCGATGTAATGGACGTGACAATCCTGCCCGTGGTGGTATACACGGACCATATGTGGGCTTCGCGAGCGTTCTTCACATGTCAAGAACGCGTCAAGAACCAGTTAACAACTGCTTCAACTTGGACAAACTCAGATGCACGAGTCTAGTTCTGAGTCGCCTGGGCTGCAACTATTTTACGTGGTGGTGGTGACTAGAATCTAGCGCTAGCAAAGGACGTCCCAAGAGTAGCACTGGACTTCCTCTTGTGGTCTCGTCCTTGAGATAGTACAGCGAGTGGCTCCAGAGAGAGGTCTCAACTGGCCAAGACGCAACGGTGCCAGCCAGGCCATCCAGTCGTTTTCTAGTAAAATGCTATCTTTGCCCGAGTTTACTCGGGACTATTGATCGCATCTATGGACGTCAATATGCCTAGACGCTGTAAAAGGCGGGGTTGGCGACGACGCTCTGGATGACCTTGTGGAGGATGTCGCTGTGCTCGTGGGCGATCGCAATACCACGCATCAAGAGCGCGCGTTGCAGGTACTGCTCGAACGAGAGATTGGGGTTGCCCAAGTTTGAATACTGTTGCAGATGGTGGTGGTACCCCGCAGGGTAGATACCCTCGACGTAGTCGGTGACCGACTCGAACGACGCCCGCGGTTGGAGGTAATTGACGCTGCGGAGCAAGCACGTGGTGGCTGATATCCGCCGAATTTCGTTCCTAGCGCATCACATTTCCATGCACACCTCGTCCTTTGAAATCAACATACCACTCGAGGTATTCGTCCGGGTCCAACACGTCGGGGTACGTGTCGTCGATCGTGACGGAGCGATACGCGACGAGGATGCGGTCGTGGCCGTCGTGGAAGCGCGCATGGCAGATCTTGAGGCTCGTGCCTTTCGAGTTGCCCGTCTCGTCGACGCTGTAGCTCAGCTGCCGGTCCGTCTCCTGCGTTTCGCGGAGGACCTAACCCGTAACGTGAGTCCTGTCAAAGCTCACGTCGATGAGAGACCCGGATGTTGGCTGTGTGAACCCCGGGAAAAAGCTCGCCCGTTGACGCACGGTTGACGGCCCAGAGCGCGGCGGCGACGATTTGAGGACTGGCTTGCACGACCTTTTGCAGCACGATCTTGCGCCCGCGGCAACCCCACTCAACTTTGACCGAGTCTTCGTACGCGTGGGGAAAGACGGAGGGCGTGAGATGGGTGCTGGCGCTGTGGTAGAGCTGCTTTTGGATCCACTCCAAGCCCAGCTGACGCATCTCGATGTCGTGGGACAGCGTCACATTGGTCCAGACGTTGGACGAAAGACTCGTGGTCTAACATGAGCATCTGAAACGTGGGCGCCACTACTTGTGGACGTCGTACCGTTGGAGCCGACATGGTGCTCACCCAGTGGTGCAAGCGCGTCGCAAACAAGCGCGTTTGGCGGACTTGTTGCTGGAGGTCGCGGTTGTCGCTGTCGGCGACCTCGCGTGCCTCCCGCAGCGCGGTGGCGACCTCTTCCCACGGCAGCATCGTCCCTCGCAGGGCGTAAAACCTTGACGTGAGCGTCACATACGCGTCTTGCAGCGCAGTGCGCTCAGCGAGGTACGCGACGCGGGCCTGCCGCTTCATGAGTCGATCGTGGGCGCGCTGCCGCTCGAGCGCAGCTTTACTGGAGGTCTTGGGTCGCGTCATGGCACTGGATCGCTTGTTGGGGTAGGACGCAAAAGGCATTCTGACCGACCTCCCGTCGACCACAAAATTTGCAAATACAGGCATCGGTTTACGTAGTATTGTGGCTGTAATGTTGGCTATTCGGGTACGAGATTGGCAGTGCGGCGCTCCCACAAGGCAGCACGTACTACTCTTGTTTTCTCGGCGCGACACGTGGTGCGGTACTACGGACGAGCGCCTGGAATCGACTATGGCACGAGCACAGTAATCGCCGAAGGAGTCTGTATTGTGGCGCCCTCTGCGAGCCGGACATGAAAAACGCGTGACGCGTGGGGTCATTTTTGTACGTCGTTGTCGTGTGCCGTCACACGATGACGCACCAGGTAACGACGCCGTTCTTGGTCGCTTGACCGCGGCTATAGGACAGGCGTGCCGGTGCTAGTGGCACGAAGCGGGCCCGCGCTCAGATCGACAGGCCACGTGCCAAGCTCGACCTTGTGCCACGGTATTTTGATAACACTGTTATTAGTTCACGACTATAGCCTATCACTGCAAACGTATTTGTAATCACATTCGACAAGCCGCACTTGCCATTGCGGTCGCGTCTATACCGCTACCTCTGTGGGCTGGGCAATTAAAGACATATAGTGAGTCCAAAGGACGATCACTTGTCTGACGAAATGAGAGAGGGAGCTTGGGCGGTGAAGGACGACGTCACGCAGCACCTCTACTCTTGTCAGTGTGCTGCACTCGCGCCTCGCACCGACGTGCAGCTGTGTTCAACCTGCCAGGCGCCACGAGAGTTGACGTGAGCGTGACGTGAAACCGTATCAACGGGCTGATGCGTTGGTGACGTCATTATCATCTTGCAGCTGGTTTTGTAGGGCCAGGGTCGACGACGGTGCCCTCGATATCGCTGCCTCGATGCTGTTTGGCTTGCGCGCCACCAAGGACACTCGGTTTCGGTGCATAATTACTTCTCACACGATGTGCCTTGGGTAGCTGAGGTCGATACCGCCCCCGCTGTACACACACTCTCTACGCGATATTTTTGGCATCTCAAAGGTCAACCACCATTGACAGCTGTCGCGGTCCGTCGACGTGCTTGTGTAAAGTACGTGACACAGCAAAGATCGTGTCCTATAGTGCACAGTGTGCGGACCGCACTGAGGTTCACCATGCATGGACGCGCAAGGGAGGGACTGCTGGTCTGGCTCGAAAGGACGATGTGGGGACGTTCGTTCCGTGTTCAAAGACAGGGAACGCTTCCAAGACGTAGCTACGCTTCCTGTGGGCCCTTTATCACCAACTGTGGGGCAGAGTCTTTGAGAAATTGCTCCGAGAGAATGGCATCGGGTGAAAGAGTGTGGAAGACTGCGTTCGAACGTCGCGCTGTAGCAGATCAAAGGCGGACTGGTGTCAGCAGTGGGAGGCGGCTCCTGATGAACATGTGTTGAAGAATACGTTGGATGAAACGCATGCCCGGTGCGCTCGAGTACACTAATCATAGAATAAATCGGCCACGTTTTAAAAAAAAAAAAAAAAAAAAATTATAATGCCAAGTGCACTGAACGGCCCACACCGAGATTCCAGTGGAAGACAGATGTGGCCGTCTTTTTGGCGTCACGTGTGGTGCTTTCTCGCTACATCGAGATCAACCATTAATTCGTCCTCTGATGCAAATCAAAGTACACTGACCAGTACTAGTAACGGATACGGGGAGAATTTCTCCCCCGTATCCGTTACTGGTCGCCCAAAAACGAGCATCTGTTATGACTTTGAAACCGACTATCCAGCAATCTTTCGTGGTGTCCAAACAAGAGGACAGAGGACATTATGCAACAATGGAAAAAGTACACTGGTAGACCGCAAATTGTCGCGCAGTGCTATGTGCATTGGAAGCACCTTGTGTCGACGGCACAGTGGTTCGACGAGGCCATACGCGATCAAAGACACGGCGAGTCCTGTTGCCCGGCAAGTGCCCGTGTGTACGTTGACTGACACGAAGCAATATGATACCAATTCCTCCCCTCAATGTGGCGCGTCGATTGAATCGGATACTTGCTTTTCAGCCTTGCTGTTGATTGCACCCACAGATTTCTATTAAAGATAAACACTGAGAATGACACAGTCGTGTCGAGCACGATAACACTGAATAATCCAACAACGTAGTACACTAGATAATATAAATCAAATACGCAACTCGACTAGTAGTGAAAGCAATCGGGTTGTGCCAGCACGCTATCGACGGTTCGGTCCAAGTGTTCAAAGTGATCGGTGGCGATCCACGCGGCCCGCTGCAGTAGGAAACGATTCATGTACTGTTCGAGTGACGATGCGTCAGCGAGTTGCGTCGCGTACTCGGCCACGCAGCGGTGGTACAGCTTTGGGTATAGAGTCTCGACATAGTCCAAAACGGACGCAAATGCCTGCCGCGGCTCGAGATGGTTAACGGTGCGAACCAAGCACGAGTTGGCCGAGATGCGCCGGATCTCATTCCTAGTCTTTTGTGGTTAGGGCAAGCTCGGACATCCCAACATGCACTAAGATCTGATACCATTCTTGGTATTCTTCCGGGTCGCGGGGGCCAGGGTGGGCCTCGTCGAGCGAGATGGTGCGGTACGCAATGATGATGCGGTCGTCGTCCTTGAACCGCTTGTGGAAGACCTTTAAACAGTGGTCATGTATTTCACCCGAGGTCTCCAAGACATAGCTGCAGCGCTCCGACGACGTTACCTCGTCGTGCAGCACCTAGGGCAAGTTGTTTAAGCTTTCAAAATGGCCAAAGTGGACAGTACCTGCATGCCGCCGCATTGAATGCCCGGAATCGGAAAGGCTTCGGTCGCCGACGCACAATTGGCTGCCCAGAGCGCCTTGGCAACGACCTCTTGGCTGGCTTGAATGACCTTCTGAACCACGAGCTTGCGCCCTCGGACGCCCCACTCGACCTTGATCGAGTCTTCGTACACGCATGGAAAAAGCCGCGGGCTCAACTGCGCCGACGTGCCGTGGTAGAGCTGCTTGGCGACCCAGTCGTAGCCCAGTTGGCGCGTCGACGCCTCGGCAACCAATGTCACGTCGAGCGACGCGCCGCGCGACAAGTATCCGGGAAGTCGCTACAAAGTTTACGAAGGTTAGCAACACTAGACGACGCAGAAGCCCACATGCACCTCGGGCGTCTCCATGGTCTGAAACCACCGGCGCAATCGCTGGACAAGGACATCTGCCTTGGTCACCTCTATGTGCAGCGCGTGGTTCTCGAGCAGGCTCCCCTCCGACGTCTCGCGCAGAGCGAGCGCAATGTCGCGCCAAGGGAGCAGCGTGCCCTTGATGGCAAAATACCGAAGCGTGAGGGCCTCGATCGCACTCTGCAGCAAATTACGCTCGGCGACGTACGCAAGGCGAGCCTTGCGCTTGGAGAGGCGGTCGGCGAGGAGCTGGCGCTCGCGGGCTGCGCTGCGGGTCGTCGTGGATGGCGTCTTCATTGGATCGGCAAAATGAAAATGACTGCAGGAAGCAAGGTCTGGCGTTGATACAGTGCCCAGATCCCAACGTCCCTAGGACCTTGTGTAAACGCGGAGCGGAACAATTTCAGTGAGCTGCACCGTCCCACGGCCACCCGAGTTCGCGCCATCTGTACTTGCTGTGGACACAGCGATCACGTCCAAGAGTGGTACTCGATTCAGAACAGCCGGAAGCGTGTTTGCTCGTCTCGGAAAAGGAGCGTGGACGAGTTGCACCGACGTTTTTACCACCGCGTGCAGTGCCGTTTGGGAACCACAAAACTGCTACGTTGTGCCACTCTGACAGGGACAGACCCCGATCATAGTCACGTCAAATTGATTTGACGGCACGCCACGATCCTTAAACCAGATCTAGTCGCCCAAAGGCGCCGTAGAGACGGACGAAGGCGTAGTACACTCCACTAGCTCGCTAATGGTACGCCTGGATCTTGGAATGACCACGCTGCGCCCATAAATGCCGACACCGCTACACCACCGCCTCGCACGACAGGACTCGTCCCGGGATGATTCCGGCGGCAAGTTGAGTCGACCGCGTTCGCATCCTATGCCAGGTGGCCCATAGTGAACCTACTGCACGAAGCCATCCAGGTGATTGGTACCCCCTGGTAGCTAACGAGATGCAGAGTCCCACAGATTGACTCCGCACTCGGACAGAACAAAGTTCCATCTTCTACTCTCTCAACACGTGTTGCAACGAGCTCGAAAAAAAATTCTGGCCGACATCGTTGAGCCGCTTGTGCCGTCCGTGCAACCTGCAGGCATTTTTATGTCGCACAGCCCCCATTTTGTGGTTTGCAAAGTCGGGCATAAACGTTGAATCGACGGTCGATGATGACAATCTGGTCAGTGACATGGATCCTGGTATCGAGAATATCAGTCGTGACGTCCCTCCACGCCAACCAATTCGACAAAGCTGCCCCTCTGGTTCTCTGGTCGGACCATTTGTGGGGCGACTTTGACTACATTGAGACGTACGTCAGTTGCAATCGCAACGACTCGCGCAACAATCAACTGTAGGCAAAGAACTGCCTTGCGTTCTGCTACTGCTCAGCTTTGTGTACGTAGCCCCTTTCGTTCAAACCCTAGCCCTCGCGCAAGGGATCTCGTCCGAGGTTGCTTCCCAAGCGACAGTGACACCATTGCAAACACTTCATACACATAGCGTCAACGAGCTTATTTCCACACCATTCTCACTCAATTGTATTAGTGTACTGCCCATCGACGAGGTTCAGTTGAGGCAATATCTAGCTCCTGCCTCTTGTCGTCCTAAAACTAGCAACTGTCACACAATTAGGCGATAACTCACCCCGAGCAAATTGAGCTCCGATGGCTGTTTTGTAGCGGAGAGTTCTTCAACGAGTGACTCGTCTTGGGATCCCTTGCGGAAGCCAAGAACGAGACACGTCACGAGCCATGCGGTACGTGCTAGTCCGCTGGATCAACCAACCTGATTCTATGAAGACACTGCGGTATTCTGCGAAAAGCCTCTGCTATTGGGAGCACAAGAGGACTGAATTCGGACGCGTCGACTGTACCGTGCTTGCCACGCCTCGCGGCCTTGCCCGCAGGAGAAAGTGTGTCGCACGCACGCATGCGAGCACTTGGTAGAACGATGAATGCTGTTGCGGGATTGGTTTTGAGGTGCAGCGCGACTCTGCTGCGACCAACAGACGGATGTACGCGTCACCTGGCGACGTGTGCGAGCGTCACGAATATCTTGATCGCGCGATTCCTTCTTCCTACGGACTGGGTCGTGCGACTTGGAACTCGGGTGCATGGAGCAAACGAGCCGTACGTTTCTCGATTCCTTTCAAAATTTCACTTTGGGCGCGAGACCAAACCCTACCTTTGCATCTCTCCAAAAGCAGTGCGCCTGTAGAATCTATCCACACAGCGCCTTGACGTTGCCACAATGCTACATTTGAACCCAGCATAAAATCACTGCATTGCATAAAGTGTGAATCATCACTCTAATATGGAAAGACATCGGGCTGCGCCAGCACGCTCTCCACCGCGCGGTCCAAGTGCTGAAAGTAGTCGGTTGCAATCCACGCCGCACGCTGCAGTAGGAACCGACGCATGTGCTGCTCGAGGGACGCAGTGTCAGCGACCTGCGTCGCGTACTCGACGACCTCGCGCTCGTACAGGTCGGGGTACAGCGTCTTGACATAGTCGAGGACTGAGGAAAAGGCTGCATGCGGCTCGAGCGAGTTGACAGTGCGCAGTAGACACGAGGTGGCCGAGATGCGTCGGATTTCATTCCTACTCGAGAATAAGTCGACCGCCGAAAGATGCACACAATTATGTATACCATTCGAGGCTCTCTTCGGGATCGCGGGGACCAGGGTGGACGTCGTCCCTCGAGATGGTGCGGTACGCTATGATGATGCGGTCGGGCTCATCAAACCGCTTATGAAAAGCTCGAGAGCAGTGGTCGCGCATCTCACTCGGGCAGTGAAACGTCTCTTTGACGTAGCTGCAGCGCTCGGTCGACGTCCTCTCGTCGTGCAGCACCTACAGCGCCATAGTTCGCCCTGAGCCCTGTTTCCAGAAAACGAACCTCTATGCTTCCGCGGTCCGCCTCGGGCAATGCATCGGTCGACACGGCACGGTTGGCAGCCCAGATCGCCTTGGCGACGATTTCTTGGCTGGCGTGGATGACCTTCTGCAGCACGAGCTTGCGCCCTCGGACGCCCCACTCGACCTTGATCGAGTCTTCGTATACGTGCGGAAAGAGCCGCGGGCTCAGCCGCGCCGACGTGCTGTGGTAGAGCTGCTTACCAACCCAGTCGTAGCCCAGTTGACGTGTCAATGGCTCGGCAACCAGCGTCACGTCAAGCCACGCGCCGTCCGACACGTAGCCGGGAAGTCGCTACATCGTTCATGAGCTAAACCACCAAGATACCTATGCACCTGTGGCGCTTGCATAGACTGAAACCATCGGCACAGTCGCTCCACATTCCGAGCTGTCTTGCTCACTCGAGCGCGGAGCTCACGGTTCTCGACAATACTAGTCTCCGAGGTCTCGCGCAGCGCGAGTGCAATGTCTTGCCACGGGAGTTGCGTGCCCTTGATAGCAAAATACTGAAGATTGAGGGCTTCGAGAGTGCTCTGAAGCGAACTGCGCTCGGCCAAGTATGTTGAGCGAGCTTTGCGCTTGGCGAGGCGATCGGCGAGGAGCTGACGCTCACGGGTAGCGCGGGGTGAGCTGGCGGATGTTCTCATGGGAACGACAAAGCGAAAATGAAGACCCGTCCGCTAGATATCGTTATGTGATCACGCTACGGATACTCGGCCTTCAAGGAAACGATTTAGGGAGCCAGAGCTTCGGACCACGTTCGCGTCGTTGGAACGACTTGATGGACGCAAGCATCGCATGGCAGAGTAGCACTCGAGGCCAAACAGCCGGAGCGTGGTTTGCTCGACGCGGAACAAACTGTCGGCTGTCTTGCTCGGCAGGATTACCGCCATTTTTGTGGTCGTCGATGCTGCATCTCAGGTCGGAAACGGCTAGTACTTATCCTAGGGTCAACTGACACTAGTCATTATCGTAGCGTGCTATACACCGTCCAATCGAACGCCGGGGCGGCGTGTCCTTGTAGCTGCTACTCCTCGTTGGAATGAGTTTATTGAGATATTATTTCCTACGCGGCCGTCTATGGGCGAGGGTTCGTATTTTTGGTGATTTGTTGTGGGAGGTTTTCCTTCGAGGCTACGTGAATAACGACGCCCTCTTGGCCAATCCCGAACGGGTTACGGCACGTCGGGCAGCGCGGGTACCGGGCCCTCACAGCCAAGTACCCACTCGGTCTCCAGCTCAAGCCGACGTTTGCCTGAGCCCACGACCAGCTCAAGATACCCTCACCCAACCAACCTCTTATTTATCCGAACGTTGTATAGCCCCCTGAAGACTCGTCATTAGGCATGGACTGGGATGAAATAGTAGTATTTACAGTAAAACGTGAATATAGTTCCCTTTGACAACGGGTTACGGCACGGCGGTTCTTCCGATTGGGTACACCGCGCAGAGGCAGGAGGTCGGCCAATTGAATTTGCATGCGCGCAGCTGGATTTGAACCCGCTATCCGTTCGAGCTCGAATTTGGGTGGAACGCCTCGACCACTACACCAGGGGCCGACCCATCCGCTGCTACTCCTCGTCCACTAGCTTGGTTCGCTGTGCCTCCATGTGACGACTCTCGAACACCATCGACCAGCTGTCGTTGTGGCCCTGAGTAAGGTATCCCACGGATGAGCTCCACACAACGTTTCTCCTTTCACGCTCTGCTTGGCCACTTCAATGAAAAGACAGGCCGATTACAATCTCAAACCAGATCGATACTCCCACCAACAAAGCGCCACATGAGCTATGCCAAGAACGATGGCCCTGCCCCATAATGCCAAGTGTTTCAATGACGTTCAAATCACCAACCCTTTGTTCGTCAACGGTGACCTCTGATCGCCCTTCGGCGTCAAACGGGGTGTGCTCAAGGCGACCCGCTCTCGCCTAATTAATAGCACTTCGCGATGACGCTCGAACCGATGGGCTTTTAGCTCCGCAAGCACGAACGGAGTCGATTTTTCGAGACCAGGCAGTGGCTGATTGTCTGAAAGAGGTGGTCAAGGTGGGAGGGTCCACAAATTGCAAGTCTTGCCTTTTGGAGGGTACACTGGAAAATTGTATGTACGATGAAATGCCAACTTTTCGCGTCTATCTGGACGGCAGGTAACTCTACTTTTTGCGGCGCCTCGAAGTACCTCTTGCATTGCACCGCTGATGGCACGTCCGTGGACGCATATGTCCTTGTTAGTAGTCAGGAGCTAGATACTCTAGTTACAAAAGATTGCACCGACGACTCTAACCACTGCTCGCATTCGTCGACTCTCGATGTGATGCAAGATCGTGGTCGTTTCAGCATTCGTGTCATTTTTAGCTTTATCATGGGGTCGGCGCCGTCGTCCGAGAACCAAAAAGCCATCGTGCGCTATGCCAAGCGCGACTGCAGCGGCAGCGTCGACTACACCAACGTCATCTCGACCATGCCGGATGGGAGCGTGCTCAGCACGTGCACGGCGGGGTACTACACGGGCAAAGTCACGCCGCCGCCGTCGCAGTACGCGCCCGACACGATATACGCGACCATCTCGATCCCCGACATGGGCTCCACCGAAGAGGTCGTCGACGGCATCTGCGTCGCGGTCTCGCCGTCGGCCGACATTTATCTCAAGGCGTCGTGCTCGGCGCAGGACTTTGCCTACTACGGTGACGCCAACTGCACGAACGTCATTGCGCTCGATGCAACGGCCGTGAGCATCGTCTGCGAGACGCCCAACCCGATCTCGTGGCCGGCCACCTCGACGCTCATCGGGCAGACGTACGCGCACGCCAACTGCTCGGGCGAGACACTCTACGCAATCAACGTGGGCAGCGGCGGTATTCCGTACGACGTAATCCTGCCCCACCGAGCGTCCAACGGACAGTGCAACGACGGCCATATCTACAACACGACCGTGTACCTCGAAACGTTTGGCATCAACGCGACGTACATGACGATCTCGCGGTCGTATATGACCGAAGTCGCGCGGGACCAGTCGTGCGTCTTTACAGGCGACAAGTATCTCAAGGCGTCGTGTGTCAATGGCACGTTTGCCTACTATAGCGATAGCGCGTGCGCTCACCCCGTGGATGTCCTTGAAGCGGGCGCTGTCTCGACCACGTGCGGTATCGTCTTCAACAACGTCACGTCGCCCAAGACAACGACACTTGTCGTCACATCCGGTGGCTCGGGCAGCGCCGTTGCCCTCATGCTCTTTTGCGTTCTCGTTGGTGGGCTGTTTGTGGGCTACCTTGCGTCGCACCGGCACCAAATCGTGGCGGCCGACCCGATGAAGAAGCAACTCAAGGCCGGCAAAATGAGCAAGTCGGAAGAAGATAGCGGTGCCACCGATGATGTCTAGAGCTTCTTATAAAGGGACCACATTTCGTTCCAACTTTAAAGCATGTGACTTGGCGTCGCAGCGGTGCGATGGAGTGGGCGGTTGTTTAGGGCTAGGGTAGGGCTGGATCAGGGCTAGGGTAGTTACGGCCGAGCTAAGTTTAGCCGAAGACCGTGAAGGATTTTAGAAAAGCCAGCAAGATGAGTGTCGTACGGTTCGACCATGCCGACTGTTCGGGCGCGGTCCTCTACACGAGCAGCCCTGGTCCAGTGGCGCTCACCAACTGCACGGACGGACTTGTGGCCAATGCCAATTTGACGCTCGACCAATACTTGCCCAATTTGCAGTACATGACGGTGCGCCACCCAGACGCGACGGTCGAGGTCGTTGTCAGTAGGCTCTGCGTCGGCACGGCACCCGCATCCAGTCCCCGCTACGTCTATGCCGACTGCCACCGCAGCACGTTTGGCGCCTTTAGCGACAGCAACTGCACCCTACCCATGAACACGGCCAGCGGTCTCCACGCAACGTGTGATGTTCCATACCGCGTTGCCGCGTCGTTGGAATCCGGTGTCGAACTTCGTGCTGCGCTCTATGAAAATCCCGACTGCACCGGCGCCGTCGTGTGGACGACTACCAACAGCTCGAGCGCCGGCGCCTCCGACACGTGCTCGAACGGCTTTCTCGCTGGTTCGCCGGATGCGCACCTGCTCTATCAAGGACACATGCGGTACATGACGTTGTTGCAGTGGACCAATACCGAGATGCAAGTGCTCGACGGGCTGTGCACCGCTATCTCGACGACTGCGACGCCCCCGTACCTTCGCGTCGACTGCGACAGTCTGACGTTTGGCTACTTCTCCGATGGCAACTGCACGTCGCCGATCGAAAATGCGTGGACTGCGGCGACGGCCACGTCAGCCATCGCTTGTCGGTACGAGGCGAGCATCATCGACAACGCGGACGCAGCGCTCGTCCTCTACGTCACACCCGACTGTGCCAACGGCATTGTGTACGCAACGTCCAAGGTTTGGGGTGCTAGCAATGGCACCACCGCCGTTGCCCCGGGTGTTTGCGCCACCGGGTTTGTAGCCGGCGTGTCGGTGGCCGTCGACGCGTACTTGCGGAACGTGCAATACATGACGATCGACCACGCGGAGACTGGGTTCACTGAAGTTGTGGTCGATTCGGTCTGCATCCCGACGTCGACCAGCGGGTCCACCTACCTATTGACGGACTGTTCGTCGGGGCAATTTGGCTACTTTTCCGACGAGAATTGCGTTCACGCCATGTACACGGGCGCCGAAAAGGCCACAGTTGTCTGCTCGGTGCTCCGCCCCACGTCCGGTGTCTGGCCGACGTTCGTCCATACACTACAGGCTTTAAGCAGCCCCTCTACGGATTGCAATGAGAGCGCCGGTGTTACGTATGCGATGACCAACAACCCGAACGGTCTCCGGCTCGATGTACCCGTCTCGAGTGCCACCGGCGCCATGTGCGATGACGGCATCTTGACCAACGACGTGCTCTCCTCGAAGCATTTTGTCGCCAACGCAACCTACATGGTGCTACAGCACGCGGTGTTTACTGAAGCTGCGCTCGACCTTGTCTGTGTACCGGTGCCCAGCGGATTCCTTTATGTTGACTGCGCCGACGATGGCAGCTATGGCTACTTTGGTGACGTCGGCTGTACCATTCCGTTGACATTGACGCCCGAGCTGGTCGACGAGCTCGCGATAACAAATGTGACGTGCGTCGTCTTGAACGCTGCGGTGGCGCCAACGACGCCGGCGAGCGCTGGCAATCGCACAACGAGCGCCGGTGCGACGCCATTGACACCGACACCGACGGCCAACACCCGCACCACCGCATCGTCGGCTGACACTACCGGGACCCACGGCGCCTCAATGTTTGCAGGGATCGCGGTCGGGGTGTTTTGCGTCGCGACGGTGCTCGGCGGCGCCGTCTACATGCAGCACAAGCGCAAACAACAGCTGCACAGTGTCCTGCACGATGTCAAGCCCGTGGCGGCCTCCGAGAGCAGTATCTAAGACTCTCGGGCGTTGCAGTCAAGGACGCTTCTATAGCCTCTTATCAACACGAACTAGTAGTATATCCTTTAGACATATATAATCTGTAGACACTACCGCTGAGCTCTTGGTGTCGTCGTGCCCAGGTGGGTCGGTTTTTAGCTTGGCGGCTTTTCAACCAATCCAAACCCATCTCGCTCTCGATTGGCTACAATATGTCAGATTTGGCGTTGATTGGGTAGAGCGGTATCTTGTCGCGTGTTCTATTTTGACGGTGGTTTCCGTTGCACAACAGAAGCGTTTTCAGCTCAACGACCTTTCTACTAGACATGACTCAGATCCATGAAGACGCGCCAGCGCGTGGCCCAACGCTCCAGCGTCTTCGATGGACGCACCAGATCGCGGGGCTTGTCTACATGTACCTCTCCCTTGCCACGGGGCTCTACTACGTGTACGTGCTCACGCCGACGTTTGGGAACGATCTCTGGTGGGCCAACTACAATGTGAGTGGCCACCAGTCCTTCCTCGTCGACGTCGTCAACCGAGCACTCGCCACATCACGCAACGGCAGCCTCGACCTCTTTGCTCCGGCTAGTGCCATGCGCAAGACGTATACATCGCTCGTACCAACGACGTCCATCTACCACACATATCCGTGGCGCGTCATTCTCAGCGAGTTTGTCACGATCGAGTACGCCGTGGCCAACCTCCGGACGATCTCGGCGTCGTGGAGCATGCGCATGATGACGCAATACTGCTGGGTCGACTTTGAGAAGCGGTGGGAGGTCGCCCACACGGCCAAGCGCGTCGCTCGGTGCCACGCCCAGTATACCACCAACGGTGCCGCATACCTCGAAACCGTCCTTCGCAATGTCGTGTGGGACGACTTTCTCGCAACGTGGTGCGGTCCCGCGAACGAATTCACCGTCGCGGTCCAAGACGCGCTGCTCGAGACGAGTGCGGGTGTCGCATGGCTCGACGCGACGGCCGTTGCGCGCGACACGACGTCGATTGACGACGAGAAGGCCTACTGGCGGCAGCACCGCATAACGTATTTTCAGCTGCAGTGGGCCAACCGGCGCGGGCCCGGAATCACCGAGTCGATGGTGCTCACGAACGCGCTCGGCATCGAGCAAGTCGTGACGTTGAAGAACATGGACATGCCCACGGGCCCGTGGTCGTCGCAGATCATGTACTGGCGCTTCATCAACGACATTTTCGTGCTCCAGACGCACAACCGGAGCTTGGTGCGGCAGTCGCCGAATCATTTTGAGCGGAATTTCTCGACCATGCCGGCGTTGGATTTGGAAGTTTACCAAGGACTCTGTACCGCGGCCTTGGGCTGCGTCGGCGCCATCAACCTCCTGCACACCCAACTCGGACCGTTCTTGAGCGTCGACATGTTTTACATGGGTGTGCCACACGCCTTGCGTGATGCATACGCTGCCTACAACGCCGTACTGCAACCGCTGCTCGTGTACAATGAGAGCGCTCGAGCGCTCTACGACGCCGTCCCCGAGCTTGTCGTCGCACCGACACCGCCGTCGTGGCGGCAGCCGAATTGGACCTTCTACGGGGGTAATCCCATGTGTGTTCGACGCAAAGGCTCGTCGTACGTGCAGCAGTCGTTCGACTTTTCCGACGCGTGCAGCGGGACGCCGCCGCTCACGGTGTCCTTCTCCAAGGACGCAGCGGTATTTGCGCTGCTACTACACTCCTCGTCCGTGTCCAAGGCGGACATTTGTGCGTTGACCACGTCCCAACGTGCGTGCACCGAATTTCTTTCAAGCGCCCAAGCGTTAGCGACATGTTTGCCACAGATACCAGACGCGGACGCGGTCGACGCCGCCATGTTGTCAGCGTCCGTGTCCTTTCTGCAACTGGCGACCAACGCATCGTCCAACTGGATGCTACTGTATCAACCGCTCCTCGACGCGTCGTCGCCAGCCTGGTCGTTCTTTGGACGCGTGTGCTTCTTTGACTATATCATTGGTCGGCGCGAGGTCGTGTCGTTCCAAGGTGACGTCTCGAACGCGACAATCATGTCCAACGCGTACGCTGCGGTGGCATATTCAACCGGCCAGGATGAAGCGTCACTCAAGAAATCGACGCGCCTCGTCATCTATTTTGTCATGTATACGAGTGCGATGGTCACTGGTGTTGTCGGCCTCGCGTCGCTCTATGCAATCTCGAGCCGACTGCACTTTGTCGGACGCAACCTCTTGTACTTTAACCGGATCGTCGGTTCGGTCTGGCTCGGGCGACCATTGCAGTGGCTTCGGGGCGTCACGGCGCTTTGCATGCTCAGCACGGCGCCCGTCGAGCTCGTCTTGGAGCATGGATACACGCGGCTGGCGCAGGCACCGCGATCCCTATTCATGAGTGCGATCGTGACGGGCGAGGCGACGTGGATCATCTACGTCATCAACGACATTCTCTTGCTCGTGTTTTCGCCGGAAATGACGCGTTTGTTTGCTCCGCTGAGCAGCCTTGGTGTGTGGGTGGCGCTCTTCGCCGTCGATGTCGCGGCACCGCTTTCCGTGACAGCGACACTCAACCGCGCATGTTATAGCACCGACATGGACTACTACCTCTACTGCGAGAGCGCGGCGATTGCGGTTGGCAGCTCCATGCGGCTAACGTGCCTTGTTGGCATCCAAGGCGTTGGCGTCCTGGCCGCCGTTGTCATTGCGTGGCTCTATGACCGGTCGCGACGCGGCGCCGAGCTCCTTGGGGGGCCGTCCCCCCCGCTCTCGGTCGCCGGCGTCTGCACCGTGTACACGACGTCGATCCTCGCCCACGCGTGGCGCATGGACACGGTCGTGAGTGTCCTCTCGGGCATGATTCCGCTGCGCCTCGAGTCCGAACACTACCTCTTTGACATCAAGTCGTGGAGCTGGATTGTCGACACGATCACGCACGAGCGGGCGGCACCGATTGCGCCGTTGATGGCCCCCCGAACCGCCAGTCTTCCGGTGCAAGCGTCGCTCGAGGTGCAAGCCAAGCGATCGCGGGCGAGCCTGCTCGCTGTGCTCTTTGGCTTGACGTATATGGTCACTTCGATTCTCGGGAGTGTTTCGTACATTGCTGTGTCCGAGACGGACCTCGCGAACGACATTTGGTGGGCGACCTTCAACATCACGGGCACACACGTGTTTCTAGCCAACTGGTTCAACGGGCAGCTCTATATGGGCGCAGAGCTCCCGAGCTTTAGCCTTGCGAGCCCCAATATTTCACAGCTGGGGTCGTTTGAGTCGTCGACATCTGTGTTTGTGCTCTCGGCCGACAACTTTGGCTCGAATCTCCAGCACACGCAGCTCAACACGCTACCTACCATCATTGCCGGTCTGCGATCGATGGACGCCTGCACCCACGCACCGTGGATCTTTACGCAGTACTGCTTCCTCGACTTTCAACAGACATGGCCCATGGCCAACTCGGCGCGGCGCCAGGAACGCTGTGCCAGCATGACGACCAACGGCGCCGTCTACCTCGAGAGCCTGCTTCGCAACGTCAACTGGGACGACTGGCAGCCGTGCTGGGGCCCCGCCTTCCAGATTGCTATTGCCAACGACCTCCAGACATCTTTGGACGGTCAGCGCTGGCTACACCAGATGCAAGCACAAAATCCCTTGTCGATTGCAGATGAAGCGACCTACTGGCGTACGTTTGACATCGCAACCTACGATGTGCAGTGGCAAAACTACAAGCAAATCGGGCTCCTCAGCTCGTACAGCGTCGAGTCGGCGTACGGACTCGTCTTCCCACTCACGCTCCACTCCATCAATGGTTCGTACCGATTCCAGTCGCAAACGTCGTTCAAGGGGTATTGGGCGCTCGCAAGCGATCTGGCAGCAGTGACTTCCAACACCAGTGGGATTGGCGGCATGTCGCTGCTGCGGTCCAGCCACCGCTATGCGTTTGCCAATACCTCCATGACCTCTGTGCTCACACGCAACGCGACGCTGAGTGCGCCACTGGCCGGCAGCTTCGTCCTTATCCAAGATATGGTCGGCCCGTTTGGCTCGATCGATATGCTCTACGTTGGTGTCCCCCGCGTGCTCAACATTGACATGATCGACCTGATCAACGCCATTCGCGCTGCGTCCATGGCGTCCGACGCATCCCAGCGTGCCTACGCCAGCCTCATCGTGCCCGACTCCATGTATGTGACGCCTGGCATCTGGCTCTACTCCAAGTGGATCTCGTTCGGGGGCTCGCCGCTCTGTGCTGATATTGGCCTTTCGACTGGTATTGCTGTCACATCTGGTATGTTGAACCTGCTCTCGTCCAACAAGCCGTGCTCGTTGTCCCGTGGCCAAGCACGCAGCGGGCCAACCACCGAGTTTATGGTCGTCGCGACCATCATGGCGTCGTTGACGCGAAATAGCAACTTTACCGGCATCTGCGAGCTCGACACGGCGTCGACGAGCCACTGTGTGCCTGATATGCTCGCGACCGTCGAGTTTGTTCGCATCTACATGCCGTCCATCAATGGGCCGTCCATCGCCGCGTCCAGAGCCCGTGTGCAGCAGCTGCACATTCAGCTGATTCAGTTTATGCGGCGCAACTTGTCGTCGCCGCTGTTTCTCACATCGTACGAGCTCTCGGAAACGCCCGATGACTTTGCGTTTGCTTCGTGGATTCTTCTCATGGAGTGGATCGCGGGCGTGCGCGAAGTCGTCCAACTAGTTGGGGATCACGGCACGCTCACGGTCCTCGGCGAATTGCTCTTACCGGCGCAGCAGAAAGTGCACCCGTACGAGATCCCGACGTCCGGCGCGACGTATGCTCGTGCCGCGGTCCAGTACATCACTGCGGTCGTCATTCTCGTCGCGGGTCTCACGGTTGCCTACATCATCACGAGCCGCGGACGCATCGAAGGCCGCAACATGTTCTCACTTGGTAGCGTCGGCGGCGTGGTGTGGATTGGCCGACCGCTGCTCTTTCTTCGGAGCATCACGGCCATTGGCATTCTATCTACCGGGACGCTCTCCCTCGAGTTCAACGGCTACTTGAGCTACCTGCACGTGTCGGTGACGCCGTGGTACCAGACGCTCATTGAAGCGAACGAGCTCACGTGGCTGGCGGCCGTTGTCAACGACATTTTCATTGCGTACACGCGTGAGTACAACCGATACTACAACGCGATCAACATTGCGCTTGTGTGGCTTGTCGCGGGCTGCGTGAGCTTGCGCCACCCCGCGCACCATGTAGCGTCAATGCAGCGCGCGGTCGACTCGTGCGACGTTGTCGAAGTTGACTTTCAGATGGTATGTCGCAGCGTTCAGATTCAGATTGGGCAGTTTTCCCGCTTGCTATTGCTGATTGGGATCGTGTTTGCTGTCAAGCTCTTTTGTTATGTGGTGACGCGACTTTATATTGGCGAGCCGACACCGGCCCGCGCCCAATCGATCGTGCTCTACGCCGGCGCCAAATTTCTATTTCGCCACAAAACGTGGATCTACCATGATGTCTACTACTTGGACCGCGCGTCGGCGCTCTTGAATGGTATGGTCACGCTGCGCTGGCGCGAAGCGCTCTATGTACTCGATATCAAGACGTGGCGCGTCTTTGGCGTCGACATGGATCGTGTGCCCGCCAACGCGGGACGACATGTACGGGGCGCCATCCCGCTCCAAAACTCGACCGACCGCGACAGCTCGTTTCTGCCCGTGGGTCCCTTGGCCAAGCCGTGAGAGACCATCGACATCCGCTCCTCTCGCTCGCCAGAGAGTCGCTGCTATCGACGGCCCTTCAGAAGCTTCTGCGACCACTCATTTCTGTTAGATAGTATACTGTACAGACGTAAACAAGTACATTCGTTATCTTTGTGATTGACGTCATTTTGACAGACGTGGTCGTGGATTGACATTCTTTTCCGTACGAGCCATATGCAAGCGAGAGCGAAGCCAAAGGTCAGCGAGCACTGCTATGGGTTCCGCATGGGCGGCATACGTGAAGGCACTGCTCATGACGCGTCGGGCGTCGGGTGCGGGATCGCACAGGCAACTGTCGTCGTCGCCAGCATCTCGAGGACGTCAGCCGTCAACGCGATCGGCAGCAGACACAGCGCGTCACCAAAGTAGCCAAAAGTGTCGTCACCGCAGTCGGTTTGTACATACATACTGGTGGCCGTCGGTGCACACGCCCCGTCCCAGACGACCTCGGTGAACGTCGGGTGCGTCAGCACCATGTACGTGGCGTTCCACTCAAAGCTGCGGTGGCTCAGCGGTGGGTTGAGAAGCGAGCTACTGACGCAAGCATCCTTGGAGTCAGAAGGCGTGGCGATCCAGTCCAAAAGCGGAATCGAGGCCATCGCGTACAGCGAGAGTCCTTCGTCGCAGCCCGCGATGAACGACTGGTACGTCTCAAGCGTCGCTGGTGGCGTGAGCGGTGTGGGGTGGAGGACGTCGCACGTCACGTTGACATCCATCGTAGTCGCCGTCACCACCGGCACACTGCAGTTCCAGTCGGCGTAATAAGTTACCGAGCCGTCTGCGCAGTCGGCAAAGACACTTGTGGACGCTTCGTAGTCGGTCGTATTGAGAAAGGCCGTCATACACACGTTGGCGACCACGACTTCGGCGAACGCATCGTGCTCGATCGTGGCATACGCGACGTTGGAGAGGTACGATGCTTGGGACGTCCAGACGTCGGTGCACACCGTATCGACGTCCATCGTGGTGTTGTACGCGGGCACATCGCCGACGAACGGGGCGTTGGTGGCGTAGTCCCACACAACAGTTGCCGTGTAGTAGACCCCGACGCCGCAATCGACGTCGAAGAAACCGATCGCTTGACGTGCGCTGCCCATGAAAAGAGTCGAAATGACTCGATCGGCGCGCAATCTAGAAGCCTCTTGAAACTGGCGCACGCACGCAAAATTTGTGCTTCAGGGTGCCACGACCAACAGCCGTTGTATCTTGAGCCAATAGCGTGGCCGTGGCCGTGACGCGCTGTCGTGGTCGTCGCCGCACGTTGGAATTTGCACTTTTTACTAATACTCGAAAGTGCTCTACTAGCCTCGCTAAATCAAACACAATCCAGCCAGGCTCCAAGCTCTCGGAGACAGCACTGCGCTACCGGGTTCCTCCTACGCTATAGAGCGCACAGGCTTTGACACCGTGCGGTCGCTTATTTTCGGCATATGCCGTAATTTGTATGGTGCGGTATGCCGCAATTTGTATGGTGCAGTTTACAACAAATCCTTGCAGGCATTTGATACCACGCGCGTTGGCATACAGCCTCTTTTTAGCTAGAGAAAGCACCCCCAAAATATCTCAGCGATTTGAGAAGATCGCAATTCGATTTGGGATCGACAAGCCTCACAGCGGTTCATGACCAAAATGTAGAAACTTGTGGAGAATGCTGGGATCGTTTTCAATTGCCCCTGCAAGTTGCTAGTGATGGACAGAGGTTTAACGTGCTAGCATTTCTAAGCGCGGGGCGATTTGCAATGACTGGATTAGAATAACGTGGCATTTTCGATATCACGGACTATGCACGGTGCCACAACGTGGGATCATTTGAGTGGCCCAGGACAAGGGAGTCCAGAAGTATGAAAGCTCAAAAGCGCTATACTTGGCTCGCGTTGAATATGTAGAGGGATTTACCACGCGAATTATGAGCCCATTAGGGCTGGGTGAACGTTTCACTAGTGGTAAGAAATGAAATTGTCCTATTACTAGCAGATGGTTTGCAGAATTAATTTAGCGTCAAGGCGCTTCCACCATGTGGCGATACTAGAGCAGCGGCGCGTTATCGTCACTGAGGGTGTTTGACGCGTGGGCTGTCGCCAACCGACGCTCGACTGCCTGCTGGAGCTCGTTGAATGTCGTTGCCGGCACACTCTCGCCTTGCACGAGCCGTTCGATCGTTTCGATCACGTCCGGGTACTCGAGGAGGAGCCAGCGCAGTGCCTGCGGACTCTGCGGCGTCAAAAACTCGTGGGCGATCTCGATGCTACGGCGCTTCCGCCGCACCTTGGCTGGCGCGAGCACAAGACCACGAATCGACTCGTCTCGAATGGACTTGAAGCCTTCGACAGCTTGCCAAAAGCAGATCTCGGCCGACTTGCGCCCAAGGAGACTGCGCGCAACCGCAGTGTCGACGCCACCCATCGACGGTCGAGGTAGCTCTGGCACGCTCCCACTTGATGGGATCGTGATGGCGTCCCGCCGCAGCGGTGTCGCCGTGAGGTACGTTCCCGGGTACAACTCTGCGTACGCTGCTTGGATGGCCGACGGCAACGGTTTGGCCGTAAAGGCAGCCCATACCTTGGACTTGTCGTCGTTGGACATGGTCTCCTGCTGCAACGTCTCGGGGGCCACGCAGGGGAAGAGCGACGCCGGCGTCACTGTCGGTGGCGGTCGCAACTGCGAACCGCAAAGAACAACATTGGAGAGCGCCGGAAGCGCCGGGGCCGTGTCCACGACTGGAGGATTGTTGAAGGGTCGAGTCTCCCGAAGCGTCTTGACCGTGTACTTTGGCGGATCCATCGACAGGGGCGGACGCCCTGGATCGTTCTCGGGGTTGTACAACAGTTCGATTCGCGCCAGATGCGCCCGGTGCTCGTCGTCTTCGTCGTCTTCGTTGTCCTTGCCGTCCTCATTTTTGTTGTTGTTGCTGCTGCTGGGCGGTGGAATGTACCGTGGTGGGCTTCTCGGTGCTGGCACCGATGCCGGTGGCTGGTGCAAAGCCGCGAATGCTCGCCCGTCGAGGCTAAACGACGTCTCGAGCGCTGGCAGCTGCCGGGGTACACTACGCTTGGTGCGCCACCGACGCTTGGGGTCCCGTCGCTTGACGATCGACTCGTCCCGCTGGACGAGCTCATGAAAGAGGCGCATGCGCGGCTCCGAGCTCGAGGAGGCAGTTGAGAGCGGTGCCGCTACGTCCAATTCCGGTGTGCTCGCGCTACTGCCGAGCGTCGGTCGTGGTGGCCACACGATGCGACTCGCAGGCTTTGGCTGTTGCTGCTTTTGCAGGAGCGCTTCACTGAAGATCGCAAAGCTCTCGAGGTTGGCCAAGAGATCGCTGGACGTCAGCCCGAGCTCGGCCGAAATCGAGACCCGCGGCGCCGGCGGCGTCATTGGGGGCATACCGATGCGCAGCATCAACGGCGTCCGTGGTGCCTCCTCGTTCTCGTCTTCGGTGACACTCGATCGCGCCGACACGGTCGGCGTTTCGCTGTCGTCGCCCCGTGGCGTTGGCGAACTCGGTGGCGGTGGTAACACCGGTGCAGTCGGTCTCGCCGTCTCGGGACTCTTTGGTGCCGTCATTAACGTCATTGTCGCCGTCACTTCAACGAGATCAGGCGACACAACGTCCATCACCGACGGTGCTTGGACCTCGGGCATCTTGGCAGCATCGAAGATTTGTGACTGGCTGCTTTGGGTCACTAGAGTGGTGTGGCGCCGGCCCACTTTGGAGTTGCTTCGAGCCAACGGGGCGTGCGCGACGGCCTCGACTGGCTTGACGGCGTTGGTTTGAGACTCAAAAACGCGTGTTTTGAGTGCCAATGTGGTCGCCGACAAGCTTGAAATTGCGCCGTGGGACCGCCAAATCGACTCGATCGCGTCGTCGGCTATCTTGTCGGTCGTCGGTGTCTCGGTCGTCGCCATCGACGGCCCCGCATCGTAGAACGCCCGCGACGCAAAGTTGCCGAACGTATATTGCATACCTTCAATCGTGCGCGGCTCGCCCAGCAAAGCGTCTGAAGCCGAGAGTGCTGACCGAATGTGGTGTCGGTCGTCGTCGTCGTTGTCCTCCGTGTCGTGCGACGACGCTGCGTCGGATGCAGCGGCGCGGGACACCATTGAAATACGCGCCTTCTGGAGCTCCAACCGCTTGCGGTTGGGCCGCGTCTCGGCTTTGGGCCGACGTCGGAGCGTCGGCGTGTTCACCAAGCGCGTTTCACGACGCGTGCGGTCCATACGGTCCACGTCGGTCGGTGTCGCGGTCCGGTGTGCCATGGTCGCCACTGGGCTGGCTTCGAAAAACACTTCGCGCTTCTTGGCGTCTTCCGCGTCTTGACGCTCGACGTCCGTAGCGATGATCCGACGCTCTTCCGCAAACAGCAGCATCATGCTTCGCTTGTACGCCTGCACGAGGACCGACTCGGCGATCGCACTGTTCGGCGGTGGCACGCGCTTGGGCAAGTGCTTTTGCAGTGCTTGGGACACGAGCGGGCTCACCGTCGTCGATGACGCTCGCTCGTCGACACGATTTGTGATTGGCACAGCGGTGAGGGTCAGCGCACTGGGGGGGCGGGCCCGCCCCCCCACATCGTGTATAAGCAACAGCTGGCACGCTGCGAGGGTTTGATGCAGCACGTGCAGCTGCAAAAGGAGTTTCTTCGCCGTCGTCTTGATGTTGCGGCGTCCGAGGCGGTCGTCCGGACGCCGTTGCGTGATCTCGTCTAGTAGTGCTCGTCGGCGACCGTCGGCAGTTTGAAAAGTGGTGAATAATGCGTCCATGGTGCTGCCCTGGATGACGAGCATTGCGTCGAGGACGGCGAATTCATCTTTGGTCCACGTGCGCTGTTCGTTGAGGAGGTCCCGGTAGATGGTTTGGAGTGTCTCGAGCCGCGTCTGCGCTGCTTCCTTCTTCTTTTGCTGCCGCGAGGCCGCATGGGCACTCAGGAGCGCCTCGTCCACCTGCATCCGCGTCGCGACGAGCTTCTCGACGGCGTCCCCCGCAGTCGTTGGCGCTTGTTTCATCGTCGTAAAGAGCGACGTGTACGCGTTCTGGTACAACGCGAGCTTCTTGTGGGCGGCCGCAGTCACCGAAAATGCTTTCTTGACGTCGCGGCTATGGTCGTCGACCGCCCGGTCGAGACGCTGGAGGAGTGCCGTCTCGGTGGGCAGAGCAGCCTGCAACGCGATGAATGCCGGTAGCTTTTCACTGGCCTTGTCGAGCATGCGCACTTGCTGCAGCTTAAAGTAGATGCGCAGCATAGCATCGAGAACGTCGCGATCGACGCCTTGTAGCTCCTACATGTATGCCAGACGTTGTTGGCAAAACACAATGATTTTGGTCAGTACAGCACCTCGGCGGCGGACCCATAGCACGGGGCGCCGGGAAGCGGCAAGAGCGTTGCGTTGTTACGCTCCACTTGGAGCAGCTGCGCTTCGGCGGCGCGGGCGAGGCCGGCAAGCTTCTCGACTTGATCGGCGATCGCGTCCAAGGGTGGTCGCTTTCCAAGAAGTGGCCCGACCAAGTCGACCCGCAAGTTGTGCTCAGTGGTTCGTGCGAGATCTTTTCCATAGTAAAACGAAGTGTGGAACGCCGGCATGATGGCATGCACCGGACTCACGTCGACGCAAAGCTCTGGCATTTCAAAACACTCGAGTTTGCAGCTGTCGGGCACAATCTCGCGGTCGCGCAAGAGCTGGTGGTGCATGGCGAGGTACTTTTCCTGGAGCAAGCCCGGTGCGTTGGCCTCGGCCGCCTCGACCACCGGGCGTTGTAGTAGCTTGTTGGCAAGGATGTAGAGAAACGAGCGGCGCCGGATCTCGGCCGGGGGTGGGTCCCATTTCGTCGACGGTAAGGGGCGCGTCAAATCCACCGTGTGCCACGTCCCGACGTCGGCGTCGCCGAGGGCCCGGTCCCCCCGGTGGTGTTCAATGCCAATGCGCAGCAGGAGGTGCCAGAGCACCCGTGTATCGATTCTGGACGTATCACACGCGGTTTGCGACGGCGAGTGAAAGCCGTAGCCGGTCGCGCGAAGGTAATGGCGAACGTCCGGGTCCGACACCAACGAGAGCGCACTGTCTCCGACGAGGTTGCGCGCAAACGGCGACGCCCCCGCTTGCACGAGGAGCCGCAGCACCTGCCGGTGCGTCGTCCACTCTTGGTGCTTTGGCTGGGCCTACACCACGACTCGTGTGCGACTGTACTTCAAGATGCGTATGGTTCTACCTGTGCTGCAATATGCAGCGCATTGTTGCCGAGTACGGGCTCGCGCGCGGACGCCAAGCGCGGGTCTTCGAGCAGCTGCGACTCGACTTCGCTCAGTTGCCCGTCACGAACAAGTACATGGAACGCGTGGAGCTCCGAGAGTACGACGTCCGCGGGGGTGTCACCATAGCTGTCGTGTGCATCCGAGACAAACATGAACGGCAGCGCCGACTCGAGCAGCGCGTCAATCGCAACCGGGTCAGCCGTAAGACTTTGATCGTCGGCGGCGGTCCCCGCGAGATGCCGGCGCCACGCTGTAAAGGTCGCCTGCAGTAGCACGCGCCCGTGCAGTCGCGTCGCTTCGGTCCATAGCTTGACGAGTGCCTTTCGTCGGTACACGCGGCTCGCCCAACGGTGGAAGAGGTGGCTTTTGGCGTCCTGGGACGTGATCTGTGCCCAGTGGTAGAGTGCATTGAGGACTCGCGGGTACATGCTTGGCTGCAGCAAGCGCGTGCGTCGGTCCAGCGACAAGATGCTGCGGCGCGACTGTGTTTCTTTCCAGCCTTCCCACGCCTTGTGCATGCGAGTGTCGCGCGTGCGGAGTTGCATCTTGCGCTTTGGCACGCGGCAGTCGCTGCGCATCGCTGTGTACGTCTGCCACGCAAACAGCGCCTTCTTGAGCGACCCGCGCGTCTCAAGGTTGAGGAGCGTGAGCGCGTGCCACTTTGCAAACACGAGTCCGAGGTGCCGACGACTGCAGTATGCGCGGGCGCGTCGGTTCTCTGCTTTTTTGGCTTTCGACAGGTAGCAGTACGCGCGGAGGAGGCGGAAGAAGCGCGTCATCCACATGATCGGACCCCGCGCATGGGCTGCGAGCTTGCGCAGCTGCCGTGCCTTGTACTCGATGACCCAGAGGTCCCATTGCGCCAATGGCGTTGGAAACCGAGGTACGTCCATGCACGCGCGCTTGTGCTTTTGAAAGAGCGTATACCGGGCCCACATTTCAAAGACGACTTGGACGCGCTCGCCGAGCCACTTTGGTCGACGAAGAAACGCAACCCGCATCGCGCGACGAAGACAGAGCTGCGCGTTCACGCTGGTGCGCTTGTGGTCTTCGTGGTAAGCTCGCCATTTTAGAAAGAGCGTGTGCACATACTGCTTGGCGACCGCGTCCCGCGCCGTGCGCATCTCGGCTCGGATCGACGCGATGCGACTGACGGTCACCGCGTCTTTCGACTTGTCTTGGACTGCCGCAAACGCCTTGTTGACAAACATGTAGCTGTAATCGGGCGCCTTGCGGTAGTCATTCGTTGTCGTCGAGAGGTCGTCGGTCGTCGTCAAGAACAGATTCTTGACCAGATTCGAGACTGATGCGACTTTGGTCGAGCTTTGCTGGAGCAGCTTGAGCTCAATCATGCGCAGCTACACGAAATATCGTCGTTGTGAGGGACGTTTTGTCCAAAACTCAAATTTTCAAAACTCAAAAATCAAAATGGAAGAATCAAAAAGGTGAAAATGACCTTGAGCGTGCACTCGACTTCGTCGGCCCACTCGCGAAAGACACGCCGACATGCATTTCGCCGGGCAAATCCCTCGACGTGGCGCAAATGCAACCACGCCGCGAGAGCGATTCGCAGCTTTTGTCGCCGTCGGTGACGCCACGCGAGAAACTTGCGTCGACACCGGGACATGCGGTACGTGGCCTGGAGGACCCGTGCACTGGCATGGCCGCGTCTCTAGGCGCGTACTCCAGCTCCATTTTCAAAGAAAACTCGCGTACTGCAAAGCGGTGGCGCTCGAGGAACCGGTCGCGCTCGCAACTGTCGTCGTCGGGCACGTGAATCGCGCCGACGCTTTCGTAGAGGTCGACGAGCTGTTTCGAAAAGACGCGGTGCACCTCGACGGGTGGCGCCGGTGTCGCCAGCTCGGACGCCAGCGACGTCGGCAATGCGGTGCCCGGGCTAAAGTTGAAGGCGCCGGCACTCGGGAGCGAAAAGTTGACTGTCGATGCGCTCGAATAGACATGCTCGCCGCGGTACGCGCGCTCCAACGCAGTGACGTGGCGCTCTAGTGCGGTCGCCGTGCGCGCCAGCTCGAGCAGCTGATTGTCGGACACCATGTCGCTTTGGTCAAGGTTTGGGGTTGAGCCTCGACCCTCGGACGTGTCGCGGTGCTCGTTCTTGCCACGGCCTTCGCCGTCATAATCGTCGTCGTTGGCGCCGTCGTTGGTGTCATCGTTGGCGTCATCGTTGACGCGTCCGTTCAGTCGAGCCACGAGTTGCTGGAGCTCCATGGATTTGGTTTGTGAGATCGCTTCGCGAAGGGACTCGACTTTGGCCTGCTCGGACGCGACCGTGCGCTCAATCACGGGCGTGGGGTACCACCCCATGATCCGCCGGACCTGGGCTGACGTCCGTCTTTTTCGCTGGCGCGTCTGACGACAGCGCGCGGCCGACGTATCGGGGATCTGGAGTGCGTTTACTGTCATGGCAGCGATCGAGTCGACGTCCGAAACGACACTGTGGCGCGCCGATGACAGCGGTGCGTCATCGTCGACTTCCTCGATCGAGTCGCCGCTCTCGTCGTCCGAGGCGCGGTCGTCGTCATCGTCGGGACTGAGCTCGCCAAAGGCACGGCTACTCGTCGCCATGGCGGTTGTTTGAAACCGACACGACGACCAAGTACACGCATCGTCCGTCGATCGGCAAGTGGAGATAGCTACGGAGATCCCACAAAGTTGACCCGCTGCGTAATCGACCGACCAACAAATCAGTGCGTCACCTCGTCCATCTGTCGCCCATGATCCAGCCAGCGATGCTTGCCGTTTGCCCAAACATGTAAAGACGTCCATAGCCAATGATATAGGTACATACTGTATGTAGCCAGTCCTCGTAAGCTAAAGGTCCCGGTAGAGATGAGTAGTCGATGCCAATGCAGCCATTCACTTCTAACGGTAGCGCAGCACACTCGTGGATAGCACACAGAGTCAAAGCCTGTTTCGTCGTCTCTGCTACCCCGTACATGTGTGCGAGGTCCATGCCAGATGACCGTTGTGCACCGTTTAGAATGCAATCTTGTAGAAATCAAACCAGTGGATCGACTAAACTTGTATGAATTATTGTAGGAGTAGAGTGGGAGGATGCCGCAAGCACGGCACAGGCCTCTTCCGTTTACAATCGCTTCGTACGTTGTCGTTTCTAATCGTTTTGCCGTGCTCGTTTTGGTGGTATTCCAGGGTCGGAATTGGCTACAAAGATGAACAAATCTGGTGGTAAGGCGCGTCATTTCGGACTTGACACTACCGTAGTAACGATGACCGAACCACCGACACCCATCGAGAGTCGCCGCGAGCGCAAGCGACTGCGGGATCCGCGCGCCAAGCAAGCCGCCCGGCAACGCATGCTGGACGAGACAAGTGCGCTTCAAACGTCGATTGCGAGTCTCACTCGGACGCTTCTTGCGAAAAAGGAGGCGGCGCCCAAACACCGTCTCCTACCGTGGCAAGAGGTGGCCACCACGCTTCGCACCGCGACCGCTAAGAGCTACGAACGCACGCACGATCTCCAGCGTCGCGTGGCCCAGCATCACCAATTGGCGCAAGCCTTGTACGGGTGGGTTGCGTCGTTGCACCGCGCACCCGTACGGCTGGCAGCACAGATCGAAAACTGCTAAGTCTTTTCTGTACTAGGGACGGTCGCCGGCGCTTGCGGCGTGGCGCGACGTTCGGTTGCCATGGAACCCCAACGTGCGTCGCGCGGGGTATCTCTGGCTCGCCGAGTACATGCTGGCAGCGACCGACGACCAAGTCGCGGACACTCTGTTCCCGGCGCCGCCCGACGAAGTCGTGTCGGCCGAGTGGAGTCCGATCGGGGGCCGCGTTGTATCGCAGTTTGTGCTGGACGGGTCGCTTGCTGAGGTGGCAACGGCGGCGTGGTCCTTTAGCCAGGCGCTGCCCACGATTTTGCATGCCACCCACGGCTGCGTGCACGTACGCACTATGCCTTTTGTAACTGTTGGACATTATTGTCCTTGGTTTTGAGTAGAATGTGTTTCATATTCAAGAAGCGAAGCGCGAAATGTGCTACAACCACGAAGCGTTCCCGGCCGTCAAGAGGAACCACACGTGGTAAGGTCATTTGACTAGCATCGACGAGCCAGACGACGCCCCTACTGTTTGCACTTGGAGATGACGCGAGTATAGACCCGACGGTCTGTATACGTGCTTTCTCGAGTCGGACCGCGTTGTGATGCACTATCGGACCGTGCGTGACGATGCTCTCTACCCCTGGGGAACAATGACGACCTTTGCGTATGACGTTCAAGAATGGTCTCAGCTGCTTCTGCATGATCGATTGAGTCAAGCCTACTGTTGTAGGAATGTTCTTCGCGCCATCTCACCCACGCAGTGCGTGCTTCGCGCTGTCGACGTCTACCAACCCTACGCCTCGTACGATTCGATGGAGAGTTATGCGCGGGCAGTGCGTCCTGACATTCTCGCCGCCGTCCACGGCGCCGACGACGTCGAGACAGCGCTTACACGTTGCTTTGAGCAAAATGCGAGCCGCCGCATGGCCAGTATGAAGCCTCGTCTCCAAAAGATGCTGCAGCGCGTCCAAGCCGATCGTGCAAGCTTTCCCAGTCCGTGCACTTTGATCCCAACCACATCACCACAACCAATGCGAGACAGTTGGTCAGAAATATGAAACCGCCGTAACCGTCAAGTACAAAATCGTCCTAATTGCCGATGCCATGTGGTCGAGCGACGCCTTCTACTTGATCGCGTTGAGTGGTGGGCGCCGGTGTCTCGTCGTATCCGCAAGGAAAATGGATTTTGAACGGAAACGTGTTAATATCAATAGGGTGTCGGGTACGACTCGGGCGACTCTTGAACGTTGCGCAGCATCTTGCGGACGCGTCCGTGCATGTCTCGGATGATGCGGCACGATTTGCTCGCGACGAGGCGCTCCAACTCGCTCTCTTGTGCACCTTCGGCCATCGCGAGCACGTCCGGGTGCTCGTCTCGGACAAAGTCTTCAAAGTGCTCGTAGCTTTTGAAGGGTTGACACACGGTCGACGATTGGACGACGCACTTGGTCGGTGACACGGCTCGAATGACATTCCTAGCATATATAATGCATCCTCTCTCGTAATCGACAGAGTGCAATGTACCATTCTTGAATGTCGATCTTGAAGCCCTTGTCGCCGACCGGGTGCGCTTCGTCGTAGCGGATGGTGCGGTAGTGCATCACGAGGCAGTCGTCTTGAACGTAGCACGTGTAAAAGCCATTGTTGGTCACCCACGGATACGCTTCGCGGTTGTAGCATATTTCGGCCCCCCGCGCCTTGTGGTGGTAAATGTTCTACTCGAGATCGTAACTCGTTCGACAAAGTGAAATCCTACCGAGACGCAGCCGCGCTTGCCGTTGAGGATCGTTGGTAGCGCTTGGCTGAAGGCCCACGCAGCGATCGCGACTTCCATCATGGTGCCATCGAGGAATTGCTGCGAGTGGACGCGGCCACCCTCGACGCTGTACTTTGCGGCAACCCAGTCTTCTTGGTCGGCGGGGAAATCACTGTCGACGATATGCAACGGCGTCGCGTGGAGCATCTGCTGCCCGATCCAGTGGTAGCCCACGGTGCGGAGCTCGACATTGGTCGAGAGATGGACATCGCGCCACGCAAACACCGACTGCGCCGGTTGCTACAAACACAGCTATGGGTTGTTTGCCGTCGAGTCGCGAATGTACCTTGGCCGGGGTCATGGAGGCGACCCATGCGTGCAAGTGGCGGGCGAGGCGGGATTGGTGCGCGAGGTGGCGGCGCAATGCCTCCTTCTCGGCAAGACCCTCTTCGGTCGCGGCGGCAAGCGACACGGCAATGTCTTTCCACGTGAGGAGGCAGTCGCTGGACGCGCGCAGCGTCCGAAGCTTGCGCCCAAGCACCTCGATCTTCTCTTGCAGTGTGCTGCATTCGGTGAGGTACCGAAGGCGCGCGGCGCGCTTCGCCTTGCGGTACCGAAGCCGCTTTCCGAGCTGTTGCGGTGTCAGCTCCTCGGGCTCCATGATGGGTTTTGCGAAGTGTGGTATTTGGGGTGGTCGAGGCGATGATTCCGGGCCAAGACATATGGCCATACGAAAAGCGCGCAGGTGCAAAGCGCGTGCATGATCAACGATGAGTGACGTCCATCCAAGACACTGTCATGGCAACTGCGATACAACGCCTTGCTCGTACGAGAAACACCCCAAGAAGGTATTACGTCCAACGCCTCGTACAAGTCCATACTCTGCACGTGGACTGCGTCCGTGGCATTGCAGTTCCATCGATCTTCGTCATCCGTGGCACTGTGCCACCAGCAGCTCGACCAGCAGTCGCGTAACCTTTCGATTTCACCGACGTTGACCATGCGAGTCTACTCTTACTCGTTGAAGGTCCTGCGTGAGTTAGCGTCTCCACCCACATTTCTCAGTGCGTACAAGTGCCAAATCTACCGTCGTACCGCAGTGCCAATTTGGCAGGCGCGTTCGCTCAAACCCCCTGTTTCCGATCGGCCCGCGAAAGAAACCACCCACGTTCGCATATGCAAATCAATGGCTGTGGATGCCAAGCACCCACGCCCGTGTCAGTCTGCCAGTGTCGTCGATAGCGCAAACAAGCAATCAAACTGAATTCCAATTACGTCCGACGCAAGCAGTCTTGTGGTGGCGCGTCGCGCCACTACGTACTAGTATGCGGAGATCGCATGTGTCTCTGTCAGCGTCTCGATGCAACTTGCCAGACACGAGCTCCGTGTAGTGATAGCTAGAGGCGGGGGCGAGACACGAATCGTTCAGTGAAAGCTGGCCCACCTGGAGGACACTCTGGAGGACAGAGGTCTCAGCGCCAGGATGAGTTTTTATAGCGTTCTAGAACCTCTAGAACTCGAATGGTCGAGGCACGTGAGACGGCATTGGTGCAGGTGAATCGATCGCCCATTGCGCTGCGAACGCTTGAGTTGCGGCGACTAGAGTGAACCTCCTAGTAACGGTATACTACATCTTGGGTGTTGAGAGCATGAATGATCACGCTTGCAAATTTCGAGGCGTGGGAGCGATGGCATCCACATTCTAACGTTAACGTTAGGACAAGGATAGCATCAGTAGCGCGGGGTATCCAGCAGATACAACTACGAATGCCCATCCGATCGATATGAAGATAGATTAGGATATGGAAGGAAGATAGCACGCGTCCTTTTCGAAACGTTCGAAATTTGAGCCTCTCATCGATCCTGCCACCTCGACATGACGTTTTTGCAAGCTCGTCGTCAAGGAAGAAGAAAGGAGCTCTATCGAGTGCCTCTCTCGATCCTCGCAGCGGCTGTAAAGTAATCGCAGCGGCTCGTGCTCTATTCATGGGGCTGAACGCTGGGGCTGAGAGAAATTGTGGCCAATGCAAGCCACCCATTATGCCAACGTCAGGTGGATAGATGTGCCGTCCGATGCAAGTGAGAGATGCGTTGTAAGCATACTCAAAGAGCTCGACATGATCACCACGCAAAGAAGCGATGGCGCGACGCGGCGGACGCAATCCCAGGTATCGTCCCATGCGGTCGAGACGCCGGGGGGCAACCACATGGCGAAATAAACATCGCGTCAGCAATGCCTGTATACGACAACATCGCGCGCCAGACGATGACGTGGCGTGTTGTGCGACAGCTGCGTCAGGCATCCAGACACAAAAGCAACTGGAAGGTTCGAACAAGGCAGCGTTGACCGAGTGTTCGAATAGCGATACTCATTCGAATTGCACTGCAAGGATCTTGTCGACTGCGGTATTTGCGTCGCCTAGCGCACAGGAGATGCAGCAAGGCACTTGGCGACTTGGAGACAGCGAAGCCATTATCGTAGACAACTAGGTGTAGCATGGGACACACGGTCGGACATTTATTGTCCGACCTTGTGCTGCGATGATGCAATGACGCGGCTTCCTGCTGGTCAGTGTGGGATTCCGCCTTGTTCTTGATTGCTCTCCTAGGAGCCAGACCGACAGACGTCGCATTGAAGTCGCATCTCTCAACCTCCTCACACAATCACCGTGGGCATGAAAGCGGATCACTAAAATGCCGGAAGTTTAACATCTCTGTGATCCGCTCGACAATTTGCGTTCGAATTCTTGCAAGTTGGATGATGGTTTTTGGCGAGCTCTGCCTGAGACTGTCCTAGCAATGGGGTCCTCTTCGATGCACCTGGAACGCCCCCCCGCCTCGAAGATGTGCATTGCACTGCGGGGGGGTGGAGCAGAGGGCAAATACATCAGGCAAATAGAGCATTCTGCGCCCATTCTTATCTATCATCGCGTCAACGCCACGCTTGGCATAGTTTTGGCTGTGTGATCTCGGAAAATGGCCTCCTTCGTCGGTCTAGTTCTCCAAACACGACGACAGTCTAGTCTCTCGTCTCAACATGGAGACCACGGAGTGGGAACGTGCCAAAGGAAGAAGCTTCGTCGAACCAGAACGCGCTTGCGAGGCCCTTCTATACCCACGTGGAAGTACCTTCCGCAAGCCCACTTTTGATCGTGTCTCCCATTTCTATATGTATGGTATTGTTTTAACACTAGAACGCGATCAACCTGTCTATGGAGCACGCTGTCAGAGTCTACGGGTTTGCACACGGTCGTTGCAATCGACATCGCTGAGCGTGCGCCTCGCACACGAGCTTCTGGATGTGCAGGAATCGCTCCTGTGCCGCACTGGTCGCTTTGGCAGCCAAGCGCTGCTGGAGCTCAGCGTCGAGATTTTGGCCCCGCCGCATTGTCGCTAGTACGTCGGGGTGCTCGAGGCTTGCTACAGCAAGCATTGACGCGTGGCGTGTCACGGAGCGGCGCAGCCGCACACTTTGAACGACGACGTGGGTCAGCGAAAGCGACGTCAACACGATCCTAATTATCGTCCATTCAAACCACCGCGCAAGACGAGCCGAGCCTACCATTCTTGAATGTACGGGGTCGTACTCCCTACGTCCTTGTCATCGCTGTCGTGAAGTGTACAGTGCAGCAAGGTGATCGTGTCGGCATCGACAAAACACGCGTGGACATCGCGCTGAGCCTGCTGGATCGAGTACGTCGCTTCGGTCGTCGCCGTCTTGTGGGTGGCCACAACCTACGTTTGCGAGCCATTTTCATCCGCCAGCCTTCGGTCGAGTGTCTGTACCGTGCGCGGACCAAACGATAGAAGTGCTGTCCACGTTGCCGCGAGAACGTCGTCGAGGGACCCAAGGATAATATGCTGGGCGGCCACGAGACTGCCACGGACGTCCTGCGCCGCGTGCACATGATTCCGCACCGGCGACGGGAAGCCGGCATCAGAGACCATAAAGGCCGTCGCGCGCCGCATGCGCTCGGCAAGCCACGTCAGCGCCATTGTCTGGACCGTGCGGGGCGCCGCTGGCAACCGTACCCGCGGCCACGTGACCAGCGTCGATGTGCCAATGACCACCTAGAGCATGTCAGTCTGACATCGGCGCGTGATTATTCCGGGCCAATTTCGTACTGTTTGCGGTCGAGATTGGGCCGTCACCCATGCATGCAAGAGCTCGACGCAGTGTCTGTGGTCTGCCACGTGGGCGGACAATGTCCGATTCGTCGCGAGGCTGTCGCGCGTTGCGTCAGCGAGCACCTTTGCGATTTCTTCCCACGGCAGGAGGCAGCTCCGAGGCCGGTGACCCGACCGAAGTCCACGCAGCGTGCGCGTCAAGGCCGCTGCAGCGTCTGTCAGCGCGTTGTACTCGGCCAAGAAGCGGACGCGGGCCGCTCGTTTCGCTCGGCGGTCGCGGAGTCGCTTGCGCGAGGAGACGTCCATCGCCTTGACGAAGCGATAACGCGATGGCTGTGTATGTGCTATGGGTCCTAGCATAAGTGGCACTGCGTACGCATATCGCACGGACGGAGCAAACGGCGTTGACGGAGGCTTAAAGCATGAATCATCCAATATTGACGACGCACCTCGATTGGTTCATACAAACAGAAAAGTATTTTGTAGAATATATGCATTTGTATCACTGAGCAAGATTGAAAGGCGCGGGAGCAGCACGTGGTGCTGCGTATACAAACTGCCAAAGAAGACAAATGCAGGCAGGTGCCGCACCTCGTGTTATCATGGGTAAGGCCCAATGTCCCAGGCTGTGGACCAACTTGTCCAAGGCGATGGCACAAGGATTAGGCCACGACGTTGCGCGGCGCTAATCAATATTAGTGGATCGCGGTAGACACCTGCGTAGACAAGCCAGAGCTGTTTACTAACTCGGGCATGTCTTTGGCTACCATCTTCTGGGATTCCGTTTGGTCTACTTCTGAGTCAGATTTGAGCGGGTGCAATTGTAGTGCTTGTGAGTTGACGGGTCGAATTGCAACTACAAAAGTCGGTCGAGCTTTAGCTTGCATCACAGGACAAGGTCGAGTTTTTCGTCGACTCGTATCATTCGCACTTGCACAACTGCAGTCGATAGGAAGCAAAGAGAACTCCTATCAGAAACGGATCCTGCGTATGGCCTTGACAACAAGGAACCTTCAAAAAGTTGCATGCAAGGCTACAAGTCGTACGCACCACCTATGGTGCATAAAAATATTCACCCTTGGCACCTCCCACGGGGCATGAAAACCTGCTCGTGGGTATTGCATTGTATCGAGTTGCATCGCCTACTTTCTATCAATGGGACAACACGAACTGCGTCGAAATGTTCAAAATTTCGACTTAGTACGGCCGAGGATACGCGTCCGGGTTGGCTTGCACGTGGCGCAGTAGCTTGCGGAACATACCACCCATGCCCTCTAGCATCGCGCACGTATCGGCAACGAACCGGTTCGCGATCGCATCTTCCAACTCGGTCCCTTCTTTCGGCGCCAACGTCTCGACCAAACCCGGTGTGATTTCGTGGGCGTACGAGACCATCGAGGCGTGGTGGTTGTACGGCTGGTACACATGCGCAGATCGAATGAGGCATTTCGTCATGGACACGCGTCGAATCACATTCCTAAAGGTATAGTATTGCGTGAGGACAAAAATACATTGGCTTTTGTGGACGCACCATTCCTGAACGTCCTCCAACATGGCGGCGGATGCGGTAATGGGGGACGCGTCATCGTAGCGAATGGTCCGATAGTGCGTCACGGCGCGGTCGGGCTCGAGAAAGCACGTGTACAAGCCGTTCGAGACGCGGCTTGGAAACTCTTCGCGGTTGTAGCTAAGGCGCCCGTGGGACGTCGCCGCGTGGTGGAGCGTCTACGCGATTGCTGAGGCTGCCACGTCATGCTTTTGAAACCGTCTACCGAAATGCCTCCGCGCGATTCGTGCATGATCGTCGGGAGCGCTTGGCTAAACGCCCACCCGGCTGTCGCCGCCTCGAGGAGCGTGGCCTCCACGACCAGCTGCACGTAGACAGTGCCGCCGTCGGGGCTCCACACACCATGCACAGCGTCCTCGACGTCGCTTGGGAAGAGAGCGTCCGGCACTTGGTGCGGCGTCGCGTGGAGCATTTGCTTGGCGATCCAATCGAGCGCCACTGACCGCAGCGCCGCGTCGGACGACAAGTGCACATCTTTCCATGCAAACGCAGGCGACGTCGGCGGCTAACGTGTACATCAGTGTCAACGGTCCATGGTAGCGCCATCACAACCTTGGGAACGACAGCCAACGATGTAAGCCAGGTTTGGAGGCTCTGCGAGAGACGGCTTAGCTGCGTCACGCGATATCGAAGATCGTGCTGGGTTGCAACGCTCTTGTCCTTGGCCTTGGCAAGCGACGATGCCACCTCGCGCCAGCTCAAAAGGTACGCGGAGGACGGGCGGGCTGCCTCCCGCGCCGCCAGCGACGCCGAGAGGCTCGCAATTGACGACTGCAGCGCGTGGTACTCGTCGAGGAAGCGCTGGCGCGCGGCCTGCTTGGCGCGGCGGTCGCGGATCCGCTTGCGGGCGAGGCGTGTGGCATCGCCGCTCTCCATAGCGTCCATCGCACAGCGCTCGCTCTAGAAAAGTGGTCGACTTTGCCTTACCACCAGCTCGAGTCAGGTTGGAAAGTGGTGCAATACCGCATGGTGCGTCCCTTTTTTCACCGCCAAGATGCTGCCGCGAGCTGGGGGTTTGTATGGGAGACTGCCACGTATATGCCGTTTCGCCAGTGAGCTTGACGGTATGTCGACCGACAAATGGCGGGTGACGCAATCCAAACAGCCATCGGCGACAAAAATCAACGGTTAAGACGCGCACCTTCGCCAAGGGCATCGCTACGGCGACTGTGTTTGGAGACGCTTGCAAAGCATGATGCGTCAAGAAGTACGTTGCGTCGCTGCCGCGGAGGGCGGACGCCCTCGTGACTGGGTTGGCCGCACCGTGAGCCATGGATCGACTCTCTGTCTATTTCGACACCACGTGTAAACCCAAACTGGTGTCCTCCGCTGGATGTTGCCACAGGAGCGTTTGCATCCGGCGTCACTGTATAGTTTAACGGCGCGTCCGACTCTGTTACCAAGGCGGGCTGCTCCCACGCTTCCTTGCGATAGGCTTACATGACCAACACCAGACACGAGACGACTCGATCTCCCAAGCAGTAAGCTGTCGGTGCTGTGAACTGAGGTTGCATTCTCGACAGGCTTGGAGCCCAAAAATGCGTTCTTTTAGACAACCTGTATGAATACATACCCCTCTCGAACACATTATTATATATGGAAGGTATCGAACATAAAATGTGACAGAACACTACAACTTGGCGGCGGGTCCAAAGGAATGGCGTCCCAGGACAAGCACCACTGCACGTACTGCAATATATGGGTCCAGGGCGACCGCGTCGTACGTCGCTACCTCCTGCGACCGTGCGACTCACCCTCCAGCGTCTAGAGCATCCGCAACCATGAGGCCACGCAGCGCCACAAGGACCGGACCCAAGCGCAGTTCAAGATCCGCACGCGCGACCGCGAGATCGCCGAGCGCCAAGAGGCCAACATGCAGCGCGAGCTCGACCAAGTCGAACGCGTACGAAAAGCCTATACATCCGCTGCGCTGATGCAATATGGTGTAGAACGCACGGGCTCGGTTTGCACGCGACATGGCAGGGAAGACGCGCACGCAGGCCGAGACGCCGATCGACCTGCCAGCCGTCGGTCCGCTGCCTCGGCAAGTCGCACAACTTGCAGCGCCTAGCGCCATGCCACCACCACCGCCGCCACGTATGGTCGCCCCGCCGCCGCCGCCGCGAAACGTCCCCATGCGGCTCGCCCCACCTGTCCACGCGTATCCGCAAGCGCAGCAGCCGTACCTTGCGGCGCCGCAACACAGTGTAGCACCACCGCCGCAGGTACCACCACCGCGGGTGCCACCGCCACGCGTACCGCCGCCGCAGGTCCCGCCACCCCAAGTGCCACCGCCTGTGATGGCGCCGCCGCCTGCCCCCGCCCCCGAGCAGAGCCCTGGGTTCTACGTCGTCCGTGGCACCGTGTACCTCGAAGGCCAATTCCACGAAGTACGTACAACGACTCCATGTGATCTCTCTGATGCGTCCTATCATGCTCTAGTTCAAGCTTGTACCAAAAAAAGTCTGCGAGGTCTGGGTCGAGGACCTCGAGGACTGGCGGCCCGCCACGATCAGCAGCGTCGAGACCGACAAGAGCACCAAGCCTCCAACGAAGCGGTACGCTGTCGCGTACAAGGCCACGGACGACCGGACGGCGGCGGCAGTCTCTGGTGTCTTTACGAGCGACCAGCTCCGGCTCTGCCTCACGCTGCCGACCGAAGTTGCAACGGCCGAGCAAATCACGGAAAATGGCGGCAACGGCTTCCTCGACGCTCTTTACCAGGGTCGGTCGACGCAATATCTCGCAGCCCGCGCGCCAGGGTACGGCGAATGGTCGACCGTGTCGGTGCGCATCGTCGACGACGCCGTCGAGGAGAAGGCCCGGGCGGATGAGGTCGCCGCGTTTGAAGCCTCCAAGAAGGCGATCCAGCTCGAACGCGACAACGAAATGATCATGGAAGAGTCGCTGCACGCCGACAACGCGCTCGGGGCGTTCAACCCGTGGGGCGGCAGCTACAAGGGCATTGCGCTGGACGACGACGTGCGGTTGCCTCTGAGCGATGACGAGGCGGCGCCGGCGGCGCCCGTGGCCTTCAAGAAGCGTGCGCGCAAGGAGAAGAGCGGGCGCAACACGCGGCTGAAGCTTGGAGACGACGACGCGTAGGTGCAACATAGAGCTCAACCCATGTATATCGTGTGGTGTTACGTCATTCTTCTTCTTCATGCACAAGCGAATTTACATCTGCGCGCCCTGCACCTTGATGCGCTCCGCGTCAAGGTACGCCGTGCCGTAGGGCAAGAACTCGTCGCTGTGTGTGTCGGCCAACTTCTTGTACTCCTTGGCCTGGTTGGTCAAGTCGGCGATTTCGTCTTCCGTGACGTCGCGGACGTACTGGGCAGGCGAGCCGGCCCACAACTAGAGAGCATGATAGCATGAGCGACGAGGGCACAGGGCATGGTGGATGATGGATACCTGGCCCGACGGGATGCGGCGGCCCGGCGGCACGACCGTGCCAGCAGCCAAGATCGAGTTGGACTCGACCAAGGCGCCGTCAAGGACAATCGAGCCCATGCCGATCAAGCAGTTGTTTTCGATCGTGCACGAGTACAAGATGCAGCCGTGGCCTACATGGTATATGAGTGACCATGCTATCGCTGCACGAGATGGTGCGTACCGACAGTGACGTCGTTGCCGATCGAGGCGCCGGGCGCAAGGCCGGGCGTCGTCGTGCTCGACGTGTGGATGACCGTGCGGTCCTGAATGTTGGTGCGGTTGCCAATCGAGACCTTGTTGAGGTCGCCGCGGATCACGACGCCGTACCAGACCGACGCGTCATTGCAGATCTCGACGTCGCCAATGACCGACGCGTTGGGCGCGACCCACGAGTCGTAGGCCACCGACGGGACCTTGTCGTAGAGGTTCATGATCTGGCGGTGGCGCGAGACTACGCATGCATGAGCCTCTGAATGGCATCTGCAGGCGCCACGTACACTTCTCGCGGGCCTCGTTGCTGCCAAGCACGCGCAGGCCAAGGCGGTCCATGGCCTGGCCCGTCTCGCGGACGCATCGGCCGAGCTCGAACGTAACCTTCCGCAACATCTTCGCAGTCAAAAGTGGAATGGCCGCAGTCAGTGGCTCGGACGCCACAGAAGCGTCCCGTATCCGGAATCCATACTTTATCCCAATGTCCCAAATGAAAGGCGTTGGATTGGTCGAAAAGCTCGTCGTGGATGCCTGTGATTGGCCATTGCCGTCGAATTCGAATGATTTCCATACACGATCTTGCACTCGGAGGCAATCCCAAGCGCCATGCGTGTGCTGTACACCGCCGACGTGCGCCATGTTGTGAGCACTTATGCCATTCGCTCGAGGTTGCGCTACCGGTACACGCTTCGATCCCGTGTAAGGCATTGTTGACCTTGACGGCAACCGTCATATCGCAAGTGCCGAGATTGACGTCAAGGTCAAGCGATTTCTGCTTGGTACCGTCTTGTGGTCGACGCGTAGTCATAGTACTACAATGGAGATGCAGTATCACCACGACCGCAATATTCTATTCCATCCCAAAACGGGACGTCATACACTCCCAGAACAATGTTCCACGCGCTCAGATCTGCGTTCTACACGCTCAGATCTGCGTTCGACACGCTCAGATCTGCGCTCGTCTGCGTCAAAATAACGTCGACGGCCGTTAGAGAGGTATGGTTGGACGCAGTGGCGACACAAACGACCCACCACGACCACCACCACCAATAAAAATGAGGTTGCACGGAGCCAGAGGGCTGCCAACTAGCACGAGTCTTCGTCGGGCCCTCTAGATACTAGTAGGATAGAACTCGTCGGCATATGGTGGGGACACTTTTGTCGTGTACGTTTCAAGGTATTCATAGCACGGATGCTCGCGCATGACGCAGACGTGCCGTCCGAGGAGCTCAAGCGCCTCGTGCGCAAGAGCGAGGCCGACCGAAAGACGCGGTCTGCCTCCAAAGAGATCGTTGAAATGGTATGTTGATGCTCTACTCCAGTCTCAAACGCAATGCTGTATAGACCAACTATATCCTCTTTCTGACCCTCTTTCTGATTGCGACGCTCCAAGGCTGGAACAACTCGTCGTACAAGAGCCGCGCCATCTTGATGTCCGAGTTGCGCGACAAGCCTTTTCTGCGATCTCAAACCACCGTGCGCAAGGCCTTCAAGGACGTGGCCTGCATCGACGAGCTCCACGAATTCCTCGGTGACCTCGCTGAACTATTGGTGCTCAGGTCGGCAATGCATCTGTGCGTAGTCGGGCCGTTCTACGCCGCCTTGTACCTCGGGCAGTCGTACGACGCCGACGTGAGCTTCCCGACCGGACCGCTCTACGCGGGGCGGGGGTTCATCGCTGGCGTCGAGCGTGTCGTTGGGAGCGTCCGCATCGGGCAGCTTCGCGTCGATGGCGCCAAGTGCCAAGGCACGCTTGTGCACGAGCTACAGCACGGCGATTACGACCCGATGTGCTATCCCGAGTACAGCAGTACAGCAGAATCTATTGCGAGCTTTGGCTACAATGCGACCTACAACGCGCTCCCAATGGTGCCCAGCGAGCCGACGTACGTCTCGCGCACGGGCCGGTACTACCCGAGTCCGCGCTTTGCGGTGTTTCTTCCGTCTGTCGAGAACGACTCCTCGTGCGATCCATCGGCGTACACCACGACGTGCGACGTGTACAAGCAAATCGACGCGCTTCGAACCTCCAAGTGCGCACTCTTTTTGAAAAAGCGCAACTGCTGGAGCCTCGTATTTCTAGGTTTTTTGACAAGGCGACCCGCGTCGTTTTGATCGACTTTACGTTGTACAATGCCAACACGGACCAGCAGTCGGTCGTGCGTCTCGTCGCCGAGCACACGATGAGCGGCGGCCTCGCGACGCAAGCCGACTGCATGACGTACCGCCTGTACCGCAACCAAGTCGCCTCGGACCACGTGCGCTTGACGCTCGAGCTCCTTGTGCTGCTCCAAGTCTTTTTCCAGCTGTACGCCGAGCTGCGGTTGTGCCAGCGCCTGGGGCGCGCGTACTGGCACATGACAGCCAACGTGGCCCATGCGCTGAGCTTGCTGTTGTTTATTGCGTGCGCCGTGCTCCGTGTGCTTTGCTACCTCGAGCTGCCGGCGATAACCATGTCCTCGATGGGTCCGACGAGTTTTCCAAATTTCCGGTATGTTTCGCAATATTTTTTAATGTCATTATACGTAGTTTACTCGTGTCTCTAGTCCGTCGGCCAATTACTACATGATGGCCGACGTCGCGACAAGCTTTACGTGCTTCTTGTCGTGGCTCAAGCTCTTCAAGTTTCTTGGCTGTACGTACTGGCATTTTGGGTTGGCGTATCGAGTTCATGCATTTCGTAAATGCTAGTCCTACCCATGTTTGCGCCACTGACCAAGACCGTAACCAAAGCCGCTCGCAAGGTCTCGAGCTTGATTGTCATATTCTTTATTGCGCTCCTTGGCTCGGCGCTGTCGTTCCACATGGTAGGATTGCTCTGGTTGTACTCGATACATTGATACCTATTGAAATCAGGCCTTTGGCGCCGACCTCGAGCGCTACTACTCGTTTTGGGCGAGCTTGTGCGTCTTGTGTATGGTGTTGTGACGACCTCAGTTACCCCATATTGGTAGCATTGGGCTCCTCAGCATTCTCCAAGGCGAGCTCGATCTGCTCGAGCTCCAAAAGTCCAACCGGATCTTGGGCCCGATTTTTTTCGTGGTATTTGTGACGTTGATGTTCTTTGTGATTCTCGTACGTCCCTGCCTTCCTACCGATACCGATTATGTTGTCGTAGAATATGTTTATTGTCGTCATTTCCGATGGTACGCTGTCGACAAATTTGCATTTACGCCATTTTCACATGGTATTTTTTATGAAAATATAGCGTTTGCCGAAGCCAAGAGTGAACTCCATCTCCTCAACGAACTCAACGTCGACACACTCTCGAAAGAAGTATACCACCACGTTCTGCATGTACGATATTGTCGATGTCTTTGTCGTCGCTAACGCATGGGCCATAGAACATCGTCTTTCGCATTCCGCTGCTCGGCAAGATCCTACGCCGAGTGTACGACCGCACGGTCTCGCGCCTCGACAAACGCAAGCACGCGACCAAGTCGCTCAACGAGTGCAGCAAGCAGCACGTGCTCTTTCAAAGCACTCATGCGACTTCCCTCAAGCTCCTCAAGAGCACGCTCGCCAGCAAGAAAAGTCCTCCGGCTCGGTTTCAAGTCGTCCTCGACGAATACCGCAAGCATCAAATGGCAGTCGCGTCCAGCTGGACGACAACTAGTGCGGGCATTACGGCCGAGCTCGCCTTGCTTCCACGCACATCGTCCTAATCCTAATTTACAAGTCTACTAATTTGGTGCATGACCCAACAAGAAGAGGCATGAATCCACTGAAGAAATGACGGCGGTGAGAGCAGTTGCAGACTTGAAACATCTTGCATGGTGCCCGTGGGCTTTGAGTAAAAACAAAGCTAGATCGAAAACCCTATCGAGGGGGTGCTATCTGTAACTGGCATGACCGTCTCGAGAGCCGACTCGGACACCAGTGGCGTGACCACGGCAGTGACGCCGTCGACATCGGCGGCGCACGAAGTCGCCGACATGGTATGACGTCTCATGCACGAGGTTGCTGGACGAATCTGTCGATCTAGATGCGATACCTTGTCTTCCTCAGTCTCTTCCTTATCGTGACGGTCGGCGTCGGGTCGCACTCGGAGAGCGACTTGCCGTACAAAGTCACAGAGATGCTCGATAAGCAGCTGCGTGACAAGGACCTCATCGCAGAGGACTCGCACGTCCTCAAGCGCTTTCAAGACATCAAAACCATCCTCGAATTCCACCAATTTCTGAGTCTGCTGGTCCTACCTCCTTACAAAACCTCACCCAGGATCTCGTTAGCGGGGCCCTTCTACGACGTGGTGTACGGTAGCGACTCGTTCGACGCCGACTGGTCGTTCCCAGTCGGACCGACGCTGCCAGATCGAGACACACTGAGCGCGGGTAGTAAGATCATTGGCCAAGTCCGCATCGGACAAGTGGGTGCTATCGACTTGGTACATTGATACAAGCAAGGCGCATGTAGGTGCGCGTCAAGGGTCTGCCGTGTCCTGGCGCAATGGCGCAGCTCAGCTCCCTCTACAGTGTCCCACCAATGTGCTACGGAGACTATACAACGTCGACTGAGAGCAGCGAGACGTTTGGGCTACAACACAACTACACAGCGCTGCATGCGCGCATGGCCGAACCCATCTTTTATGCGCACTCGTACCACTCGTTTCCGTCACCGCTTTTCGCCGAGTTCTTTCCGAGTGCGGAAGACAGCAGCTGCGATTTCGAAACGCACTTCGACTGCAGCGTGTACGCACAGCTCGCGGCCCTGCGAACACACAAGTAGACGCTCGCCTTTAGGATTGGATCGATGCCATTGGATACTTGGATACTTAGGTATTTTGACCGTGCGACGCGCGCGATTTTTATCGACTTTGCACTGTACGACATGCACATTGACCACGTGACGACCGTTCGCCTCTTTCTCGAGCATTTTCAGGGTACAAAATACTGCGAAATAAAAGGATAAAAATTCAAAACGGCACATTTAGGCGGCGGTCTCGCACCCCAAGTCGAGTTTCTGACGTACCGCGTCTTTAGCTTTGAGACCACGGACGATTGGGTTCAATTTGGCTTGAGCATTCTCTTGCTCGTCGTCGCCTTGTACCAGTTGTACGCGGAAGTGAGCGTGCAGCCCGACAAGCTTGCTTATTTGCGCCAACCGAGCAACCTCGTCCAGCTGAGCAACTATGTGGCCTTTGTCGCTGTGCTCTTTCTCCGTATTGCGAGCGACCTGGCGCTACCGACCGAGATCCCACCGCATACCTTTGTGAATTTCCGGTGGCATTTATTCGAGGTTACGTGCGCGACGACTCATATCGACTAGGACGGCGTGCACGTACTATGGTTTGGCGCTCAACTGCCACAGCTTTTGCTGTCTCTTGTCATGGCTCAAGCTCTTTAAATTCCTCTCCTGTACAACGCATCGTTAGGCCACATGGCGCTCAGAAATTATGCTTAGTCATTCCAATGTTTGGCCAGCTCACGCGCACGGTGCAGCGGTCGGCAAGCCAAGTCGTGGAGCTCCTCATCATTTTCTTCATGTGTCTTTTGGGTGCTGCGCTCGCGTTTACTCTGGTACATCGCTGCGCTGCACGTTGTAATAACGCGGATTAGGGGTTTGGCAATCTCATGTACGACTACCACTCGATCACAGCGAGCTTGTACGTCCTCTCTTTGGTTCACGAATGCGACTAACGGCTATCCACTAGCTATACACTCTTGCACATTGTGACCGGCGACATTCCGCTGGAAGATTTGAGTCGCGCAAACCGGTTCACGGGCCCCTTCTTTTTCATGATTTACATGTTTATGATGATGTTTATCATTCTCGTACGTTCAAAAAACGACATATAATGTCCTTATCGCGCGCGTAGAACATCTTTATCGTCATCGTCGAACACGGTACTATTCGACCTTACATTCCGCGATGAGCACGCTTTTCATTAGCGTACACGGAGACCAAGGAGGAAATGAAGTTGCTACAAGACATGCAACTCGACGAGCTCTCCAAGGAGATCGTGCACCACTTCGTGCACGTACGCGGCCGAAGACAATATTGTCCATTGGAAAATTGTATTTATGGTAGAATATGATCTTTCAACTGCCCATCGTCGGCACGCATGTGCTCAAGCCACTCTACCATCGCTCCATGTACGCGACGACGGCACTTGTCGAGGTACACTATTTCTAAACATTTTGATCGCAATGTCAACGTTGCAAGTAGCGCATCAGCACGGACATGGTCAAGCGCGGGTCGTGGGTACAATATGACAATAGAGCGATATTCAGATACTTATTTTTTGGCGTAGAAGCAGACGCCGTCCATGCTTGTGCACAGCTCCCTCGCCAATGCACGTGCCATTGCTCACCAAGTCGCAGACTCATTTTCTCGTCATTAGGTTGACGTTCGCGTGCTCCAAACCGACGCGGTACCGTGCCACCGTCTCATGTCTCATGTCCAAGAACAGACAACTTGTCGTTAGGTCGCACCGCAGATGAACGACGTTGCGCGCGCTGACATCGTGGACGCATGCTACCAGCTCCTCACCGACCTCGAGAGTTTGCAATCGACGTTTGTACCAGAGCTCAAACGCCGACCTGGGACCGAGATGGTGCAGTGGGAGCACGACGCACACGCCTTTACGACGCGCTTCGATGCGTAGCGATTCCGACATTATGTCTTTGGTATTGTATATTGTTCAACACTTGTGTTTCAAGTCAAATTCAATCTAGCTTTTATCGCCTACGTACAATCGTAAACCTAAACCCGCGCGTAGAGGTGATGCAGGCTCAACTTTATCTTGAGATGGAGAAGAGAGCCTTCGTGCGTTCTTTATAAAATTGGAGTTTGGGGTTCGTCCGATCCCCCACTCGTGCTTCGGAGGACCAGCCGCCACATTTATAGGACGTAGATTCTACTTCCGAGTACAATATTGTTTTATTCAGTAATGGGAATGACGCATTGTGGCTACGGTGCGATGGCGGCCAGGCATTGTTGTTTGTACATTGCCAGATGCGCTTGGAAGCGAACGAGGTCCTCGACCGACGCGTGCGGCCCGAGCTCGAGGAGGCGCTGCCGCGCCCAGTGCACGGACGACGTGTACGCATGCTCGACTTCGCACAAGCTCTCACGGACGCTGCAGAGCCCGGTCGCACTCGGTGATGTCTACACTTGGAATGCATTTTTCGTGCGCGAGATAGAAAAAGTTGTACCGTCAGGGCTCGAACCGGCGGCAAGGTCATGCATGGCATCTAAAAAATACGATAAATCCAACTCAATCGAACCCTACACCTACTTTGCCGTGATCGGCCACTGGCACCAATGTCGGCTTGTTGCTATGGATCGGCGTCACGGGCTCGAGCAGCGTTGCAACCGCTGGTTTCTCGGGCGTGGGGGGGCTAGGTTCAATACGCGTCGAAGTTGGGGCGACCAGCGGCTTGGGCCGCACGAGATCGTCGGAATTCGAGGCGACAACAAGGTGGGCGCTCGAGACCGTCTGCCCACACGTGAATAGTGTGCTGGAGATAGGATGCGGGGTACCGACTGCAAGTGGCGATGGTGCATCGTGTCGACCATGGCCTTGGTGCGCTGGAGCGCGAGCTCGTACATGGGTTGGAGGTACCGCTTTCCGACAAAAGGGATTCGAAACACAATGTTCTACCATAGTTTATCACCAAAAGACAGAAGAGGGAATGTGTACATAGAGCACGTGGTGCACGATTTCTTTGGACATGGTGTTGAGCTCGACTTGGTCGATCTCGTCGAGTTCTGTCTGCGCCTCAATGTAGGCTACGCAAACGTGCATGCGACATTCCACAAGTATATAAAATCTACCGTCGGTGATGATAACAATAAACATATTCTAGACACAGTGCGTCAATCGGCCATTTCGAGCAACATGAAAAAATGCATACGAGAATCACAAAAATCATGAGAATGCCAAACGATGCAAAGAAGAGCGGTCCCAGCACACGGTTTGTTTCGACGAGCTCTTGGAATTCGAGTTTGTTGAC